AATATTGTATATTACGGCAAGAGGGATGGGATGCACACTCTTTCACCCTATTATAGTTACGTTTAATACTCGACTTATTTCAGAACTGAATCACTCACCGTTTCCTAAATTTTCTTCGGCGGGCATTTTGTCAACATCAGGAGAAATAAAAATTGTTATAGTAATTGCCACTTTCTACGTCTTGTTTGACCAATGCAGTTACCAAAGATCCGCATCCTTGGTGGAAAGTGGACTTGGAAGGCGAGCACTGCCTGGGGAGTATCACCGTCACCCTCCGAGGAGATTGCTGTAGTAATTACGCTGAACTCATTTTTGTTATCAAAGTCATCAAAAGACCAATCAAATTCATTATCGTGTGTTCGTTTCTAGTTGGTTTTGATGATTTGTACTTATTGTTATCACTTTACGAATGCCATTCCAATTATCGAAAACAAAATAGTAGGGGCTAAAGGATATACGCCACATAAATCTGATAATTGTAAAGTTACAGGGAAACATGTAGTTGAAATTCAGCTTATCTTGTTTTTTATGCATATTTCTATGTGTTGCAACAATAATATAAGATCTTAATACTTGTTTTCGTTGGAAATGACAAGAAAATGGTAATATTTCAATTATAAGCAAATATTTTCATCAATACATGTAAGAGGGTGCTATTTTGCTTTTGTCACACAAGGTACTCCTTGTCAAAGTGCATATGAACAGTACACAAATTAGTCCCACAAATTTACCCCCCCCCCAAAAAAAAAAAAAAACCTATTCCTAGCTAGAAAATGAAGACAAATTTGATATAAATTTGTACACAGAGCTACAGGGACACTACTGTTCTGCCTTGAATGATATCACGGTTAGGATCATGAACATGGGCATTTGTATTATCATAAAAACAAAAGTGTTAACATTTCTCCCTTTTACTGCTACAAAGGAGATAGAATGTCTCATAGTAACATGGCAAGAAAGCTGTTTTAAATGTGGTTCATTAAAACAAAAGATGCCATTGAATGTTTCCTTTTAGTTTCGCTTGCACGTTTTAAAATAAGGTAAAAAAAATTGTGTGCATTGAAAAATCTTTTTTTTTGCCAGAATCATATTTCTGGATAACTCCTGCTCTTTCACCATTGAAAGTATTACAGTTGTATGCCTACATAGTGCTGATTTCATAAACAAATCTAGGATAATTTTCGGTTTTTCCTCTCCAGATCAAGATCGTTTTATCACAGCGGTAGCTCGAGCAGGCCTGAGCTCCAATATTATCGAGAACCAACCATGCGGCTCACCAGCTACACGGGCTCAGTCCGCACCGGGATCCGTGAATACGTTCCTCTGCGACACACCACGGATGGCCCGCTACGTCAGCCTGGACATCGATGCCTCCAATCCGGCAACTACGGATCCTATACTCATGCTTGCAGAGGTGACAGTGCAGGAGTCACCCGGAGAGTGCCCGGTACCTAAAAGTAAGTCTTTCTGAGTGATCTTCGCATGCATATAAAATGCATTGTTAAGTCTGAACCACACCAACACAGCATATTTTCATTACAACTGATAATGTGTTTACCGACGGATATCGTATCGCCAACAGATAACGTCACAACAGTCGACCGATGCTGTATCACTAACCGATAATGTAACACGAATGTACCGATAGTGTAGTACAATGTGCTGCACTAACAGTCAATAGTTGTTACATTGTCAGTCATAACCGATAGTGTAACAAAACCTGACTGATATAGGGTTACTACATTTACTGCACTATCAGTCATATTTTGCTACATTATCGGTTGGTACATTATTCAGTAAATTGTTGTTACATTATCGATTGGTGATACATTTTCCGTTGGTTATTACATCATCAGTTGTACTAATGTTTTCTTTGAGTATGTGTTTACACGTATGCTTTCGTATGGGACCTTGTTGGCTCTCGACCACACCCAAAAGCGTATACTCTCATCATGTCTTACGTTGCGTGCTGTTTAAATAACTGGATAGTTTGCCCGCTCCTTAACGGGCTTCTTAACGGGCTATCTGTATGACTGCTGGTCTTTATTATAACTGTGGCATAGACACTGCCTTTCAACTTTATTGTGATTCTCATATTTCAAACTGTGCACGTATTGACCCATTCTCTTTTTGTTCAAACCTCAGATCCAACTCCTGTGCCGGTGCACGTCAACGCCACCTCGGTTAACTTCGAACTAATGTACAAGGGAGCAGCGATCGGGAATACCGGTCCACTAGCGACTCGCGTGGCTAAATCTGCCAAGCGATGCGCCGCTAGCTGCCTCAAACTCACTGGATGCGTGTCCTTCGACTACGCGCCGGGGACTGGGCAGTGTCATCTCCACGACCTGAAAGTGCAAGACATCGACAAGATCCCGAATGAGGATTTCATGATCTATGTGGCCGAGCAATAAATCTCCGTTCATTTCCTGTTGCCAATACTCTCATCTAAAAAATCAAACTATGAACCAGACAATTTAGAGTGGAAATCTCTCCGATTGAAATACTCTGACATGGAATCAAAAACTTGAGGGAGAGAGCGATCCAGTCAATAATTATTGAATGGATTTCAGATCGTCTTGTCTTTAGGTTCAGTTTGAATGGTTGAATTTTCACTCAAATGTAGTCCATTTTTGTTCTTTCGAAATAATTGAGTGTGAATACCATGCTCTTGTGAACGCAGAAAAAGATGTATATAGAATGGTAAAAAAAACGCAACCTCATTATACTTCCAATATCCAGGGACCTCAACCATTGATATGTATGGCAAGGACATTTTGTAAAAAGGAAAATGATACAAAGAACAACCGATTCGGTTTAATACTTTTGATTCCATATCAATATTGTTTGTCTCTGAATAGTGCAAGTAGGACAATTATTGTTGTTGTTGTTGCTGCTGCTGCTGCTGCTGCTGCTGCTGCTGCTGCTGCTGCTGCTGTTGCTGCTGCTGCTGCTATGTAAGTAAGGCTATGCTGCTGATATATGGCAGCAGTGTGCTCTTTTAGTAAAACATACATGTACATAACTTCTGACAGCACGGATCAATTTCAGTAATGCATTTTTTCTTTCAACTTAGTGGAAGAACATGTTCTTTTAAGCCATACAAACACTTCGTTGGTGTATCAAATTAGAAAAAAAATCCAGGTCACAGCAAGGGCGAATCCAGGGGGGGGGCCAAAGGGGGCCATGGCCCGCCCCCCCCCCAAAAAAAAAAGAAACCATTTTTTTTTTAATGTGACATCGCAATAAAGGCAGGCAATGAGTACACCACCATCTTTTCCTCAAAGTAAATTGGTTAAAGTGGAGTGGTCAGAAATTGCCTCAGATCGCACCACAGAGCATCTAGAATCCAAAATTTTTTCGGGGCCCTTAAGCGGGCCCCGAACCCCACGCCGTAATTTTTTAGACACACTTTTTCGGGGGACCAAAATTTGTTTGGGCCCCCCCCCCAAATTGTGTTCTGGATCCGCCCTTGGGTCACAGTACTCGCCCTGTAGCTGCTCCTGTGGTTCGTTTTCGAGAATTTTAGGCAGTAAAGTCGTTTATGGACAAACACTGCGGTATTCATTGACGTTTATTGAGAAGGCATACAATTATTAATACAACTTAAGACTACAACTTATCATCACGTGTTTCTTTAATTATAGTTAAACGATAATCTGGTTGATGACCTTATTAATTATACCATTTCTGCATTATATGCCTTTATTCTGATGATAGTCAATTGTATTTTCATATTTGTTGTTGGCTGTTTATGCCTTTTTTTTCATTATCACGATGCAATCTTGCAATCCTTCTAATGTTAACTCTTTCCTCGTTGTCAGATACACGCCGTTTTCATTTTAAAATCTATTTAGTATTGTTTTTCAAGTGAGCAAAATATGGTAGTTTTCCGTCGAAGTATAAAATGTCAGAACGATGCAGACGTATGATAGTAAAAAGAAAATAATGAAAATCTAAAAAGAAAAAAAAAACTTTTTATTACACAATGGCCAAAAATACCCGAAAAGTTACTAAACCATTAACCACTAAAAGATAAATCAATTTTACCCACTTCCGTTCTCAACGACATGAGAAAATGTTACAATTACAGCCTCCACCGAGATTGTAAGCGTCTACATGTATAATTGGCCGCATTCAGCCCCATGCGTTAACCATTTCATTTAAAAAGACAGGTACTGGGTAGTAGTAGCATACTCATTGGAGCCAGGGTAGGTTTCTGCACTTAGATGTATTCTTAGTTTCGCTTGATCTTCATAATAAGGTTTGGAGGTTTAAAGCAATTTTTCCAAAGTCTTTTCACTGGAAAGTTTTCATATATTTCTCTGATTTGTCAGGATTAAACATCCTGATCAATATGGACACCGTTGGTAGTGTCAAAACATTCCAATACACTGGCTAAGAAAATGATAACATTAAAGCTATAGTCCATCATTTGTAATTAGTGCATTTTGTTCGTTTGAAGCAACAAAAGTGTTCAAAATCTAATGAAGGATACTGAACAACTTACTTGATGAAATTTCAGCTCAGCTTCAGCTTTATATTCCGAGAAAAACAGCATTCTAGGATCTCAATTTCAAATCAAAAGTTGCTAAATCATGTTTCGAATTGTTTTGAATTGCAGCTTTACGCGATGTCGCGCACTGATCCAACGAATTATAGCAACCGCGCGCGCCTGTGCGTCGTTCCTATGCTTGTGCGCGCTGCGCCGAATAACAAAACGAACTACTAATTTAAATTTTCCTACGGTGCTTCTTAAGACGCACCGTTGGAAATGCCTTCTTTCGTTGATTTCTTCAAAATGAGAGCTTGCCAGAAAGGATAATTTCACAGGGAGTTTAGTCCCCTTACTATCTTTCAACCAGTATGTTTTTCAACAATAATTACGCCAGTTACTTTTTTGGATAGCTGCAAATGATGGACTCTGGCTTTAAAGATGTTCAGGACCCAGTTCTCCTGTCCCCTCGCCCAACCTCACCACCCCCACCAGCACTCCCTCCCCACCACTCTGGATCCGCCCCTGCCTATGTCCGTATTTGTAGATACTCCTTTCAATGTCTGATCCTGTGAAATTTAGCACGGTCCCGGGATCGCCTGCTCGACCGTCACTTCACACGTGTTCGGTTGGGTGACTCGCAGCAGTGGGATATCCACGGTGACAAACTGGGCCGTCAAGGGAGGGTCGCACACGAAGTCCACGGTAGACCTGCGCACTTCAGCTTGCTGGGCGGTCAGGGCGGAGCCGCATATACCGTTGTTGAGCCCGGTAGCGCTGGTCCCTGCACGGACCACGGCACCGGTCAAACGATCGCCTGTTGATGCGTTAGAAGGCAATAATTAATCAACGAAAATTCCAACATTTTCTTGTATTATTTTAACCTCCACTATTAATATTTCGAATAGGCGTGCATTGTGTTCGATCTGGAGACCCAGATGTACATGTTTTTTATAAAAACAAATTATAATAAATATTTTCATATTTAATTTATAAGTTAATATATCATGTTAAACGCCAAAGTATCCTCTTTCCAATGATACATCGATTGAGTGTCTGTGGCCACGGATGACTTTTGTCAATGTTCAAAACCTGTACTGGCCCAAGTTTTAGCTGGCTAAGATTGCTGGCTGGTTTGTTATGCAAAGGTTGAAATGGAAATGGTGGTGGCCACGTTGAATGCATTGGGCCATGAGGGGTTAACTTCAACAAGGAGAGCGGTTAAATCACTATGTCAAAATTGAAACAATTGTTTTAAAGAAAAGGAATTCTCTTTTTCCAGAAGATAGTTACCCTTTTGCACAAACTTGGCCCAGTGAAGGTTTGTGACCCTTGACAGGATAACAAGGAATGCTCAGTCATCCGTGGCCACAGACATGCAATCAAGGTATCATTGGAAAGAGGACACATTGGCGTTTGACATAATTTCGTGAAGTTTTTCTTTCGGCTTTTATTTCTGTTTTTTGTTTTTTGGATTTTTTTTTAATGATGTACATTATGAGGTCTCATTTTGGTTATTATTATCTTGGTTTTATCTTGATATTTATATTTACATAAAGGTACTTTGGTTTTATCTTTTGTACAGCGCTTTGTGGGTTTTTTTAAATGGGAAGGCGCTATATAAGTTTTTAATATTTATTATTATTATTATTATCTTCAATTTATTTGAAGATATTTACTAGGTTGTTTTTAATTTGGTATCTTTTTTTAAACACACAGTATATTATTAGGTCGAGCTTCTCGTAAAACAATACCTGTTGAATAAAGGGATACATGCAATTTCATGCAGAAATTCACACGTTTGGGCGCATTTAATATATCAGGTTCTTGTAATGTTTGTTTGTTTTTTCGTTGGCAAGTAAAGTTAGCACTTTCGGATTTTCTTGTCGGTTGGTTGGTTTTTTTTGTTTGTGTTCTCTTTTTCACTTGTTCCTTTCTTCGCTGAAGCTAATTCTTTTTTTTTTCAATAAGAAATTGTTAATGAATCTTACTAAACCACAAGTTGTCTTGAAGAGCATTTTTTTTTAATTTAAGCAGAGCGGTCTGAACAACATCCGTTGTAGCAAAAACAAATATTGGTGTCCAATTAGTTTATTTTTATAGAGGACCAATAGGCCCTAAAGTGAGATGCAGCTTGTTATCAATCATGGTTTTCTACACTTGAAAGTTAAATCATGAAGACTTACTGGTACAGTCCCCATGCTTCTTCACCACGACCTTCTTGATGCAGTATGCTGTGATGAGATTCACCTGCAGTACAGACGTCTCCGAGTTTACTGGAAGGAATAAGTTTAAGCTATTTAAACTCACAATGAATATTTACACGAAAGCGAATGAATAAAAGAAATACGCGTGTCCAAAAAAAGGTTTAAAAAAAACCGGTGTTTTATTGATTCTCAGGGATTGCAAACAGTGGCGTAGCCATGGGGCGATTTTTTTCCCAAACAACATAAGCAAATGGGGTGTACGCCATAAGGATTTGGACTTTACTTCCCTAAAAACAAGAAAATAAAAAAAAAAAAAAGGGAATTCGAACCTTATGCAACTCGGACCTTCTATATCTCTTTTTTGAAATCCTCCAAGCCGCAAAGTACAAAAGGAAAACAATTTACAATGTGCTTTCGGATTCACACCCTCCGATCTAAAAACCATTGCACTGTCCAACTGAGCCACTGCACTGAAGAGCTCGACAGCAAACTGTAATTCACGGCATTTATACGTATAACGAAAGCATCGTAGAGGACACTCAACAACCATCCATGCGATGTTCGGGAAAAGAAATATAATTCGCAACCAGGGGGGCATGGGGCACACTCCTTCCAAACTAAAGACTGCCCCTCCCCTTTTACCCTCCAGTCAGAATTTTTAAGCTTTTGTATAGGTTTCATCTGATTTTCGAATTGGTGTGGTAATTGAGTTTGCGACCCTGTATCAGAAAAAAAATCTTAAATTGGGCAGAACAAATCTATTAAACTAAAACATGCGTTAAGCAGGGAGACCAATGACAAAGTTGCCGCCGCCCCCCCCCCCCCCCCGCAAATTGGACCCAAGCTACTCCACCGCTTCGTGTAAGGGACCCGATATGATAAATTTATAGCAATCCTACCTTCAGGCATTTGTATAGGTATCATCTGATTGCCCAATTGGAATGGTGCTTGAGCTTGCGACCCTGTGTCAGAAAAAATACACCATTCTTAAAATAATTGGCAGAACAAATTTATTAAATTTAGTCAAGCTAATGTTTACAAAACACTTTTACAGTGCTCAATATGGGATATTTTCAATCACATCCGCAAAACGTGTATCAAGCAGGGAGACGACCAATGACAAATTGATGCCTTTCTCATAGTGCACTGTTTGAGACATTTTCTTAGATCTACTTTAATTAACAACCAGCAGATAATTACCGATCTGTGGCATGCATTTGTATGTACGTCAAATCACACGTCCAAAGGGCTGCAAGTTGATAAATGATATCGCAACACAAGTAAAACACAACTCAAGCAGGGAACGAAGATTGACTTTCCGTAAGAGGAAAACTGTTTCAGGGATATGTAGGCTTTACATTGGGATTGGCACTTTCGATGGCGTATTTTATTAACAGTGTATTCTCAGTCATCCTCGTCGTGCATGTCTCATCTCACGCAGACAGCGGCTGCAATGTAACTATCACTAAGGGAAGTCAGGTTGGCGTAGCGGTATTCTTTCCTCGCCTTCCACCGCTGTGACCCAGGTTCGAATCCCGCCCAGGCCAATATATGGATTGGGTTTTCCCCAGTATATTCCTCTGGGTTTTCCCCACCTCTGAAGCTGTTATTTCTTCTCATTTACAGGTGTCTTCAGGCTTTCGTGCTTGCAGTGCCTTGGGCGCTATTGGGAATCCTTGGTTTCAGTACCGAATTAATAAATAAATGACTACTAGACTCGTGCGCTTGACCTGAGAAGTAATTACAACCACTTGATGGTTGGTTGGGTGCAGCAGTGAGTTTTACTCGGTGTTGTCTGGGGGCTTTCAAGAATAAATTCACAAGCTTAATTCGTTTGCGACCCTCACTGAAACCAACTACTTCCTACCGAGCAGACGTCCTACCACTCGACCACTGAGCTTGCCAAGGTCGCCTGGCTAGTTTTGAATCCGATGTAACAATTTCAGCCTCGCACCGACAAGCTAAAAAAATATCTTCCCGACGCAAACACTGAAACTAAAACATTTTGGAGTTCATATTGCTGTAACTTGACCTCGGACATCGACTTCTGACTCAACTAAAACTTCGGTAAGACAGCCACTCACTCGATTCACACAAAGTCCCGTAGAATCCCTGACGACACTTGCAGGTTACCCGGTTGATACCGTCCACGCATGCGGCACCATTCTGACATGGACCGCTGGTACACTCGTCAGTATCTAAGACAAAAGGTCACGAAAATCACCCAGAAAAGTTGCTTGTATCCAGAGATGTTGCCATTACCAGTTCAGGTGTATATTTAAAACTCATTAAAATCACGGGTGAGCGTAAATTGCAAACAGGGTTGAAAACAGGGACTCAGCAAGAAAACAGTGTACATTAAAAAGGGATACGGTAAAAAAAAAAAAAGAAGATCCGCTTGTTAACATTTTAAGAAGTTTTTGAAGGTTTGGATTCCGTTACCCCATTCCATGAATAAAAACAAAAACTTACTGATCTCACACGCGGCACCCTCGTAGCCTCGGGAACAAACGCATACTGAGCCTCCAATACGATCTTTAATGCAAATTCCATTTTTGCAGGGATTTTTGATACAGCCATTCGACTCTGTAAGGAAATTATTAAAAATGAAAGGAGACCAATGATATAAGCATGTACATTTAATAGTGGCGTAACTGAGCGTCTGATATAGCAGGAGATGGCAAATTCAAAAACAAAACATATTTATGACTTTGGCGCAGTCGCAATTGATCTACAGGCCTCGATCAGTAACAGCTTTTCAAAGTACCTTTCCTGGATTTTCTACTTTTTTCCAAATAGCATGACCCAGAAAGAATATAGACTTTGGTTAACATCCAATTGAAAACAAAAATCTTGGCCAGGGCATTGTTAAGGTTTATACAACCGCCATGGAAATAAGGGGTGTTTTTTTTTTACCTTTTTGCGTAATCCCTACTTTTTTTCACTGAATGGGGTTCTATGTTTAATTTAGATTTTTTTTACGATTTTTAGATATTTTTTTGGTTGTGTTTTGTTTCATCATAACTTAAAATAAATCGGTATCATTATTGTGTGGAAATTGCGAATAAATCAAATCAAATCAAATCAAAACAATGACTGGCTAATTTCTCGTCGTCTGATTGGACGTCGTTGATCACGATTATATTACTTGTCCAAGCCTAAGGCCTGACCACACCGCAAAAAAAAGGTCCATAGAAAGATGGCTTGATAGATAGTATCATTGCATGTTCACACAATTACGTTACCAATCAGATGACGAAGTATTTAGTCAGGCGTTGTATTAAACAAATAATCAAATGGAAAGAATAATTATTTTAAGTGGCAGGTAGAATATGAAACATTCCATCTGTCGCCTCCTGGAATTTGTGTCACCATTGCACTCATAAACCTTCATTATTTTGGTACTAATCGAGCCAATCTCAAGTCTTTCACAGTTAAATAGTCGACTGGGGAAACTATTATGCGCCTCATCAAATGTTCCCCCCCCCCCCCGCGCTGCCCCAGGTCCGATGTCGGGATTTGGTCACGTTTTTCATGCCCAAGTGTGGGGATTTTGGTCACTCAAATTACACTGTTACCATTGGCGTACTACATGGAAATGCATTTACCAGTGCGCCCCACGTATGGATGTCGGGGCATGGTCGGGGATTGTCGCTCAAAGTTTGCCAGAGGGGTGGGGATTTTGTCACTTCAAATGTGACAATCCCCAGGTCTTGGGTGGGGCAGCCCGGGGGAGGTGTGGGGGGAAACAATTGATAGGCGCATTATCTGGAAAAAAAACTTTTACTGCCACCGCCTGTGTCAATGGACTTATAGTGATGGACTAATAGTGCATTTTTTTTAATGCAGGCCTACATTGTGGGGCCCATCATCATGAGAAAGTTTGCTAACTCTGACAAGTGTTCCTAGGTGTTCAAAGAACCCAGAGGCTGAAATTGGACTGAGGGGGATAAATGTGTGTGTTAATTGTTTCCTCCTGAATCAAGAAAGAAACCCGTGGTATACGCTGCTTACTTGTCTGACAAAGAACACCGGTGTATCCTTTTGCGCATGTGCAGGACACCTTGTTGATACTGTCCACGCAGTTGCCGCCATTTTGGCATGGATCGCTGGCACACTCGTCAATATCTATGGCAAATTATGGACCCAACAATCAGAAAATAAGGCATTTTCAAGTTTCTGAGGTTTTTCGGCTTCAAATTTATTAACGATGTTCATATGTATCGTGTTCCTATCACACCTGCAGGAGGGATTAAGCGATACAAGCTTGACAACCCAATTAAGACATAAACATGAGTATTGAAAGGCTATATTTATACACGCCCAGACGCATTTTTATCACTAAATCTATTAAGAAAACCCACTTTTGCTTGAGGACTTTAATCATATTTTGGGAGGTTGTAATACTGATTGAGCTAACCTCAAAACCTCAAAAGGTTAGTTCCACTCTAAAAATGACTTCACATTCACTTTGCGCAGAAACCGCTTCTGCAATTTTGTTCGGGTTTCGTGTATTTGAATTGTTCAGATCAATTAATGCTTCACTTTTAGGACCGCTTACTTATTTCACACGTGTTTCCCTGGAAGCCTTGAGCGCAGTCACAGCTGAAACTGTCCGCTTCCGGGATGCAGATGCCGTCATTCATACACGGGTCGCTATCACATGGATTCTTGGGCAGAACTGCAGGCAATTATGAAACCAAGAAAGTGGTCAATCTTAATCTGGTTAACAATCAGTAGCAACGTGCACTCTGTGCGCAAGTAGCTCCCTCATGTCACGCGGTTACAAAGAGAGAGTTTTGGAAAATAGCTGGGGGGACTCGAAAACATTCGACCATTAGAAAATGGTCGAATTATCACTGCACACAAATTAGTGATTTAAAGAGGTTGTGGAATGCTCGAAGACATTTCCGTCATTTTTCGGGTATATGTAGCCTAAGGTGTGATGAAATGAAAACGACTATTGTGTCTGTCATGAAATGAGTACATAAGGTACTTTTGAGAGCTGTTTTTCAGGTCCTGTTTCGACCCAAACGTGCAATTTGTGTAAAAGTCGACGTTGGGGGCAGCAAACAAAACATAGTAAATCGTGACGTAATAAGCAGGACTCGTTTATACTACGCTGCATCGGGAGTCCTGCTTATTACGTCACAATTTACTATGTTTTGTATGAAACAATAGTCGTTTTTATTTCATCACTCCTTAGGCTTCATATACCCGAAAAATGACGGAAATGTCTTACCAATTACATACCATACTACAACCTCTTTAACAAGCAACTTTTTCTGAGCCGGAAATTTATCCCGTATGCGTAGTTTTGCGTACCATTCTTAATTGTTGCTTTATTAACGCCGTTAGTATGACATGCCATCTCATTTGCCTCCATGCGTATTAAAAGCAAACTAGATGTTAAAAACAAATCGTTGTTAATGGAAAACGAAGAGATCGTGGTCGGGTAAAGCCTTCTGCGCATGCGACGAAATAAAAACAAATTAAGCAATTTGAGATTTGGGGATAATCTTACATTTTATTATGTCGTCAAAATGATCTACCAAATTTCAGGACACAAAGTTGCATCGTTTGTTAATTACGCTAATTACACAAAGAGACGAATGTGCGACAACTTCGGAATTATGACGAGGTGGCGAATCTCGATTCGTCACTTAGTCTCATTGATTTTGCATGTATACTGGCCTTTCACAGTTTTGCTAGCCTCTAAGATTTGCGTTTTGACGAAGTGACTTATCTGTGATCTAAAATGTGTGCATCTGATATACTTCACTTCGGAAGATTCGTCACTTCGTCAAAACAACGTGGAATTATTATCACTGAGGGGATACCTAAAAACCATCCTCACGGAAGGCTCAGGGTGCAATGGGTCAATTGGGCCCTGTTCTCAAAGCTGCACCAAAAAAAACCTCCCTGCTGCCCCCACAATATCTTGACCCATACTCACTGGTTTCACAGCGTGGTCCAGTGAATCCTTCTGCACATGTGCAGAAAACCTCGTTGATACCATCCTGGCAAGTGGCGCCATTAAGACATGGATCGCTGGCACACTCATCAATGTCTGGTTAAAATAAAATAAAATGAGTTGAAAATGAGCTAAGAATACAATATAGATTTGTCAAACAACTATTAATCAACAAGTACAAATTCCTTCAGAAAATATTGTAATAGCCGTTTGCCAAACACTCACTGGAGTCACAGAAAGGTCCTGTGAAGCCTTCTGCGCAGGTGCATGAAACCTCGTTCATACCATCCTGGCAAGTGGCACCATTCTGACATGGATCGCTGGCACAGTGATTAATGTCTGTATAAAATGATGGCAATCACAAAACAAATGCAACCAGGTGATTATATTTTCATTTTTTAATACCAAAAGGCTTAGCGTAAAAAAAAATATTCCCGTGACACGTCATGAATTTTTTTTACCAGTTCTCACATCTTTCCCCGGAACCACCTTAACTCAAAAGAGATATCTTTTTGTCACACTTTTGTCAACGCAGACTTATAAACGTATTGCTGGCCTCAACATGCCGTATTTAGACAGTACGCATTTTGTTTGCAATCAATTACACACCTATAAATGGATACAAGCCAACTAGACTGGTTCCATGACCTTACGATTCCCTGTCGCCTTAAAATTGCTCCATTTCATCTTAAGTTGCATCAGGGAACCAGACTACATGAAAATGATCTACGACCACAAAACTTCAAACAAGTGAGTGTTAAAATATTTTGCTATAAAATACTAACATCCCAAATCCATCCATTTCTGAAGATTACAGCAAAAGCAAATGTTCTATACATTTCCTTTAAGTCTTTGTTTTTCGGCGAAGTATTATCAAAACATTTCAGTAAGAAAGAAAAAAAGGCGTACATTGTTAACAAAGGGATGTATCAAACATTAATGAGGAACACTCATCAGTCTCACACAGTGAGCCAGTAAAGCCTTCTGCGCATGTGCAGGTAACCTTGTTGATACCGTCCGCACAAGTGGCGTGATTAAGGCATGGATCGCTGGCACAGTCATCAATGTCTGTGAATTGTTTTGATACAAAGCCTCACGTATAAAAGCCACATCAAAGCGAAGCAGTTTACATCGTTTCATCCGAACCCTTTTACAAATTCCCTGCCGTACAGACTACACCTAGCGAATCAATTAGCTTGAATGTCTATCAAATTTTGCTTACTAGTTTCGCAGAGATCTCCGGTGAAACCTTCTGCGCATGTGCAGGAAAACTCGTTTACACCATCCTTGCAAGTGGCGCCATTCTTGCATGGATCGCTGGCACATTCATCAATGTCTGAACAAAATGTTAACGATAACAAGGGGTCAACAGCCACATTAATGACCTTTTATGATGGAATCTTTTGATAAATGGTATTTGGTTGACGCAGTTTGTTTTTAAACTATATTGTAAAGAATGATCAATTACAACTGATGCAAGTTGTAGCATTACAACCCATGCAAGTTGTAGCATTACAACTCATGCAAGTTGTAGCATTACAACTAATGCAAGTTGTAGCATTACAACTAATGCAAGTTGTAGCATAGCAGGCATTACTGTTGAATACTAACTTGTTTCACAAAGGAATCCCGTGAAGCCTTCTGCGCATGTGCATGAAACCTCGTTGATACCATCCTGGCAAGTGGCACCATTCTGGCATGGATCGCTCGCACAGTGATTAATGTCTATGTAAAATGATGACAATGAAAAAAACATTTACAACCAGATGATAATGTTTTTATTCCTAACTCTGAATAGGCGTACTGTACGAAATATTCCTATGACTCTTATTGCTAGGACTCTGTGAAGAAAGATTGGTCTGCAACATTGAGTTTTATCAGTCCTTCTCACTTTTCCAAGAACCACCTCACTAAGGTGAGATTTTCTGTCACATTTATGGCAACGCAAGCTCATCATAGTATTGCTGACTTCAGAATGCAAAGTTTGTTGTTTTGCTTCTCAAAAAAAAGCTAAGAGTGGAGCACTATTTATGAACGATTGATATTTGATGGCACAATATGTAATCGATGAAACATTGTTATGTGTGCAATTTTTTTGTAGGGAATTGTTTCAAAGGCATGTACGTTAGAAGAAAAAAACAATGGTTAGTTATTCAGGAAGAGATGGATGCATTAAACATAAATGAGGAACACTCACCAGTCTCGCACAGTGAGCCAATAAAGCCTTTTGCGCATGTGCAGGTAACCTGGTTGATACCGTCCTCGCAAGTTGCGCCATTCAGGCATGGACCGCGGGCACACTCATCAATATCTGTGAATTATTATATACCAAACATCAGTATAAACTACACCAAAAATGAAGCAGCTTACATCGCTTCATCAGAACCCTTTTACCATTTCCCTTACGTACCGTACACACACAGTGCGTTCATTAGCTTCAATGCCTCTTATTTTTTTCAATTGCTTACTAGTTTCGCAGACAGCTCCGGTGAAACCTTCTGCGCATGTGCAGGAAACCTCGTTCACACCATCTTTGCAAGTGGCGCCATTCTTGCATGGATCGCTGGCACATTCATCAATGTCTGAAATTTTGTTTAACAATAACAAAGGCGTTATAACAGCCATACAAATGACCATTTATAATGGCATCGTTGATACATGGTATTTGGTGACGCGTTTCGATTTTAAACTATGTTGTAAAAAACGTATAAAATGGTCAATGACAACTAGTGCAAATTATAGCAAACATAATGGGTGAACACTAACTTGTTTCACAAAGAGATCCCGTGAAGCCTTCTGCGCATGTGCATGAAACCTCGTTGATACCATCCTGGCAAGTGGCCCCATTTTGACATGGATCGCTGGCACAGTGATTAATGTCTGTAAAGATGATGACAATCAACAAAATTTAATCACAACCTGGTAAAAATGTTCTCATTCTTATCTCTCGATACGCCTTCTGTAAAAAATATCCCTGCGATTCGTATCGTCAGGACTCTGTGAAGACAGATTGGTCTGAATCGTTGAGATTTGTATCAATCCTTTACTCAAAAAATTTCGGTCACATTTTAGTCAACGCAAGCTTATGAGCGTATTGTTGACATCAAAATGCAAGCTTTCTTTTCTTGTCCCTCAAAAAACAGCTAAGAGTGGAGCATTTTTTATTGATGGGTGATATTTGATGGCACAATTTATCAATTTAACAATTTTAATTTTGCATTTTTTGAAGGGAAGTGTTCCAAAAGTACCTCCATTAAAAAGCAACGCTTAATTGTTAAGAAAGAGATGGACGCATTAAGCATAAATGACGAACACTTACCAGTCTCACAGAGAACTCCGGTGAAGCCTTCTGCGCATGTGCAGGTAACCTTGTTGATACCGTCCGCGCAAGTGGCGCCATTCAGGCATGGATCGCTGGCACACTCATCGATGTCTGTGATTGTTTTAAAAACAAAACCGCCGGTTTGAAACCACAATTATGGCAAGCAATTTAATCTATTGAATTCGTAAGAACACTTTCACAAATTCTCTGACGTCCCAACTACACCTAGTGAACCATTAACATGAATTTAATCAAATGTGTATCAAATGTTAGAATTTGCTTACTAGTTTCGCAGAGAGCTCCGGTGAATCCTTCTGCACATGTGCAGGAAACCTCGTTGATACCGTCCGCGCAAGTGGCGCCATTCTGGCACGGATCGCTGGCACACTCATCAATGTCTGGGTGTGTTTTAAACAAAACCTCAGGTTTGAATCCACAACAAGGGCAAGCAATCTGTTTAATTCTTAAGAACTATTTTACAAATTCCCTGACGCACCACCTACACCTAGTGAACCATTAGCTTAAATTTTAATATAATGTCTTTCAAAAGTGTTATAATTTGCTATACTTGTTTCGCAGAGAGCTCCGGTGAAGCCTTGTACGCATGTGCAGGAAACCTGGTTGATATCATCCTTGCAAGTGGCGCCATTCAGGCATGGATCGCTGGCACAGTTATCAATGTCTAAACAAAACAATAAACAGAGGTCAAAAGCCACATTTTTAAATTTTGTAGCAGTATCGTCTATAAATAGTATTTGTTGACGCAGTTGGTTTCAAAACAAACGGTAAAAGACCCTATATTTAAAGGTTATACGCTGTCTTTGAATAGTTAAGTAATCCAACATTATTTTCATGAAGACACTCCAAAACGTATTGCTATCACGAAAAACATAACGTTAATGAACGAACAATTGCTTTGACCTGCAAATTGAGGTCAAAAACTAAAATATTAGCATATTACTCAACACAGCTAGCGGGTGCCGCGAGAAACGCGGCATCCCGCTAGTGTCCTAAGTGATAAATGACAACTAGCAAATATTATTGTTGAACACTATGTTTCACAAAGGGATCCATAAATCCTACTGCGCATGTGCAGTGTGGAGTGCTGTGGCCTCGTGGTTAAGGGCACTGATTCGTGGTCTGTGGGTAAAGCTGCAGGTTGTGGGTTCGAGTCCTGGCGGGGTCATGGTGCGTGTGCCCTTGAGCAAGGCACTTTGTCACTCATTGCTTCTCTCCACCCAGGAGCAAATGGGTACCTGTGAGGGCAGAGATGGTTATGTGATTGATTTAGCTTGCTTGCGCCCAACAGGCAGCATCGAGCTGTATACTCCCCAGGGAGCTGAGATGGTATTTGGAATGTTAAATTGCCCCAATGATCAGGGGTAATAATAATACTGTAAGCGCTGTGATTTAGTGTACTAAAAAGAGCGCTCTTAAATAAGGGAATAAATGTGTGCTCCGGAGGTTTTTATCACTCTGTTTAATACCACTTAGAGTCTGGGTGCTGATAATTACCCGAGCCGGAGGCGAGGGTAATTATCAGCACCCAGACTCTAAGTGGTATTAAACAGAGTGATAAATACCGACGGAGTACATATTTATTCCCATTCATAAATACCTTTTCGGTAAAAAAAAATCATATAATTCGTTCAAAACATCCCGATTTTGTTCAACAAATTCACTTTATGCTTTTTGAAACATCCCTCCTGCAAAATAATGGAGTGTTCAGCTGGCGAGTAAGATGAAAACAACCCTTTTATGGAGATTGACGCGCGCGTATCATGTTCTACGCGATGTCGCGCAGAACGCACCTGGCGCGTTGCGTTTTGAATTTAGAACTATAAAATTCTAACTCCCTGGTAGTGTTGCGCATGCCTACGTGAGGATTGTGAACGTTCAACCAATGAAACGATAAGAGGCACTGGATTTTTAGGAGTCCACATTTTATTGTGACACTGGAAAAGTGTTTAAGACCAGCTAGCCATGTCTTTATCATCCGTTTAATACCGGCCACGTGACGGGCTCTCGACCAATAGGAATGGCTAAACTGTCTGAGGTATTTATGAATGCCGATTATTATGTGCAGGAAACTTTGGTGATACCATCCTCACAAGTTCAATTCAATTCAAAGGCAACATATATTCCATTTCACATTTTGAATTGAGCAATGTTTTTCAGGAAAGTGTTTCAAAGGGATATCTGTTAGAAAAAATGGTAAATTGTTATTAAGGAAGAGATGGACGTACTCAGCACAAATAAATAACACTCACCAATTTCGCACAGTGAGCCAGTAAAGCCTATTGCGCATGTGCAGGTAACCTCGTTGATACCGTCCGCACACGTACCGTCATTCAGGCATGGATCGCTGGCACAGTCATCAATGTCTGTGAAATTTGTTTTCACACAAACCTTAGGTTTAAAACCACAACTAACGCAAACAATGGATGTGTTTTAAACAGAACCCTTTTACAAATTCTCGGACGTACAACCTACATACAGTACAAGTGAACCATTAGCTCTAATTTCTATCAAATGTTAGAATTTGCTTACTAGTTTCGCAGAGAGCACCGGTAAATCCTTCTGCACATGTGCATAACACCTGCTTGATGCCGTCCGTGCAGGTGGCACCGTTCAGGCATGGATTGCTGGCACAGTCATCAATGTCTGTGAATGTGTTCATACAAAACCACAGGTTTAAAACCATACCCGAGAAAAGCAGGGTTTTTTTCATCAGTACCCTTTTACAAATTCTCAGACGTACCACCTACACCTAGTAATGCAGTAGCTTGAATTTCTATCGAATTTCTATTCAATTTTAAAATGGGCTTACTACTTTCGCAGAGAGCTCCCGTGAAGCCTTCTGCACATGTGCAGGAAACCTCATTGATACCATCCTGGCAAGTGGCGCCATTCTGGCATGGATCGCTGGCACACTCATCAACGTCGGTGAATTTGTTTATACAAAACATTGGTTTACAACCACACCCAAGTGAAACAGCTGAATTCGCTTCATCGGAATCTTTTAACAAATTCCCTGCCGTACCACCTACACCTAGTTAATCCATTATTTTAATTTTCTGTTAAAGTATTTTGTTGTTGGCATGCGGCAATGGTACAGCCACCTGATTGAGACTTAGTTCGCAGTTTGGCAATCCCCGGAGTGCTGTCATGCTCGTTTTGTTTTCTGTTTTTTTATTGGTTTATTTGTCAGCTCACTTTGGTTTTTAAAAATGAAATTTGCTTACTAGTTTCGCACAAAGATCCGATGAAGCCATCTGCGCATTTGCAGGAAACCTTGTTGATACCATCCACGCACGTGGCGCCATTCTGGCATGGATCAATGGCACAGTCATCAATGTCTGCAAATTATTTATACAAAAGCTCAGATTTTATTAAAACAACACACAAGTGAAGCAGTTAGCATCGGTTCATTAGAACCCTCTTACAAATTCCGCAGTAAAACACCGAGGCCAACACCTTGTGACTCCATTAATTTTAGTTTTAAAAAGCTGGACAATTTGATAACTAATTTTGCAGAGAGCTGCACTTAAGCCTTCTGTGCATTTGAAGGAAACCTCGTTGATGCCTAGCCTGGTTCCAGGATCTTCCATCGTCCTTATGACTTTGAAAGCAGGGTATGGGAACTGTAGGAAGGTCTGTAGAAACAGGTCACCCGCTTTCTTTTCAAGCGGGAGCCGATAAAAGAGGGGCTCAATTGAAAGCGGCTCCCGGTAGGTGAACCAGGGGTATAAAGCCAGCTCGCCTAATGGGCAATATAGATTATGAATATATCGTCCCAATGTGTGCAAATAATATTGAATGTGTTTCTGGCAACTATAAATTAAGAGAGGGTCACTGAATTTCAGTATTTGAAACCTATGGAGCTCAAATGCTTTAAAATTGCCTGAGGGCAGACATTTTGGCAATTTTGCCCACTGGTTATGGTAAAAGTGCAGGTTTTTATAGTCCGACTGTCATCTGTGCGCAAAGGCGGCAAAAATTTACACACCATTTTCCAAAATAAAACAATCATAGTGCGCATGTTCTCAGATGCAACCAATGGCTTTAAGTAGGAGGAAACTACCGGTCCCCGTATGGGAGCAGGAACTAGTCTAGTTGATACCATCCGCGCACATGATCCATCGCTTGCACAGTCATCAATACATGCGATTTTCTTATAAAAAAAACAAAACCTCAGGTTTAAACCCACACAAAAAGTGAAGCAGATTACATTGCTCCATCAGAACCCTTTTACCATTTCCCTGACGTACCGTCTAGACCTAGTGAATCTATTAGCTTGAATGTCTATCAAATTGTAGAATTTGCTTACTAGTTTCGCAGAGAGCTCCGGTGAAACCTTCTGCGCATGTGCAGGAAACATCGTTGATGCCGTCCGCGCAAGTGGCGCCATTCTTGCATGGATCGCTGGCACATTCATCAATATCTGTGAATTTGTTATACAAATTAAATCTCAGGTTTGATAATAATGATAATAATGTGGGAGGCTAATCATACTTACTCACAGCTGAGAAGCTGAACTGCGAAGGACGCGGCCACATCGTGGTCGAGCCGCTAGCACGTACAGGCGCCTTTGGCTGTCAGCCACATCGACCCATGACCACGGAGAGGCACCCAGAGATCAAAAGTACTTGATTTTTTCCGGAGGGAGGAAAACCGGAGGGCACTGGAGAGAACCAACGCATATCTCTACTTACGTATATGCCTATGTTTAAAAAACGACAATGTTTCCAAAATGACAACTCAGAAGGGTTGGTCACATCCTTGGGAAGCCTATTGACGAGCCAGTTATCTTCTATGCTCTATACTCCCTTTCACATGGCCGACGCAGACAAGGTCGTCAGCGCCAACTCTACCCAGAGTACATCGCAACACATTTGTCACAGGATTTTCTGCTCTCCCCGCCAGAGATCCGTAGACTCACACAAAACAGAGATGAATGGAAAAAACTTGTGTCCGTTTGATGTGCAGTCAGAGGAGGAGGAGGAGAAAGAAGAAGAGGAGGAGGAGTAGGAGGAGGAGGAGGAGGACTTGAGAGGCGCAACGCATAATTCTACTTTTAACGCATGATGGGGATGATGATGATGATGATGATGATGATGATGATGATGATGATGATGATGATGATGGGGATGATGGGGATGATGATGATGATGATGATGATGGGGGGATGATGATGATGATGATAGGCCTGAGGCATGTATGATCTGCGGACAGGATTCGAACCAGGGCCACAGTAGCGAGAGGCAAGCGCTTTACGCACAAGCCACCCAGGCCACCTGGAGTAAAACATTTCATTAGTTTCATCAGAACCCATTCGTAAATTCCCTGCTGTACAACCTTCACCTGGTAAATCGATTTTCTTGAATGTCTGTCAAATTTGAGAATTTGCTTACTAGATTCGCAGAGAGCTCCTGTGTAGCCTGCTGCGCATGTGCAGGAAGCCTCGTTGATACCATCCTCGCAAGTGGCATCGTTCTGGCATGGATCACTGGCACACTCGTCAATGTCTGAACAAAAAGTTAACAACATCTGATATTTCAATTTCACCAAAATGAAATGGTTTCTTTCTTCATTCGATCTGTTTAACAGATTTTCCCCAGCCTGCACGACTACACCTTACGAACTTGAAATGGCTGCATGCCAATATGTGGTTCGAAATTGCCTATACGCTGACCAAATCACAATTTGTAGGCCTACACTTTAATGTATCTCACTGTAACTACGAAGACTTTTGTAGCCATTGCCCTTTATAGAAATGAATTCTTGTATTGTTTTGTGAAATTTGGGTCAAAAGTGGACCCAAAACTTGCTCCATTTTGCAGTGGACTGGAGAATACTACTTCATTTTCAACAACCATTTTCTGTTCATATTTGGAAGGGAAATTTCCCCAAATGGTATCAGTTACACTCCTCTCCCCCTCCCCCCCCCCCCCCAAAAGGACAGAAAGTGTAAAAGAGAATAACAAGCTGAAATCGAAAATATCATAGAGAATTGAGTGTATTTGTCTGGTTTGTTTGTACCGAGGCTGTGGGAGTACTCCTTGGCAGTTTATTAAACTGGTCCGCATGCATTCGCTTAGAACAAATATACCAATTTAGCCTAGACTTACTAGTTTCGCAGAGTGTTCCGGTAAAACCCGTAGCGCACGTGCAGGAAAACTGGTTGATACCGTCCTCGCAAGTGGCGCCATTCTTGCATGGATCGCTCGCACACTCATCAATGTCTGAAAACATGACGACAACAATATTATCGAAAAGCCATCAGTCTTAATTTGGGTAAAAGTTTATACATTTCAGGCCCGTATGTATTCAAATTCACCAACTCTTACTTTCAATTTTGTCCGAGGAAAATAAAAATCCAACAAAACCAATTCAGTCATTTACCAATCAATTTCAAAGTTTGGTCTCCCGGCCTCTTTAGTCTCCGGGTCGAGAGTATTCGACATTACTGATCAGATTCGTCTGAGCTATTGCCGAGTGGCAGCAATTTAGAGATCGAAATCGTATTATACAAATCAATTAGACGAACTTGATTTCTGAATAACAAGGTTTATTGGCGTAGACGAGACGAAATCGATTTCTCCGCGACAAACACAAATGTGCTTGAACTGAATCGATGTTGCTGGACGAATTGTATTTTCAGTGAATTCGAGAAATGTTCAAAATAGCTGGGAAAACCTGTATTATTTTGTTATGACGGAAAGAACATACCAGCTTAAAGATTGAGTTAACATTACTCTCTGAAAATTTGTTTGCACATGGTAAATTTTTCATCATTCAAGATTTCAAATTTCACGTTTCCCTCAAGAACCAACAAACTGGTATACTCACTGGTTTCACAGAAGGCTCCCGTAAAACCCGACTCACATATGCAGGAAAACTCGCCCAGGCCATCCTCGCAAGTGGCGCCGTTCTGGCATGGATCGCTTTCGCATTCGTCTGTGTGGTCAAATTTAAAGCTGGATAGAATCAGTTTGCAAAGTACATCATTATGAACATCTTCATCCCCTAAAAATTCGTTAAAGAGCTATTTTCCCTTGAAATTAAAGTGAACTAATTGTTCACGGATTTTTCAACATATTAAGCCAGATTAGCAGTCCGTGAAAACACCCTTAAGAAAGTCCTTTGTGTACCCATGGAGATAGACCCAGAATACCGTTATGTATAACCAATGAGAATCCTCAGTGGCTAGGGTCATTAAAAAAAACGTGAAAATACCCTTACAGGATTAGTTCTATATAATCCCCATGTAAATGTCCGTGAAACATCTCTTAAAGATTCTTTTCACGGAGAAATGGACTTTTAATGAAAATTTAAGGGATCAGATGTTCATAACATGACGTAGTCGAATCCTTCATAATTGTGATCACTTATCCAGTTACAAGCAGATAACATGTCTCGTCAAAATTCAATTACAAATCCAGTCACAAGTAAGTAACAAGTCCAGTCACAAATACATCACAAGTCCACCACACGTAAAGTCTCAAGAAAATCACAAGTTCAGTCACAAGAAAATCACAAGTTTAGTCACAAGTAAATCACAAGTCCAGTCACAGGTAAATCACAAGTCCAGTCTCAAGTAAATCACAAATCCAGTCACAAGTAAATCACAAGTCCAGTCACAGGCGAATCACAAGTACAGTTATGAAGAAATCACAGGTCCAGTCACATGTAAATCACAATTTCAGTCACATGTAAATCCCAAGTCCAGTCACATGTAAATCATGTGAATCATGCGGTTGGAACAACGGTGGCCGTGGGCACACTTTTTTGTGCTTTATTTACGGAATCTTTTTACGAGGCCCCAACAAATTATGCATTTTGAGCAATTGGGTCGCTTCTAGTAAGCAAATGATCATCTGTCTAAACAACGGGAAATGCACCTGTGTCTATAGCGGCGGCTCAAAAATTCAGCTCATCAATTTGCGAGAAAACTTACTGTGGATTCATCCCCCTTGAATGTCGAGTATTTATTTCAGGAATTTCTAATGCAGAAAAGAAAGTAACACACTTTTCCAGTTTGCATCCATTGGCGTCCGTATGTCGTTTTCCCGCTTTCTCGCTTTCAAGAATATTGTATTGAACCGAAACAGAAAAGGTGAGATGATTTTTTTGAAAATAACCACTTAGAGAACAATGAAGCTCGTCCAATTCATTCACCTAGATGTACTTGTGATTTACTTGAGACCACTTGTTATTTACTTGAGACGTTCTTCAAAGCTCACCTATGCAGTATAACATCGGCAGTTCATACGCCTCCACCTCGCAGATCGTGAGCATGGCTCTACTACTTAATATTCCAACGGTGATGTAACGTGCCCGTAGCGGTCGCTCACACTCCCTGACGATCGTACCGCCTCTCACGAAAGCTTCTTGCTTGGTCACGCGGGTACCGCATGCCGGGATATAGGCAACTTCGACACTAGGCCCAGCTCTAACGAGAGCGCTGTGCAACCTCGCCGCTGAAAAGTGAGGAAAGTGCGGCTACGTCATCACAATAATGGAGTAGATCGTTGGCACTGCTGTCATCTTTGAGGTGTGGGCTTTTGTTAAATGTTTAGTGAATTAAGATTTAAAAAAAACACCTCAAAAATGACTGCTCAGTACAATCGCTCTCTTATACACGGTGGTCCAAATGAAACGTAACAGCATACTACCACCACCTTGAGACCCAAACCACCTGTACCAATTGATGGAGAATCCTTTTAGAAGAATTACGATACCAAAATATTTGGATTTCGTCCAGTAGTTTTTGCTGCAGAGCATATTTTGGGAAGGATACTTTTTTTATGTGGATATTATTACACGACAATCCTTTAGCAATTCATCGGGACAAAAATTACCCCAACTTAACAAAAAACTACTAAACCGAATTGGGCGATCTTGGATTCATTTTTTTTTTTATTCTGCAAAGATTCTCCCTGCATTGCTTCAATGCTTTGAGTCTAAGGTAGTGGAAGTATGAGGTTCCGGTGTTTTGGTTTTTTTTTTACCACCCTGTATATAGATTATTATATTATCTGAAGTTTCAAAGTGTGACCTCTTTACCCGTCCCTGTTATCTTGGTGATTTCAAAGAATGTGTTTGGTATAAAGGCCTAGGTGCACTTTTGGAGGATGATTGCGTTAATGAGTACATCAGAATTATAAACGCATAGATGTCGGATGTAACAGGGACAGACAAAAAGTGGGCCCCAAATTTATGGAATGACTCATTCATTATTATTTTTCCAACTACATGTTCTTTGTAAATTTGTTGGTATGCTCTAGTCTAGTAGCAGACAAACCTATGGGCTCCGTTAGCCAACGAAAGAGCGCGCCCTTTTACCCATGGGCGGGACATTTCGCTGGTTGACGCGCACCGTTCCTTGTGTGTGACGCACGTACACCAGGGAATTTGTACTTCGCACACAAAGTGGCCGCGCTTCTCGGCAAAATCGCAGTCAGGCAAGATGGCGCCGGTCGGACATCCCCAACTGTACTTTCTTTGCCGGTGACGGGGTACTTGTCAACGGAGAGGATAAGGCCCAGGCTTATTATCGCCTGCAAGTCGTCTATACAAACTCACGCTAGGGGATCAGTGGCGTACGCAGGATTTTTTCAAGGAAGGTGTTTCAAAATTGGATGTCGTCATTTATGACGCTAGAAATGAAGATGGTAAATTGTGTTGGCGCCAGAAATAAAAAATAGTATCAGTGGGCTAAACTTAACGCTAAAATAAAAGTCAGGAGTTTGTGTTGGCGCCAGAAATAAAAGAGGATATATTTGAACGGGTTAAACTCGAAGGGCCGGGAACCCACGACCATCAGTTATCTTTTTGAGCTAAAGCATAGTAAATCGGGGGAAAAAAAGTTCTGTGTCTTTATAGTATGATGAACATATGAGTAAAGGGGTCAATGTGGGCCCCTCCCTCAACAGCATTTAAACCAAAAAAAAGAAGAAATTCAAGAAAAAAAGTGACACGGACTGCGGAAGTGCTAGGATCTGTTCTTGTTATTGGCTAAAATCACTCAGCTTCGTCCCCTGGATCTCATGATTCTCATCCATTGGAATCTTTGTGTAAACCGCCCCCACCCCTAAGGCCAAACTTCAGATACAGGATACATATGCGCTCTGGTCACAGGAGCGGATTCAGACTGCCATTTGCCGGGGGCCTAGAATTATTGTAATGAAGGGTCCAGGACCTGCGAAGCCCTTACGGCGTGGGGTCCGGGGCCCGCTTAAGGGCCCCCGAAAAAAAATTGGATTTTAGATGCTCTGTGTGTAATCTGAGGCGATTCCTGGCCACTTCCACCGTTTAGAAAACGTTTAAACATCGAAAATTCCATTTAATTTTTTTTTTTTTTTTTATAAAGTTTATTACGTACTCAAAGTTGAGAACCATGTTCCATCTCCGTATTTTTTCACAATTTTCTATTTTGGAAAGGGATTTATGCCACTTGTAGAGCCATTCGCTGCTGAAGGTACAAAATGGTGGGGGCACCGCTAGGGTGAAATTATAGCATAGAGGGAATTTGAATCCCGGGACATACCGTTATTTTGTTTTACCGTTTTGGATTTCCTCAAAAACAAAAACAGTTAACGAATCATAGACCGTTTTGTCGTTTAACAGTGTTCTAAAACGACAAGCGGTATTAAGATAAATACGTTTTCTCCGTTTTATAAGTTTAGTAAAATTCATTATAGCATAACGATCAATGATTTTTGTTTTACAGATTACACAAATACAGACTGTTTTTTTTATTCCAGTGTCATGGTTAACAGTCCGTGGCGCATTTTGTGGCGGTGGGCAAGGGGGTGGAGGGGGACCATGTTTTACACGAAGAAGTGTTACCTCGGCATAATTAATGCGTGATGTGATTCCTGGCGCGGACCCTGACCCCTTTCTCATGCGATTCAGTCAAGTTGGTGGGGCTTAAAGAGTTCCAAGCAAAATGGCGCTGGAAAACTTCAAGGGAGGACATTACTTTTCACAATGGAAACAGGATGGTAATAAGACGTTTGATGAAGTTGCAGACATTTTGAAGGAAACTGGGGCTCAAGTCGACGCGGCTCTTCAATAGGCAATTCGCAAATTTTGTCGTGAGAACGAAATGTAAGGAGCGGGGCCCAGGCAATGACTCGATCCCAAGGACGCATTAATTAACATTCCTGTGCATTGCTTAATTGCCGAACCTTAAATCAAAAAAATGGTCGGCAAGACTATTGACCGTTTTGTCATTGTCATGATTTTGTAAAACAACACTCTAAAAATAAAGCAACTAACCGTTTAACGCTTTCTACAATTAAAAACAACAACAAAAAGTATTTTGTGTGTGTGACTTAATACCGTTTGACCGTTTTACAAAACTGTAAACGAGAAAACGGTCAATGGTTCGTTTACTTGTTTTTGAGGAAATCCAAAACAGTAAAACGAAATAACGGTATGTTCCGGGATTAATTTGGCAGGAGGACTTATGGCGTGGGGTCCGGGGCCCGCTTAAGGGCCCCGGGAAATTTTGGATCGTAGATGCTCTGTGGTGCAATCTGAAGCGTTTCCTGGCCACTTTCCCCTGTTTTTTTTAGCAGAAGTTTTTTAAATTATGAGGGGATATTTTGTTTCATTTGTTTCAAATACATATAGGCCTATATACTCTTGCTCTTATAAAGTGTCTTCTGTATTCAAAGCTTAAAGTTGAGAACATGCACATAATTTGTAATTGTTCCGCGCTCGGTCACATAACTGTCTTTTCCCTCCATATTTTTACATGGCAAAGGGGGGTGTTTAACAGCTAAAACATCCCCCCCCCCCCCTGCGTACGCGCCTGTAGGGGATGACTACATGTAAATTCTGTCAGTATGACACTCGGGGTACATGTAATACACTGATGGACCGGCTGGTAAAGGGCTGAAGCATCGTGTCAGTTAAATGCACAGAAAGGTCATACTCCAGCAGTTGTTATGTACTGTAGCTCGTAAAACTCTTAGGCCATTACGGGGTCATTAGCGGATCTGGGGTTTGCAACAGGGGAAAAGCCAAGGGTGAGGAGTGAAGACAAATGAAAACAAACACTTTTACTCCCTATTACTCACAGAACAGCTTCGCACCACAAAGAAAAAAGTTCTACGTGTTGTTCATAATTGGGCCAATAAATAGCATGGAGCTTTTCTAGGCTGGTTTGAACTCCTGGTTTTACACCAGAACATTTCAAAAGGAGGGTTAAGATGATTTCTTGGACGGATCCAAAGGGGCAGTTGATGTGGCTAAACACACCACAACTAAATCTCCAACTTCCGACTCTCCAAAGTAAATTATACAATTAAAAGGTTTACTGCAGTGCGTCATCCACCCCTACCTCTCCTCTCCCCCCCCCCCCCCCTGCCAACAATCTGGCCCCAATAACCCAAGCATCCCATTCAGGTTCCAGGACAAAAGAGAGCCTGAAAATGGAAAAAAAATTGTCTTCAAAATGTAGTTCAAGTAATCTACATTAAATTCATATCATCAGTCGAAGAAAAAAGGGTTAACATACTGTGGATTAGGAAACCATGAACTCACGACAGCAGTCCCTTCTGTTAAGCACGGTGACCTTGCTGATGCAGTGTTCCGTTTGGAGGTCAACTTGCCAATACGGATTCCTCTGAAACTCTGAAGGCAAAACCAAACAGAACACAGGGCGAGTAAAAAAAAAAACGAAACTCAAATGATGGGTCCATTGTTTAACTGAAGTACTGCATGCAGCATTTTCGAAATCTAGAATATGAAAACCTAATTTATCAGCTGTTTTTTAGTACAAGAATCACTCAAATCGCTCATGTACTTTTCAAATTACGGAATTTTAAACACAGCCACCGTTTTAATGTTCTTTCAGCAAAACGAAAAGAAATCACAAAGGGATGTGTGTGAATTCGGACGATTCACAATGCAGTGCGCCACCAAGAGTTTGCAACAGAGAGTTCATTTTTCCCAGTGCATTGTGGGAGATGGTCGACAAATTCACAGCGCGGGACATTTGAAATTGTTAGTTTTTCCGGCCAGAAAGTTCGTCAGCGTATGATTCGAGTATCTGTTTGCCCGTTTCTTTCGTTTTATCAATATGGAGTTATTTTGTAAGGCGGCAGAACGTACTATGCCCCAATCTATAAAAAAAGTGAGCTCAAGTTTTCTACAGACACTCGTTCAAATGGGCCCATGTTTTGTCGACCGTAAACTTGAAAAACGAACTCTCTGTGGCAAACTCTTGGTGGCGCACTGCATTGTGAATCGCCCAAGTTGTTTTCAAAGAAAGAACGCTCACCTTTTGAGTAATCCGTGGACAGAACCTTAAAACATTTGTTGTGTTTAGAATTCCGTTACTTGAAAAGTACATCAGTGATGTAGATGATTCTTGTACTGCAAAAAAGCTTATGAATCGACCTTTCACATCCTAGAATTTGAAAGTGCTACATGCAGAGTATTTGGGTTTCGTTTTTTTTTACTCTTTACCCTGTAAAGTATGACATTTTAAGTATTTCTAATAGGCAAAAATGTGTTTAGATGTATTCGGCCTTTCCGCAACTTCTGTGGAAAAGCCTAATTAGTTTTTGTGTTGATTATGATTACGTCATTATGACGTCATCAACATGCGACTTTCGCCACCCTTCCCCAGTCAAAAATGTGGATATATTTAACACAAAAATATCGGACTGTTAATTTGTCATGAAACTTGGTGGAATGTTAGACGATGTTATTATTATGAACAGTCCAAGTTTACGTCACGATGACGTCATTGTTTTATTTAAAGAATTTTATTTTGGGGTGATTTTATTTTCATCACAATAGTATTTTGTTCAGATCAATGTCTTTATTCACATAGAAAATTGCACATTGCATGTGTGCATAGGTGGCGTCATGTGACGTCATTATAAAGGTGCAATTTTCAAAAGTCCTCTATCTAAAGAACTACAAGTCCGATTGCGTTGAAACTGTGTATGTTCATAGACAGGGATGTAGTACGACGTCACGATGAGGTTATCTTGTATTTTTAATAGATTTTCCAAGTTTTGAAGATTATTGCCATATTTCACAAACATGACAAAATTCAAATTTATTTTGTAATAGGTTTGTGAGCTCAAACATATTTGCATAAAATTGTTACAAATTTGTTACGAATTATAAACACATAAGGCGAGCCCTCAAATTAGAATCCCTCCCCGGACCGTTCGGGGTTGAGCCCGCCCAGTATGTTGAAGGGATTGGGACCTTTCGGCCTGGATTAACTCCACCAGGCTTCTGCACCATGGCTCTGGCTCATCACAAAGGAACCAATTTGCAACGTGCTAATCCTCCAGTAGGCAACAATGACTGTGATGAGCTTCATAGAAGTTGCCGCTGGTAATCCCAGTGGGCCGAATAATCCTCCAACAATGGCCAGACTTCAATTTATGTTGCCTATTGTGAAACCCTGAATTGCCAGTTTGGACCTATTGGGCTGTCACGCTTCAGTGACCGGGTGGCTTCTGGCTTCGTACCGATTGGGGTGAAAGAAATTAGCATACCGGACCCGGTACCCGAACGGTCTGTTATCTGATGGCTCGCCTAAGGTAAGTCCAATCGACATCAAACTTGGTGTGTAGGAAGATAGTATTACTAGTATAATGCAAAATTCAAACTGACGTCAAGATGACATTGTTACTAGCAAAATTTGGCAAAATGCACTTTGAAATGTGTTCGTACACAGAATGTATCACTTTACATGACTGCGCATCGACAAAAAACATAAACTCATGAAAAAAAATCATCATGCAGAAAAGCCGTATGTTCTGGTTTTAACTTTATGTTTTTGTTTTAGTGGTTTGTTTGGTTTTTCTTTTCGGGTGGGGGTAGTTTGTATTGAGTAGTTTTGGGTATAGAGAGGGGAAAGCAGCTAAACATGACGCAAAACACCGGTACCCCAACCCCCCTTATTTTACTTACTTGTCGATGAGCATGACTTTCCTGCCCAATTTGAGTTCAGCACCCCGTCAATGGCTCTTTGAGGTTTGGCGCTACCGTACTGTGAAGATTGCTTCACTGGTTTCCCAACAAGGTTCATCTTACTAGTCTCGGCTGTATTTTTTGTGGGGAAAAAAATATTATTAAAGGTCGTGTCCGACGGCTCCGTGCACTAGTACCACCTTCAACGGTAAGAAAGAAAGAGTTGCGGAGGTAGTCTGGTTCTCTGACCCCATTCTCATTTGGACTTCTAAAATGGGGTCTGGTACTAAGCGGTGACGCTTCCATACATTGCCCGGAATTCCGGGTAATGTTTGGTAACTATATGCATATGACGTACGAGGGTCTGGAACCCGCCTCGCCTCGTGATATCAAAATCACAACGGTAACGTTTGCGCGCGCTGAGCCAGTCTGATGCAAAAATGGCAATAGGCCATGCCACGAGTGTGCAATTTTGCAGGTAATAAGCTTCGGAATTTGACATTATCTCTGGCAAACATCGATAAAGAGAGAAATATTGCTGTTCAATGTTTACAACCTATGCAGTTGGAACGCTTGGAGGTTGCCTTAATGGAGACACTGCTGACTTTGTGTATTTTTGTGGTAAAGCAAGCGTGAGTCTCTTGATGATCGTGAGTTTTGTTGATCGAAAGATGGGCACTGTTTACCGGTCCCCTTATCTTTAGCAGGGGCCGGGAGACGGTCTATTGCGGAGAAGCACTTTACCAGGCAGACCCACCTTTAGTCTTGCCGATTTGGGGGCGGAGCTTGGTTTTCAAAAAAAAAGGTGGGTGCAAGGAATAAAAACTGTAGGCCTATTAAACATTTATTTTCCTTCTTTTTCCATGCTTTAAAATGAACTTAACCATAAAATAAAACATTCTAGCATTTTAATAGTTATATTTTCCGCCCAACTTGTGGGCGTGGCCTAAGTGTGTAAAGGGGTTGTGTGTACGGGTGGTTTGATCCAATTGTGACAAATATCGTGCATTTTCGGGGCAAAACCACGACAATTTGCAAGTACTTTAGTCGATGGACAATGTCCTGTAATAGTACCATCAAACCTGTTGTGCTCAAACTGTTAATTATACTCCACCTATCTCCCGGTTTACATCAGAGACTCCTCACTACCGGTTCTTGTTCATATAAGAAAATAGAGTCTGAATTGTTTTAAACTGAGACGGCAGACCATACAGACCTGTATTCCTTAATAAGACTCACCTTCCGATCTCTCCTCTATTAGCATGCGATCCAGGAATCCCAAGTCTCGATACAATAATTCATCAAGCTGAAAAAAGTGTGAGAATCGAACCAAACATTATGTTCTGGTACAACTGACAAACGCATTTTACATAGTCACCGCCTAACCAGCTTGTTACACCTTTTTAATGCATTCGTGTTTATTTCCACTTAATCAAATTTGGATACTAAAGGTTAAGTCAATGATTTGAATAAACAGATGAGATTCAGCGGTGGGCTTCTCCAAAAAGCAAACTTGTCAAGTGGAGAAAACCATAAGGTGTTGAAAAAAGTTGCGGGATCTCCGGAAAACGTACTAAGAACTTAGATATATAATGAGATCTTTAAATGATATTTTGTATTTAATTATAGGATAAAATAACAGTCTGATAGTCACATTTTCTTATAAATTGTTGCTTCAGAGAGTGAACTCATTTGATATAAATTTGAGCAGTAAGACTAGTATGCGCATTTCCAATGTCCTTTGAAAAGATGACCCTTTGAATCAGGTTGCATGATTCTTAAATGAAAAGAACATTCTTAACTTGCTTAGAGACTATAGTCAAACCCTTTTCATTTCTGTAGAACTAGACGTGTTCGACATATTTTCTACAAATTGTTTTGTACTAAGCCTATGAACTTGTTTCCACTATATTCAGTCCCATTTTTCCATGTTTTCCGGTTATGCGCGTCGTCACTAGTCTGCTTTGGCAATCTATATCAGTCATTCTGAACATTTATTGTGAAAATCTGATTCATTTTTTTAGCTACTAGTTCTAGTTACCTTTGTAAGTTGTTATTCAAGTAACATTAAGCATGACTTCAATGGAGTTAAATTATAATCAATAGGTAGTTTGCTGTTCATAGTCACTGCATGAGGAGTGCATCAAAATTATAAACTCATAGATGTCAGATGCAACATGGACAGAAAATAAATTGGACCCCATATTTAATAATAAAAAAATGACCCATAATTTTCCACCACACAATGTTTTCCGAGGTGCGAAACTTGAGGGCCTTTTTCTTCAGCAAATTCTGAATTTTGATTTCAAAAAAAGGGTGAGCTCAAATGTTTTGTACTTCAGGATTGTGGGTTTAAAAAAAGCACGGCCTTTCCATGGAATCCTTGTGGTCTTTTGCCTTCATACCTTAGAGTAGAAAAAAAGTGTATAACAGTTGAAATTGAGTAATGATTCCAAAGAAATGGAACTCGTAGGCAATCTCTATTTCCATAAATAAAACCAACACAATGGTCCGTCTTTGGACACTGGTCCGTTCTTATAAAACGTTGGACACGTGCTAGTTTAGCATTGTACCAGGCGCGGTTCTACGGGGGGGCTAGGGTGGCTGTAGCCCCCCCAAAAAAAAAATTTGTCTAGCCCCCTCAAAATAAATTCCGTAAAACTTGCATTAGCAAAAAGAAGGATTGTGTTGACATGCGAACGGTCTCCCCCTAAAGAAGAAATAGCCGTGACAAGGGGTGCATTAGTTAATATAGTGTGAAGGTTTTAGGATTTTATTGGCGCTCCCCATTGAAAATATGGCATGAGCCCCCCCCCCCCCCCCCCCCCCCACCTATTGATTTTCGGAGGCCTAAGTGTCTGGAAAAAATAAGCGGTCTACATTTCAGCACGCCTCCCTGAAAAAAATTCTGGATCCACCGTGCTAGCCCCCCAAAAATATTGGTTCTAGAACCGCGCCTGCATTGTACTCAATCCTATACAGTAATCCTCGCAATCCCTGATTCAATGAACGAGAAAAAACTGTCTTCTTTGAATTTTGCATTTCGATCTCAAATTTCGCAATTGAAATACTTTGGATCTGATCTGTCTGGGACTTCCAGTGCAAATGCATGCAATACAGAAGCAGGTCGACAGTACAAGACTCAAGGTCCCAGTATATCGCAGTATGGCAATGCAGTATCATTCCTATACGTGTAGTTAGAAATATCACGATAGCCTTCAATACAGCTTTGAACGGGACGAATTCCATACATGGACATTTGCTGTAAGTTTTCAGTAAATAGCCTCATAGGTTTTGTGCACGGGGTGTCAGTGCTGTCCTGGCATGAAACTTTTAACTTAGAGGTCATTAGTTAACATTTTTTACTGGTCAAAACCCGCTCTGCAACCTCTTGAATAAAAGAAATTGTGGATTAAATCACTCAAGTCCGTTACGCCAAATCCTACCTTCGTATCAGGTTCCTGTAAAGTGTACGCAGACACACCGTGGCACACGGCCAGCGTTAGCAGTATAAGACCCACCATGGCCCCACCAACTCTGGAAATCGAAACGAAAAAAAAAATCACTCCACAATTTTTTTTTTATCGTATCACCAGTTCAAGCTCCTGCTCTATATTATGTAGTTTGAAGCCTTCAGGACTGTGGGTAGCCGTCGGAGTATAACGACCTGAGATCTATATCACTCGCTACCGATGAAGGGCAACCTCTCGGCAGCGATGTACCAGCGCCGCACCCGTACCTACAAGCTTTGGTGAATAACCCCCCCCCCCCCCATAAAACTACCTAATAGCAGAATATACAATGGCTATACGCACGAACGGAGATGTATTAATGAAACCAACATTTGAATAACAGTTGCACAATATATTTTTTTTTTCATACCTTCGCGATTAGCCTACAATTGTGTATCATCGCATTGGCCTCGGACGATAACGGGAGTTCGAAGAAAAAACCTTGATGGCTTGCCGGTTTTGTATGCACGCCGCACCTTAATTCCCCGTTTCACCGGTTCACCGGATCACCCCATCACCGGTACGGGTTTTTCATTACCTATTTCACACATACCCGATTTCGTCCTATAATCGGTCACATGATTATCTGTCACATGATGACCAGTCACATGATGGCAATCATGTAACTTCCTTCGTGAATCTGATTGGTTAAAGAGGTTGTGGAATGCTGGAAGACATTTCCGTCATTTTTCGGGTATGTAGCCTATTAAAGGTGTGATGAAATGAAAACGACTATCGTGTCTGTCATGACATGAGTACCAAAGGTACTTTTTGAGAGCTGTTTTTCAGGTCCTGTTTCGACCCGAACGTGCAATCTGTGTAAAAGTCGTCGTTGGGGGCAGCAAACAAAACATAGTAGATCGTGACGTAATAAACAGGACTCGTTTTATACTGGGCTGCATCGGGGTGCACGCCTGTAAATAGACCAAAAATCCGTCCGCCGAGCTCATAAATAAAAGTTATACCCTCAAAATATTCTATATTAGAGAGTTCTGAGAACCATGGAATTGGGGAATTGAAGACATGTGGCACTGAACCTCTGGCCTGGACTTGGAGCTTCCAATTCTGAGCATTTTGGATGCAATCTGGCCCGAAAGTGGCGCTATTTAGCCATGTTGTGGAGGGATTCTTTTTCAAAATGGCTACTTTTCCAGTTCGGGAAACATCATTCGTTTTAGGGGTGTTCTTATTTGGGTGAGAATATCTCAAAAAGTCAATGGTCAACCCACCCAAAATTGAAAAGAAAATGAAAGATGACATGTTGATCATCATTTTTCTGTGCAGCTTGAATACCTGTGAGAGTTCTGAGTATTTTTAAATGAATTTTGAAGTATGGACATTTAGCACTAGTGTCTATGGGAATTTATTTGCAGGCGCGCACCCTATAGATCCTGAGTGGTGGCGGCCATGTTGTTATGACGGGGGATTTCAACGTGTGCTTTTTATTGCTGTAAGTACAAAATAAGCTTAAATTGAGTTAAAATAAATATGAAAACAAACATTTTACACTCTGTATCTTTGATTTTTCAGGTTTTTATTCAAAACACACTGTGGAAGTTAGCATTTACATGTAAGTGAACCGTTAAAAAAATGTAAACAATGAGTCATTCACCCCAGTCTGTGCATGTTCTTATTTTGTTTCCATTTCGGGGTATTTTAATTGGTTATTATTGAAATCGAACACAGAGAAGGCACAGTTCTTTCTTTATTCAGACAAAAATAAGTGAATAATATTGTTTGTACTTGTTTGAGCTTGTACAAATCAAATTTTGACTTGTAATAAAATGGATGGTGAAGGGTGGACATTCACATCCAAGGTAAAAAACTTTTAGCCAATGGATTTCTGGGCTCCTGAAAAACACTGAGACAAAATGGCCGACATGGAGTCGTGGTGCGCCAGAATTAAATGGGCGATTGCAAAAAAGAGCAGATTTCAGCCTTCAAAAGGATGCCGGCTTTGGCGGGGATGCATAAAAAAATCCTATGGCATCATTTCAATGAAAATGCCAGGCTCGAACAAACGCACTCTGAAGTCTGTGCACAGGGCGGCTTACATGGCACACACCGGAAATGTAAATTTGCCACGGGAGTGGGATGTAAGTCACCTGTGCCAGAATTCATTGTGCGTTTGTTTCGAGCATTTGTCCCTTGAACCTAGGGCTGTAAATAATAGCAGAAAAGTCTGCAAACGACTCAAGCAGTGCCAAGGGCACGATGGGTACCGGGAGTGCCTGCTTTAAGGTATCGTAATGAACAATAAATTTGTCAGTTACATTCCAAAAACATAATTTAAAAACGTTTGCAGTAATTGTGTTCAGATTGGATGATGTGGCAGACATTTTTCAAACCATCGTCTGGCTTAGGATCCAGTTGGCCACGTTTATACAGTGGCCGTGTGGCATAATACAGCTGGAATCTTTGAGAACGCAATTGTGCTCTGCGTGTTTTGTACTCCTGACCTTTAGCACGTTTAACATACTGTTTTTGTTTCTTATCCATTTCAGCAAGGGCTTTTGCAGCTGGGGAGCCTGCAGTTACTGGGCAACCAGCAGCTGCGCACTTTTTGACTATTGAATTGGCGTGTCTGTTATTCACCAAGTGCACTGCGCTATGGTCTCGACAAGAACCATTTCTTGAGAAGGTTAGTGTGGCCTTAGGGTTGGTTACTGCAAAGGCATGGTTCATTGATTCTGCTTTTTGAGTACTGGTGCCATATTTAGTTTTTTCAAGGGCTTCTTGGCCAAGTCGTTTGCCTAAGAGTTTGATGAGAGTCTGTTCATCACAAGTTGCTAATTTCAGTTTGCCACGGGCATCGACTGGCAGGTATGGAAACCGATATTTACCACCCATACAAATTTGGGACCACTTTTTGCAAAGGCCGTGATTCCCCATGTAACATTGAACAATGGCACTTGCTGCATTTCTAGCCATGGTCGTCATTTGGGAAGAGTTCCCACCGCTTTTTTTCAGTATAGCAGCAGCCTCGGCCTGTGCCCTGTGGCTGACGTCATCGGCAAATCGATCTTGAATGTTTTTCTTTGCTCTTTTATTTTTGCCTGGAAACATCTCTTTACTGAATTTTGCACGACTTATGGCCGCACAGAGTGATCGGTTTAAATGAGGCGGATCTAACGAATGTTCAGTTTCCATACCTGCCACCTTACTTTGCATATATGATCTCATACCCCGTGCCAGACAACCGTCGGCATCTGTTGTCACCCTATTTACAAACAAAGGTTCTTTACAGTTTAAAAGTTTTTGGGCGCACTGAATGCCCCCGTTGCGCTCATCTCCCATATTGAAGTTCGGTGGACGAGTGGCCGTGCATTTCCCTGCGTGCTTGTGATCCCTCGCTCCGTCAATGTCACATTTTTTGCAAAGTTTGTTCTCCTGGTGGTACATGACAACATACTTGCTGGTTGTCACATTTTCAACGACAACATCTCTTGTCTGGGTGGCTGCGACGAAGGGTGTTTTCTTGCGACAGTTTCGAAGGGGATTATTATATTGTCTGTCAGTTTCCACTGCAATTGCGCTGTGTCTCTCGTAACCCTGCAGTTCATGAATGTCTTTCACGATTTTTCTCTTGTTGCACATGTCCGTTTCATTTTCTGTGGTGATAATTTCACCACATTTGTTTGATGTACTTTGCAGGCTACTTATCGAGGGAACAGTTGTGTCCATTGCAGACAACAGCCGCCTAGCCCCAGCAGCTGCAATGCCGGTGTTGTAAAGACCAACCTGGAACGCCATGTTGGGAGTGGCAGTCCGTCGTCCTCTCCCCGTCTGTGGAATTTCGGTGAACAGTTTTGTCTTGTCAGTGCAGAACCCACACTTTTGGCAGGACAGTACCTCGGACACAGCCAAACCTCGTCGCTCCTCAGCATCTGGCATCAATGTGGGCCGGCCGCTGCAATCAGGATGTGTGCGTTGGTGATCTAGGATAGCCTGCGCTCCCAAGTCGACTGCAGAATTGATGTCGACGAACCGGTAGGCTGCTCGCTTCCCTCCATCTGACTGATCAGCTGGGCTCTGGTGCTGGAGTTCTCTTCTACAGAGGGGCTGTGGTACTGCTTCCTTCTTGAGTTGGAGTTTGTCAAGGGGAGTAGTTTCAGCAGCGTTTGGTCGAAGCAGCATGACTTTCCTTGTCGGCACTGCATTGGGCGTGGTACAGATGAACCCCCGCTCATCTCTTTCAACAGCAAGTTGCATCTGCTGTTGTGTTGGCCTTGTGTACACTGTTGGTGAGTTCATCTGAAAATGACTGATTGGGGATTTACACTTTGCAGGGAATAGTTTATGGCCATTCTGGAACCAGCTTTTCTTCCTTTTGTACACTGCTCGTCCCAATCGACCCATACTGAAACTGCTGCAGAAATAGCTGGTTTTGCAAAATTGAGATTGTTTTTCCCCTGTGTGAGCATGTGACAGAATGCATGTGGTCACACTAACTCTCAATGCCAGAGTGATGACTATACAGCACAAGTTTGGTTAATAATTCAGAAGCCAGTCTGTACAGAGAGTTTATTTCTGTTGTTATTTTATGGGGGGGGGGTGGGTGGGTGGGGGATGGAAGATAGGTGTTTTACAATGGAATCTTTGGAGACAGTAATTAGCCCAGCTAGTACTAAAGAAGCTGGGCTGTGATGGGGACAGGGCCAGGGAGTCATAAATAGGGTCATATAATAAATCTTCAGCATGTACTTTCAGAGAATAAAAGGCAGCCACAGCCAGGGATTAGTGCACAACATCAAGGCCCATTGTGTACAGTTTTTGATCTTCCAAGGGTGTTCATTGCTTGCAATAATTTAAGAAATGACCAAAATACTACTGTTGTAATGTTGCTTATGTTACATGCCACCATTAAAATACAGGGCACCCTGTACATTTGCATATACAAAATGTTAAAGCTGTGCTGAAATTAATTTATCCCCCCCCTTCTTTTCACCCTTGATCCGCCCCTAAAGTGGTTATGGCCACCACAAAGTGACCCCAGATGAACCAAGAAAATAGTTCACACACATTGCAAATGTAAAAGAAAGGAATATGTGGCAAAATTTGAAGTGAGAAGGAAAGAAAAAACAACTTCCATGTGCATATTGCATGCACACAAGCTGTATTTTCCTATTCAAAACAGTAGAAAACACCATAGCCACACCCTACAAATTAGCCCCTGTGGTTTCTCCGAGGGGCAATATTTTTCATTTTTTTTTTCAAAATAATGACTTTGAAGATATTCTACTTCTCCTGAATGTGGTTTTGTGTTAAAATTTGAGAGTTGCCTGCTATTAAAGGGTGCACGCCTGTAAATAGACCAAAAATCCGTCCGCCGAGCTCATAAATAAAAGTTATACCCTCAAAATATTCTATATTAGAGAGTTCTGAGAACCATGGAATTGGGGAATTGAAGACATGTGGCACTGAACCTCTGGCCTGGACTTGGAGCTTCCAATTCTGAGCATTTTGGATGCAATCTGGCCCGAAAGTGGCGCTATTTAGCCATGTTGTGGAGGGATTCTTTTTCAAAATGGCTACTTTTCCAGTTCGGGAAACATCATTCGTTTTAGGGGTGTTCTTATTTGGGTGAGAATATCTCAAAAAGTCAATGGTCAACCCACCCAAAATTGAAAAGAAAATGAAAGATGACATGTTGATCATCATTTTTCTGTGCAGCTTGAATACCTGTGAGAGTTCTGAGTATTTTTAAATGAATTTTGAAGTATGGACATTTAGCACTAGTGTCTATGGGAATTTATTTGCAGGCGCGCACCCATCGGGAGTCCTGTTTATTACGTCACGATTTACTATGTTTTGTTTGCTGCCCCCAACGACGACTTTTACACAAATTGCACGTTCGGGTCAAAACAGGACCTGAAAAACAGCTCTCAAAAGTACCTTCTGTACTCATTTCATGACAGACGCAATAGTTGTTTTTATTTCATCACACCTTAGGCTACATATACCCGAAAAATGACGGAAATGTCTTCGAGCATTTCACAACCCGAGTCTTAACATCAACAGTGCGTCTGGTGATATCGGGTTGGGTGAAATCGTATACCAAAACAATCAGACATGTTTGTCGCCCGGTATATGCGGTAAGATTTGTCCGAATTTTCAGCGCACACCTCTGTACGATGGCCCGATTGTCCAGTGAACCGGTAAAATTGTAAAGGTGTGCGTTGAGATCAAGTTTTAAATACTGTTTAGAGATACTCTATCATTCCAACATTAATAACGCCAACAGTTTCTCCTACGCCAAGTGACTTGAGAAATAAAGCCTGTCTACATTTCATCAAGGATGTTCACGTACTTTTGACCCCCCCCCCCCACCAATAAAAAATGACCTTGCCATGCCACTGTTGCATCCTAGACACCAGGATAAACGACTGTTATGAGCTCGAGTACAAAATGCACTGAGCGGATTTGCCTTAATTGGTTAGACGCGTGATAAAGGGCATTAATACCCGACAATCACTTATCAAAATTCAATGATAATGACCAAAAACGTAGACTAATGAATATTCAAACATATAATTCGCTGGCTTGACAGACTTCGAGGCCAGATCGGGAGCAGAGCCTTGCAAATTTGAAAGCCACCGCGCGCAGTGGTCTTTGTTGAAAAGTATTCATGGTTTTTGCCACCAGCACGGCCGTTATCACGCGTCTAACCAGGAGTTGGGCCGAGTCGTTAATCCTTGTGTGTAGGATCCTTGGTTGCAGAAAGAAATGAGCCCCGGCCGATTGCTCATTGTTCACTTTTCAGGTCATTGTCCGGTTCATTTTTTTTTAGTGCAGTTCAGTTCACACTTATATTTCCTCTTACTCAATTCAAAACTGATGGCAATATCTCAAATTACAGTAAGCAGTGCAAGTCTCCAAAAAAAGTAGAGCTACCCTGTAAACCGGAGATCCCCATAACTTTAAACACATAACACACATTGAAATTGCTTACGGATATTTTGAACAGTTAATATAAATTAAGGGTAGTATTAAGGGACATCAGACTAAAACAACAAGAGCCAGGCAGTATTAAACCAGGGTATTGTTTGCTTGTTGCAGTGACGTATACTAAACTGTGTTTAGCAATTAAACACAATTTTGCTATCACTTTGTATAAACATGTTTAGAAGCTAAACATTATGTGTTCAATTTCTAAACATCAATGTTCAATTGCTAAACACCATCCATCCTTACGCTAAACATGTTTAGTATTTAAACTTGTTTACAAACTGATAGCAAGAAAGTGTTTGGAAAAGTGTTGAAAAGCTAAACACAGTTTTTACAGTCACTTTGATTGGGGGTAGACGAGAAAAGGCACTCATTTACGCTGGAAAATTGCCTGGGTTAATTTTACCCAAGCAAGGGTGAAAACTGCAACTACCCAACATTGGGCTGTCCTTTACCCAATAATTGTTTGGGTTAGAATTTCTCTTAAATTCAACCAAAACTTGTAGTCATCCATGACCAAATTAAATTCAGTCTGGTATGCCACAAGTTTTGGATGAATTTAACAGAAATTCTAAATTAAACAATTGGGTAAAGGACAACCCAATTTTGGGTAGTTGCAGTTTTCACCCTTACTTAGGTAAAATTTACCCAGGCAATTGTTCCGTGTACGGGACACCAGGCCTCCGTAAATTCAAAAAGTACGTGTATACATGGTTCCTAATATGGGGTACAAAACCCAACAGAACAATAGACCCCACAAGGAAGTCTTTACAGAAATTAATCTGCCCCATAATGGAAACACTATGGTGTTTGAGATTTAACAAAGGACAACAAAAGAAAGGAAATTAAGGTTTTCCCCACATTATGTGTAAAGCGGTGTGCTCTTGTCAGTAGCTTTTCAGGTAGCAGACCAGTAAATAAACTTCCATAGACCCCAATGGTAAATGCTCCCACTTCAAAAATTCGGGGAAAATACTCACAACTCTCCAAGGGGTTCGAGACACACATCAAATTAAAGCTTATTTCATCATCTTTCATTTTCTTTTCAATTTTCGGGGGTCAACTGATGAATTTTAGGAGAAATTTCCATCTGAAGATGATCACCCCTGAAAATAGTCCTGAAGCCCATCGCCATTTTGAAAAACGATGCCTACACTCCATTGCAAAGTAGAGCGCTTTTAGGGTCCAAATTACATCAAAATTACACAGAACTGCAAGCTCCCAGTCCTGTGCACGGTTTCCACTCATATTTTTTACAACCCCTCAAGTTCATGGCCCACAGCATGCTCAAATACCGAAGATTTTAAGGGGGAAGGAAATCGTGATTTGGCCGGCGCAGGCAATTTCGGACCGATTTACTGGTCTGCGCCCTTCAACTGTGCCGCCTCGAAGAGCATCACTATTGAAGGGCGCCACCTATTGAACATCGGACCATAGGAAGAAGGTGTCAAACCATCCCCATCCCCACCCACCTCGCCTCCACACACAAGCCTCACACAGGTTTGTTTATGGTGTAAATCCAGGATTTTCGATTGTTCCTCGTCCTCATTCCTTTGTTTATACCCTAACTTTCTTGCAACAGCTCTCATTGGTTTTGTACACGTTTTCTAATCGAGGTCGTCCTCGATTTGATTCCTGTCCTCAATTCATCGATGACGCTCCACATGTGTGTCCTCGATTTACACCATAAACCTGCACGTACATTTTTAAAAGCATCAATCAATCTTGACCGTATTTTCCAAAATCAGGCATTCAACCTGAAGACAGGCATTTAGAAGTTAATTGTTTTCTATAAATAAATATTCAATTTGTGTTGTTTTACAACTATAAAACCTCGTCTTTTTCCTATTTGTGGACGTCTGCATTCCTCCTGACACTGATGGAGAAAAACATGATTGTATTACCTGTATAGATTTTTCCGACCAAAGTCGTAAAATTGTCGTTCAGATTCATTTCAGTGTACGGATATATAGCTGCTCCTGTGTTGGTGCAAGTATTACCCGTTGTCCACGGAGCCTAGTCTCCGTTCCAACGTGTCGTCTGGTATAGAAATGCAAATATCTGCGACCCCGCGCACCAGCCAATCGGAGTCGACTTTACTCAATCGTGACGTCATTTCATTCCGAAATCTGTTTGATCAGTCAAGTCGGATGCAATGCTTTTGTTATATGCAACAGCGGCCTGACATAGAGATCTATCAAACCTAGCCACAACATTAGCTAAGCTTGGCGCATCGCGGAACATTTCACAGAGCGGGTGACCGCAGGCTTTGTTTGCCCAATTCACGACGCAAAAAGGATAACAGATGTCGTATGTAGGTTTTATTTATAGACGTCCATGACGCGACTACGGGGTTATTATAACTCAATGACTAAATATAGAAAGCGGTTGCTGAATGGTCAGAATAGCGAGGTCAAAATGCAGTACATGTACAATTTTTTTTGCATGATTAATTGCCGAATCTGCTTGCATATAACAAAGACTACTCCTGTGTGGTTCGTTTTCTAGAATTTTAGGCAGTAAAGTCGGTTGTACACACAAAGCTTGGTATTCGATCTGATATAAGGTACCCTGTCGAGCCATGTGCCTAAAAGGGAACACAAGATTGAATACGTCTCCACTACAGGGAAATTTCAATAGGTGAATACGTCTCCACAAGCTTATCACGAAATATAGTTATATGGATTTTGCTCAAAACTATGAATTTCCAAGGACCAAGGTGTGTTGATCCGTCGCGAATTTAAGTGTTTTACGTAAGGGATATTAAGTCCGAATTTCAGCCCAGGAAATTAACTCTGGTTAAAAAAAGAGCACTTGGAAACTTCACTTTCAAACTCTAAAATGTTAGTACACGGGAACAAAGAAATGATTCCGCAAGGATATCAATTCCAGTGTTCACGTTTTCCTTTTCGTTTATCAGGCATGCATACAAACTTAACAACCTGAGACAGCAAATTGCAATCATTTGTTTCCTATATGTTTTATTTAAAATCTGTTTAATAGCCTTATCATTCACATTGTTTCGGCATCATATGCCTTTCCTCCGATGTGATTGTCAATTGTATTTTCATGATTGTTCCTACTTGTTTATGTATTCTAATTGTTAACTGTAGTTACCTGTTTAAAAGATGCAGACGTGCGATAATTATAACAAAATTATAAAAAAATTCAAACAATGTCCATGTAAAGGCCCCTAAAAAAACCACTGAAGTTAATCAACCATTAACCATTAACCACTAACCATTAAATCAGTTTAACATCCGTACATTCTCAACGACTAGAGAAATATTTAATATCCGTACTTCTCGAAAATCAACAATGCGCACCATTTGCAACCTCGCGCGGGACGGTGTGGTAACCGTTTCATATCAGACAGGACTAGGGTTTAAAAAAATAGATACACAGGATTGCTTCCGCGTACAGCGGTGTTTTTACTTGCAGCGCACATCGTCAATGGATCATGATTATTCAGCTAATTCGATGTTTATTCATAAGAAAATAACAATGACGCCACACCATTGCTGTCATTTCGTCATGCATGTACACTAAAACATTTCAGAACGGCTTTCGTCGAGCTGCCACAGTGTCCTAATGGATAGTGGAGTGATTTTTTGACCGCAAGATATGTGGTTCGTGCCCATACCCATTTTCATCAAATTATTTGTGTTGGTTGGGATAAGTTTAATTGAAGGGGAAACACTAGTACGAGAACCTAAGTGTCTTCCATCCACCCATCAGAGTCATAAATATTCATGTTAGGGTGCGTGATGTGATCGGTTAAAATACGATGTATGCTGCATAAAATACGCTCCCGTGCATAGACGATCTCTTCGTGTTGCTTGATTTTCATAATTAAGTTTGTAGGTGTGAAACAAATTCTACAACTTGGAAGTCTTTTCACTGGATGTTTTCATTATGCAGATAAAGAGCATACAAGTAGAGCATCATTACAAATAGAACTTTGTTCTCTCTGAGTTGTCATGATTTTGACATCGTGATGAATACGGACAATGTTAGTAGTTCCAAAACTCTGATGCAAACACCTAATAAAAAAATTGAAAATACAAGGGGTTCAGGAACCAGTTCCCCTCCCCCCCCCCCCCCCCCCACCACCATTCCCCTTCTGGATCCGTCCCTGTCTGTGTCCGCTCCTGTCTGTGTCCGCTCCTGTCTGTGTCCGTATTTGCAGATATTCCATGCAATGTCTGCTCCTTGAAAATTTAGCATGGTCCTGGGATCGCCTGCTCGACCGTCACTTCGCACATCTGCTGCTGGGTGACCCTCAGCAGTGGGATATCCACGGTGACAAACTGGGCCGTCAAGGGAGGGTCGCACACGAAGTCCACGGTAGACCGGCGTACTTCGGCTTGCTGGGCGGTCAGGGCCGAGCCGCACATACCGTTGTTGAGCCCGGTGGAGCTCGTCCCGGCACGGACCACGGCACCGGTCAAACGATCACCTGTAGATGCGTAAGAGCGGAAATAAATAGGGTTCAAATCCACGCCAAACATAACACACCCCTCCACTACACAACAACCTTGAAAGGAAAGTTACTATCATTTTTTTTTATGGGGGTGCAGTGCTTTGGGGTCAGCATTTCTCAGTCGGCGTTTCGGGAACGTTTTTGTTTTTTGCGCTGATATGACATTTCATTTTCTGGCCAAATCTCGCTGGGCCCCCAACCCCCATGCCCCGCTCAATGTTGTTTCTCATTGCGCGGTGTGTGCTCCATCCGCTGAAGAGAACAATATTGACCGGGGGAGTGGAGGAGTTGGTGACCGTTGGAGGTTATTTCCAAGTGTCCCAACCATTTCGGCCGGGATTGTAGAGCAATAAAACTTTTGTTTTTGTTTTACTTCTTCTTTTTCTTTTTCTTCTGCTTTAATCAAATCTGGTTTAGTATAAGCATTAATGATTGAGTGTTTTCGGGAATTCAAACAGCCAAGTTTATTTTTTAGATCTCGAGAAACCACATGTCATGAATTTCTTAATAAAAGCAAGGCTTTTCTTTCTGCAAATAACCCTGCCATTGGGTGCCCTTGGCCTCCGTTAATGGATTATGATTTCGATCAGTTTGATTTGCTCTTTAACTTGAACGCAACAACGTGAAGACTTACTGGTGCAGTCTCCACGCTTCTTCACCACGACCTTCTTGATGCAGTATGCTGTGATGAGATTCACCTGCAGCAAAGACGTCTCCGCGTTTACTGCAAAAGAAAATTCGTATAAGCATATATATGTAAACGTACAACGAATATCTACACAAATAAAGTTGAATAAAAAGATACGCGTGTTCAATGGAGGTTTAACAAAACAAATCGGGCACGAAACTAAAGTGTTATGGTCGATTTTCATGGCTTTCAAACAGTGGCGTAAATAGGGAGCATGGGGCACGCCCCTCGAGGACTGTTCCCCTTCTTGAAATGACACCCCAAGGGTCCCAAGCCAATAGAACACCTGTTACGTCATTGCTTCTAGACATTTGGAAGTGGAAAACACCTACATTGCATGGTACAGGGGCGGATCCAAGGGAATGACGACCGAGGTGGGTCGGAGCTGAACCCCCTTTTCAGTATCTCACATGCATAATGTGTAATTGAGACATACATCTAATTAAAGCCAGAGTCCATCATTTGCAGCTATCCCAAAAGTAACTGGCGTAATTAGTGTTGAAAAACATACTTGGTTGAAAGATAGTAAGGGGACTAAACTCCCTGTGAAATTATTCTTTCTGGCAAGCTGTCATTTTGAAGAAATCAATGGAAGAAGGCCTTTCCAAAGGGTGCGTCTTAAGAAGCACCGTTGGAAAATTCCGTTAGTAGTTCGTTTTTTTTATTCTGCGAAGCGCGCAAGCACACGCGCGCGCAGTTGCAATAATCGTCGGATCGGTGCGCGACATCGCGTAGCTGCAACACTGATCTCTATTAAAGACTGGATAGCTAATATAGAGCCGCACAATGCACGAATTTGACGCCATATTGGTGAGACCGGCTGGTGATCTACAAAGGACAAGTTGCCGTCTTTATAGACAGCATGATTTCTTTTGTAACGTCGCGGTTCACTTAACTTATATTTTGGCCACCACCACTGACCAACTGACCAAGGTTTTATAACTGGGATTTTTCTAACGTTGTGGTTAGTTTTATAATGCCGCAGATCACTTTTTCGGCGTTTTTGAAATAATAATCACTACGGAAATGTGTCCCTTTTAGAACATCATAATATGTGAAAGTGACCAAAATGCGCGTCAACTGTTGATACAACGCGCGCGTATTTACGCGTAGACGTTCGTATTATACGCGGCCATCTTCGTGAGACCGGGGGCGAATTGGTCAATATGCAAAGTCTACTGTGTGAATGTTGTATGCATATCCGCTATCCAGTCTTTATATAGAGATCAGTGAGCTGCAATCGGCTTAGTGAGAACGTGTCTCGGACGCTGAGTTCAGGCCCAATTCAAAACATGATTCAGCAACTTTTGATTTGAAATGGAGATTCATAGAATGTTGTTTTTCTCGAAATATACAGCTGAAGTTGAGCTGAAACTTCATCAGGTTAGTTGTTCAGCACCCTTCTTTATATTTTGAGCACTTTTGTTGCTTCAAACGAACAAAATGCACACATTACAAATGATGGACTATACCTTTAAAGCTTATTTCATCATCTTTTCTTTGCTGTTCCATTTTCTTGGGGGATTACAGAAACAGTGCCTATGATCCATTGTAATATACAGCAATTTCAGCGCCAAAGTTCACCCGAATTTCACAGAATAATAAGCTCACAGTCCTAATCATGTCTTTCCCTTCCTTTTTGTTTAATGCACTGCTACCCTAGTGCTGGCTCCACTGAAGATCCCCACCTCCTACCCCTTTCCAAAAAAAATCATGATCCGCCTCCATCTGGGTGATCATCTAGAACCTCTTGTGTGCTTTATTTGAGGGTCATATCCTAAACGTTGCAAACATACCTTCAGAGATCTCTGGGCCTACTGGTACCATTGGAGTTTCCAATTTGACTGGCGAGCCTTCATCAAGAGAAAAAAAGAACGTTAGTATTTTGTTCATGAATTGGTTAAAAATTGTCTATTATATTAAGTAAGCTAATTCCTTGAAACATTTTGTAAATGTATTCGGGATTATGTGATGAAACAGCATTGTTAAAATGTTTGGAAAGCGTCGGCCTTTCACATTTTCGTTGATAACTGCTAGCTCTTGAGTCATATGTAACATGCATGGAGTATTAAATTAAATTACGTCAACTCAAATGTCAAGCACACATCAAGCGGGGGACGAATTTTTTGACGTAATAATGCCTTTCTCCTAGCTCGTTTGAGTAGCTTGCACATACGAACCCTCAATTATTGACTGAAATATCTACATGAGGGAAAACATTTTCTGTTACAAACTTCTATAATAACTCGTAGAATTTCAGACCCGTAACTAGCAATGAAGGCTTATTTTCTTGCGTTTCTAACAAAGAGATTGGAGACAATTTGAGTTTTATATTATTATTATTTATTCGGCCAACAAAACAAGTACAATGACAAAGCAAATATGTATCATAAAGTAAACAAAACTGAAATTTGAAAAGGAACCAATAATGTTAAAAGAAACGTATGACCAGACAAGACTTTAACAGTTTGACAAGAGAGAGGAGATAGAGGGACAGAAAACAAGGACAATAAAACATTCCAACCAACCAGGGTAAGCAGAAGTGTACTCAAACACTGTAGCCCTAAAGCCTGCTTACCCATGCTCGAAATGTCTACACAATAAAATAAATAGATATTGTTCTAACTCGACCTCTGACTTGTGGGAGCATCTGAAGACTTGAGTACACCTCGTGGCAAAGACAGATACTTACTCGATTCGCAAAGAGGCCCGAAAAATCCCTCAAGACACTCGCAGGAAACCTGGTTGACACCGTCCACGCACGCGGCGCCATTCTGACATGGATCGCTGGCACACTCGTCAGTATCTGAGAAAAGGATAGTGAGAATCAACCCAAAAAAGGTTTTTTTTTATCTAGCAGATATTGGGGCGCTGTGGTCCAATGGTTACGGTGTTCGACTCGTGTGCCGTGGTGCATGGTTTCAAATCCTGACCGTGGGAACATGGTGCTTGTGCTCTTGAGCAAGGCACTTTACCATTATTGCTTCGTCCTTCGGATGGGACGTAAAGTCGTAGGTCCCGTGTGTTGTGTAATGCACGTTGAAGAACCCAGTAACACTTATCGCTGAGAGAAGGGGTTTGCCCCGGTGTTTCTGGCAGTGGCTGCAATGTGCGCCGTAGCACCTTGTAAACCATTACAAAGTGCTACACAATGGGTCTCATATTTCTCATAAACTTTATTTACCTTTCTTTAATAATTGACATAATTTCCAGCGCCTTGAGTACCTAATTGTTGGTAGGTATGTGCGCTATATAAGACTCCGTTATTATTATATTGCCATGGAATCAGGTTGGCGAAGCAGTACTTTCCACGCCTTTCATATGTGTAATCTGGCTTATGATTCCCGCCTGGGCCAATATGTGAATTGGGTTTTAAGTTCCTGCCTGATTCCATGGGTTTTTCCTGCGTTGTCATTCTAGGGTTTTCGTACTGAGGGACCCCATTGAAACTAGCAGAAAGGCTTTGGTGGGCCATCCCGGGCTGAATTAAAATAAATTAATGGGCGTCGATCATATCAAAACTCATTGTGTATTTGCTAGAAAACGGAGGACAATGGAAGTTGCAATCAAAGGGATATCTCAAAAACAAAACATTAAGAATAATTTCTAACATTTAGAGCATTTCAGAATTGTTCTGGCACACCATTCTATGTAAAACAAAACTTACTGATCTCGCACGCGACCCCCTCGTAGCCTGGGGAACAAATGCATCTGGAACCTCCCAAACCGTCTTTAATGCAGATTCCATTCTTACAGGGATTTTCGATACAGCCGTTGGACTCTGTAAATATAAATGAGAAAGATTATTGATATAAACATGCGATTCAGTGGCATAACGTAAGGGCCCCATATAGCAGGAAATGGTCTCCGCCGACACAAATGATCTACATACCTCAACCAGTAGCAACTTTTCAAAATAATTTTCAGGGATATGGTGCTCTTTGCTTGAATAGCATGAACCATGAATAAGATAAAGATTTGTTTGTAAACTTTATAAGCTCAATTTCGGGATGTTGGTCATTCGCTTCAGGTGAACGTTTTAATATTGCCTGAAGGTCAATGTTCACTGGACCATGTGTCTGAAATGCTTATGTTCAACTGTAGGTAGTGGCATTCGGGTGTCGTACTTGTGAACAATTAAAGAACAAGCAGTAAAATCCCAAATAACCTGTCCTGAAACTTCAGTTTGTCTCCTAGAATCCAAAATCGAAACTCACTTGTTTCACACAAGTCGCCCTCGTATCCTGAGGAGCACTCACAGCTGAAACCGTCTTCTTCGTCAAGACAGACGCCATTCTGGCAAGGGCTGCTATCACATGCACTTTCCTTCGTCTGGGACACAGCTGAGGATGAACAAATGTAAACAACAAATTGTTTCTTGCCATTCTAAAAAAAATCAAGCAAAGAACTAGCTATTGTATTGCGCCTTTCTGTCATCACTGGTTCCACCCTCCCAAAAAAGGAACAGGCTTTCATATAGTTAAGCTGGCCCACACTGAAAAATTGCCTGGGTTAATTTTACCAAAGAAAGGGTGAAAACTGGAACTACCCAAACTTGGGTTGTTCTATAACCAACTGTTTGGGTTAAAAATCTATGTTAAATTCAACCAAAAGTTGTAGTCATACAAGACCAAATTAAATTTGGTTTTGAATGACCACAAGTTTTGGTTGAATTGAGCACGAAATCCAAACAATTGGTTATAGAACAACCCAAGTTTGGGTAGTTCCAGTTTTCACCCTTTCTTTGGTAAAATTAACCCAGGCAATTTTTCAGTGCAGATCGGTTTAATCCACTGTACACAACAGACTATTTGATTTATTCTTAGTATTTTGAAGTCCTTTGATGCATCTTGTCTACACAATAGTCAGGATTCTGTGTGCTATTTTGTCACCTCCAGTACTAAAATGAACCCCTTGGTGTGCTGATTACCTATCTGACAAAGAACACCGGTGTATCCTTCTGCGCATGTGCAGGAAACCTTGTTGATGCCGTCCACACAGGTGCCGCCATTTTGGCATGGATTGCTGGCACACTCATCAATATCTATGGCAAATTATGAAACAAACAATCAGAACATAAATCAACACACCGGTTGGTGGGAATAAAGCAATAGTAAGGACCTGCTCCCGCACCACCTGGACAAAGTGCTCTAGCTTCCACTGATTTCCTCCTGTACGTGAATGACATTCAATCTCAGGTATCATCCCAAGATCAGGCTTGTTCCTATCGAGAAATGACATAACCTGCAGATGCTGCATTTAAACAGTACAGAAAGACTTTGATGCTCCGTTTGCATGGGAGTACAAATGGCATATTAAGTGTAATTCCTATAACTGTTTTGTAATGCACACGACCACCAAAAAGACCACCACCACATCCAACTATAGAACTAACAACACCCCACTTACAAAAAAAACACGTCATCGATATCTGGGTTATGTTACGTAGCAAGTGTGCTTGGTTTTGCAACATCAACACAATCACCACTTCTGCAAAGAAAACACTTAGTGTCATCCGTCGTAACTTCAAGCCTTGTAGCCAAGAGAGGTGAAGTGCCGCTTGTACCAGTCCTTAGTTCGCCCGAATTGAAATATGGTGTCTGCGCTTGGGCTCCTTACACCGACGAAGAACGGAAACAACTCGAGAGCATACAAAGATCGGGTGATAGAATGTGCTGCCGCAACAATGTCACCATAAACTCCAGTGTTACTCCCATGCTACATGAGCTGGATGGCCACTCCTTGAGTCCCGAAGACTGGCGACACGTCTCATCATGCTCTACACAATTGTTGATGGGTCGGTTGACATTGAAGCTGGGCATAGTCTCACCTCACAAACAAGAACACACAGGAGGTCTCACCAATTCTCATACCACCGACTTCATGCCAAAAGCAGGATCTACAGCACCAGTTTTTATCCATCCACAATCCCACACTGGAATAACCTGCCTTCTCACGTCATCAATGCTAACAGTTTGAATCAATTCAAAAATGCCCTATCACTGATCCCTCGTGCAACATCAACGTCCTCCCTTAGTCCCTCTAGCCCCGCACCACGCCAACTCTAGCGGGCCGCCTCCGTGCTGGAGGAAAACTTTACAGATACAGATACAAAGTTGACAAATGCATTTTTTGTTTTGTTGGGTTTATTTTTGGGGGGGGGGGGGGGGGGGGTGTTCAGGCATTTTCAAACACCTGAGATTTTCAGCTTCAAAATAATACATACTTTTCATAGGTGCCATGACCCTATCACCCCTGGGAGAAGGGTTACGCGATTTTTTGTAAACATTTCTACACACATTTGTTTTTACTAAATCAATCAAGACACATTTCCGCTTGATGGATTATATTCATTTTCGAAAGGTTGCAAATTTATAGTTACCGAGTCAGAAAACCTTAACAACCTCAAAATGGTCAGTTTCGCCCCCCCCCCCCCCCCCAAAGTGATGTCTTCACATTGCCTTTGTGCGAATACACCTGCTGCAACTTTGTCCGGGTTTCGTGGGAGAAGGTCTAAATTTTTGCATATCAAATGGTTTACATTTGAAGACATTCTTAATAGACAGCTTACTTATGTCACACGTGTTTCCCTGGAAGCCTTGAGCGCAGTCACAGCTGAAACTGTCCGCTTCAGGGATGCAGATACCGTCATTCATACACGGGTCGCTATCACATTGATTCTTGGGCAGAACTGCAGGTAATCGTTAAAGGGAATGCACAACGTTTGCAAACTTAAATACATAAAACTACCAAATTATTATATGAAATACCTCACTGGACTGTTAGTGAATGACAGTCTAAAGGATTCTGTAAAATCGTGGCACCTGGTGTGCTAGCATTTTTAAGAAAAGTCGTATTTTTGTATCGATTTCCAACGCTGGTCGGGCGACCAGCGTTGGAAAAAAAAACCTTTTTTTCAAATACTGTCCCTAATTTACCATTAGTTAGTTCACATTTTGTTTACAATCGATTAGACACCTGTGAACATATACAAACCGGATAGATTGGTTCCCTGACCTTATAATTATCCGACGTCTATAAATCGCCCCGTTTCATCTTAAGTGGGGTCAGGGAATCAGACTTCATGAACATAATTATTTTTCTGTGTTTTTCCAGCATCAACGAAAATACAAAACTTCAAACACCTGAGTGTAAAAATATTTTCTAGAAAATGCCAAGCCCCATCCATTTCTGAAACTTACAGCAAAATCAAATCTGATATATCACTTAAAACAAGTGTTAAATCTGAACCTTATTAACCATCAGTTGCAACGTGGAATCTGTGCAAATATATACCCCCTCACTCACTTTCAAAGAGAGAGTTCGTGGAGACCGCTAGCCTAGGACGGTCTTAAGAATAAGAACCATTGCAAATGGCACGTGAACGAGAACGTATGCAGGTCGAAAAAAAGTTCCTCGTTAAATCGCCAATTTGCTTGGTTATTTCATCTGACAAACTATAGGCAGTTTGAATTTCACATCCACACATTAAGATGTACAGGGTGAGTAAAAAAAAAATGAAACTCAAATGTTAGGACCATTGTTTTAGTGAAGTTCTGCATATAGCACTTTCAAAATCTAGGTTATGAAAGCCCAATTCGTAACCCTTTTTTAGTACAAAAATCATTCAAAACACTCAGGTACTTTTTAAGTTACAGAATTTTAAACACAACCACAGAGCTGTCCACGGATCACAAAAAATTAAGTGTTCTTTCATCAAAACGAAAACAAATCACATAGGAATGCGTGTGAATTGTTTTCGTTTTCCTGAATTGTACGTAAGTGATTTGAATGATTCTTGTACTAAAAGAAAGCGTATGATTTTGGCTTTTATATCCTAGATTTTGAAAGTGCTACATGCAGAACCTCAATAAAACAATAGTCCCAACATTTGGGATTCGTGGCTTTTTTTTTTACTCACCCTGGATACCCTTAGGTTTGGTAAAATATAACCACACAAAATGGTGATAATTATAACCAGCTTTTTTTTTTTGAGACGCATACCTTTCCAACATACGTACTATTTGTCATAGTTCCTGATTATTTGACCATTGGTGCGACGCATATGCGGCTCAAACAATACCTTGCTTAATCACCATTGGCGTGGTGATGTTATTGTGGCACATTATGTACAATATGCAGTTCTCATCAAGCTAAGAAAGCAATGTGCGTTTGTTGAAAACAATCTTACAAAATGTTGATATAAGGCCAAAAAAAAGAAAGATTCGGTCTCTGGTCAGACCAAAGTTCCGGAATTGACGCGGCGACGCGGCTTTTTTTTTTTCAAGCTTGGATTGTACAGACAAGGTGGGGTACTATTTTGCTTTGTTGGTGTCCTCATGTATATTGGTGTCCTCCATAATTATCCTTGGTGCTTTCGATCATTTGCCTTGGTGCAATTTCCCATTCCTTGGTGCTCTTTGGAAAAAAATGGAAGAGGTGCGGCAATAGAGGGCGCTGTTGGAGCTACCGCGGAACATTTTGGAAAAAAAAAAGATTGACGCGCATGATTAAAATCGACGCGCGCTGACCAGAGACCGACTTATTATTTTTTTTTGGCCTAACCAAAGGTGTTTTTTTCGAGCCGCATGCAAATTTGTACCTGCACCATATCAAACGATTCATATTTATGCTATAGCCTGGAAGCCCGGACTTCATGAGTAATTCCATCAAGACCAAATAAAAGGCAACACATACTTGTTAATAAAAAATAAATATGTCATCGATGGGGTGGATAACTGACCCGTTTCACAGCGTGGTCCGGCAAAGCCTTCTGCGCATGTGCATGAAACCTCATTTGTACCATCCTCGCAAGTTGCGCCATTCAGGCATGGAATGCTGGCACACTCATCAATGTCTTGAAAAAAAAGAAAATAAAGGAAAATCTAACATTTAACAGGAAAAGCACTACAGTAGTTGAGATGGCATTGTTTTAAAGGAAATACAGATAAGCAGGTTTAAGAGCAAGCCTGCATACCAGCCATGATAAACGATGAATAGGAATGGTAGGTTGATGTCAATATACAATTATTATAACTTACCATTATTAAAACAATACCTTTAAAACGATTAATTGGAAAGCATAATAATTGAAAAGCAGTAAAACGTGTTAAAAACTATATATCCTTTTCTTTTTTATTTCTATCGCACTCACCAGTTTCACAAAGAGGTCCTGTGAATCCTTCTGCGCAGGTGCAGGTCACCTCGTTGATACCATCCGCGCAAGTGGCGCCATTCAGGCATGGATCGCTGGCACACTCATCAATACCTTACGGGGAAAAAATAGAGGACGGGCTATTACTCAACAGGAAAAAACACAATGGTTGAAACGACACAGGCTCAAAGACAATACAGACAAGCAACCTCGGTTAGCCTGCATTGAATGTCAGATATGATTAACAACTAATGTGAATGGTGGGTTGATGTCGAAGTGCAGTTATTTTAACTTACTGGTCTCGCAGAAAGTACCCTCGTAGCCTGGGGAACACTCACATCTGAACCCGTCCACTTCGTCATGACAGACGCCATTCTGGCAAGGGCTGCTACCACACTCGTCAATATCTATCACGAAAGAGACACCAGACAAACCAATAGCCTGAAACTTTTTAATTCAAAGGCATGATTTGTATAACACTACATGAATTGTTGTTTCCTCGTGAATCTGTAGTGCAATGTCGCTTCGGACGATAAAAGAACAAACAGGCAGGCAGTGGCGTAGCCAGGAATTTTTCAGGGGGGGGGGAGGCACTGGAACATTCCATGGGGGGCGTCATGTAGGGGCGTCAATCGCTTCTCAAAAGTGGGGGGGGCATACCTTGATCAGAACTGATGCGAAGCGCGAAGCGCAAGCCCTTACGGCGTGCTTAAGGGCCCGCTTAATGGCCCCGAAAAAAATTGGATTCTAGATGTACTGTGGTGTGATCTGAAGCAATTTCTTACCACTTTCCTCCATGCTTTAACTAATAGTTTCTTAACCAAAGATAATTATTTGAACATCGTTTTTGAGGTTGGAGTCATTGAATCAGCTATCGGTATTCTGAGCTATAGGCGTGGGGTTCGGGGCCCGCTTAAGGGCCCCGAAAAAAAATTGGATTCTCGATGCTCTGTGGTGTGATCTGAGGCAATTTCTTACCACTTTGACCAATAATTATCTAAGCACAAAAGATTGTAATTTAAACATAATTTTCGAGGTTTTCTCAGCTAAAGGCATAAGAAAATATTTTGAACATTGTTTTCGAAGTTGGAGTCATTGAATCAGCTACCAGAATTCTGAGCTATAGGCGTGGGGTTCGGGGCCCGCTTAAGTGCCCCGAAAAATTTTGGATTCTAAATGCTCTGTGGTGCTATCTGAGGCAATTTCTGACCACTTTAACCAATATTTTCTAAGAAAAAGATACATTGTAGTACATAATAGGGCCCTGTAAATGAGACACGAGTTCAAAAATCTGGGGGGGGACATTTGATATTGTGTCCCCCACCCTTCAAAAAGTGGGGGGGGGGGGGAACCAGTCCCCCTGTCTCCCCAGGATTGACGCCCATGGCGTCATGTAGATCAATGTTAATTTTTTTAGAAACTCAAAATCTCACTGGGGGGGGGGCGACTGGGGGGGCGACAAGGTTTCATGGGGGGGGGCGGTTGCCCCCCCCCCCCCCCCGGTGGCTACGCCACTGCAGGCAGGGTAGTTTGGTAAACTACATGAACTAAAGGTTGAATGAAACATGCAATAGGATTTTGATGACGTAAATACATTTAAAACAGCTTTCTTGCCATGAAACTATGACTTTCCATCTCTTTTTTTAGCAGTAAAAGGGAGAAATTTCAAGATTTTTACTTTTTATGCTAATGAAAATTTCCATTTTCATGAGCCAAAGCATGACGTCATTCAAGGCAGAGCAGTAGTGTCTCCATAGCTTTGTGTACAAATATATATCAAACTTGTCTTCATTTTCTTGGAGTAAGTTCCACTTTTTACTTGTTTATCATGTTAAACAGCTTGTTTGGACAATAGAAATGGCCAATATTTCTTCCAATTTTTTTGTGGGTAGTTTTCAAGTACTAATTTTTGTACCATTCAAATGCACTATTGACAAGGAGTACCGACGAGGTGTACCTTGTGTGACAAAAGCAATATAGCGCCCTCTTACATGTATTGATGAAAGGATTTGCTAATAATTGAAAAACTATTACTTCCTTGTCACTTCCAATAAAGACAAGTATTAAAATCTTGTATGTAATGTTGCAACACATACTAATGTGCATGAAAACAAGATGAGCTGAATTTCCACTGCATATTGCCTTTAAACAAACTGTTTGTGTCTTTTATAAAAAAAAAAAAACAGTGCATGAATTGTTATGAAAATGTTTTTTTTTTTTTTTCAAACTATACTCGGGGCTTGTTTGTTTGTTTGAGGAAGATCTCAAGTCGAGAAGAGAATGTTTGTCGAGCACTAACCAGTTTCACACAGGGATCCCGTGAAGCCAGCAGCACATGAGCAGGTTACCGTGTTGATACCATCCACGCACGTGGCCCCATTCTGGCATGGATCGCTGCTGCATTCGTGAATATCTATGGTTGGCAATGCATCATAGCAAAAGGAAAAAAAGAAATTGGTGAAGCGATATGTACTGATGACAATGATCGACACAATTCGTGCAACTATGACAATTGATGCTTATTGTTTCAATAAATACATGTATATCAGAAATTAATCAACCATAAGGAAGTTAAAACACCATATTTTTATTGGAAAGCATAAACTGGTTCTCTACATAAAGAGCAGAAAAAATTGTTAAGAGAAATGTCCCATTGTTTTTCATTCCTACAGCTGCACTGACCAGTTTCACATAGAGGTCCAGTGAATCCTTCTGCGCATGTGCAGGAAACCTCGTTGACACCATCTTCGCAAGTGGCGCCATTCAGGCATGGCTCGCTGGCACAGTCATCAAAGTCTGTGTGAAAGCAATATAAATCCGAATGAAATCAATTTCAAAGCTGATTTGCACAAAATACCCTATCAAAACAGCTGAGATCTGTCCAACGACTAACTAGTTTCGCTGAGGGTTCCGCTGCAGCACGCGTGAAAAAGAAAATGAAAATCATTGCATCAGTTTACTTCGATTCATCGGAATACTTTTACAAATTCCCTGCCACCTATACATCTGGGGAACCCTTAGCTTCAATTTCTACCAAATTCAAGAATGTACTCACTTGTTTCGCAGAAATCTCCGGTGAAACCTTCTGCGCATGTGCAGGCAACCTCATTCACACCATCCTGACACGTGGCGCCATTCTGGCAAGGATCACTGACACAGTCATCAATATCTGACAAAGACGAAAATAATAAGAAAATAATATTAAAGCTATAGTCCATCATTTGCAGCCATCTGAAACAGTAACTGGCGTATTATTGTTGAAAAACAAAATTGGTTGAAAGATAGTAAGTGGACTAAACTCCCTGTGAAATTAATCTTTCTTGCATGCTATCATTTTGAAGTAATCAACGAAAGAAGGCCTTTCCAACGGTGCGTTTTAAAAGACGCACCGTAGGAAAATTTAAATTAGTAGTTCGTTTTGTTATTCGGCGCAGCGCGTGCAAGCATTGGCACGACGCACAGGCGTGCGCGGTTGCTATAATTCGTCGGATCGGTGCGCGACATCGCGTATAGCTGCAATTCAAAACAATTCAAAACATGATTCAGCAACTTTTGATTTGAAATTGAGATCCTAGAATGCTGTTTTTCTCGGAATATACAGCTGAAGCTGAGCTGAAACTTCATCAGGTTAGTTGTTCAGTATCCTTCATTAGATTTTGAACACTTTTGTTGCTTCAAACGAACAAAATGCACAAATTACAAATGATGGACTATATCTTTAAAGTGATATCAAAATTCCCTGTACTTTGTATCGTCATGACAATGTGGAATGTTTACAATGGGCTTTGTGTTCTCACAGAAGAGATTTGCTATTACACATTTCGATTGTCAACGCAAACCTGTATTTTTTTCTGACACGGATACACGAACCAACGAATGAAACCCTGCTTTTTTCAAATAACAGCAAAAAGGGGAGCGCTATATTATACACGGACGTTAATTGACGACATAGGGTATTCGATATCAACAGTGGCGATGTTTATTAAAGGAAGTATGCCCATTATTCCCTGCTAAGACACCTATAGACATAATAACCTTGAATTTCTATCAAATTTAAGAATGTACTTACTAGTTTCGCAGAGACCTCCGGTAAAGCCTGCTGCGCATGTGCAGGTCACCTCGTTGATACCATCCACGCACGTGGCGCCATTCTGGCATGGATCGCTGCTGCATTCGTCAATATCTATACTTGCCAATGCATCATACAAAAAAATATGATGGAAAAAAAAAAAATTGGTGAAGCAAATGTGCAGGACGTTGATCCACACAATTCGAGCAATTTTGACAATTGATGCTATTTTTTCTTAATAAATACATGTATATCAGATATTAATCAACCATTCATAAATACCTCAGACAGTTTAGCCATTCCTATTGGTCGAGAGCCCGTCACGTGGCCGGTATTAAACGGATGATAAAGACATGGCTAGCTGGTCTTAAACACTTTTCCAGTGTCACAATAAAATGTGGACTCCTAAAAATCCAGTGCCTCTTATCGTTTCATTGGTTGAACGTTCACAATCCTCACGTAGGCATGCGCAACACTACCAGGGAGTTAGAATTTTATAGTAACTCAAAACGCAACGCGCCAGGTGCGTTCTGCGCGACATCGCATAGAACATGATACGCGCGCGTCAATCTCCATAAAAGGGTTGTTTTCATCTTACTCGCCAGCTGAACACTCCATTATTTTGCAGGAGGGATGATTCAAAAAGCATAAAGTGAATTTGTTGAACAAAATCGGGATGTTTTGAACGAATTATATGATTTTTTTTTACCGAAAAGGTATTTATGAATGGGAATAAATATGTACTCCGTCGGTATTTATCACTCTGTTTAATACCACTTAGAGTCTGGGTGCTGATAACTACCCTCGCCTCCGGCTCGGGTAATTATCAGCACCCAGACTCTAAGTGGTATTAAACAGAGTGATAAAAACCTCCGGAGCACACATTTATTCCCTTATTACGACTATTATTAAAGACACCATTTTTCAACTGGAAAAGCATGAACTAGTTGTCTACACAAAGAACAGAGAAAATTGTTTAGAGAAATGTCCCATTGTTTTTCATTCCTATAGCTGCACTGACCAGTTTCACATAGAGGTCCAGTGAATCCTTCTACGCATGTGCAGGAAACCTCGTTGACACCATCCTCACAAGTGGCGCCATTCAGGCATGGATCGCTGGCACACTCATCAAAGTCTGTGTAAAAGCAACACATATCCGAAAGAAATCAATTTCAAAGCTGATTTGCACAAAATACCCTATCAAAACAGCTGAGATCTGTCCAACGACTAACTAGTTTCGCTGAGGGTTCCGCTGCAGCACACGTGAAAAAGAAAATGAAAATCATTGAATCAGTTTACTCCGATTCATCGGAATCCTTTTACAAAAATCCCTGCCACCTATTTCTGGGGAACCATTAGCTTCAATTTCTACCAAATTCAAGAATTTGCTTACTAGTTTCGCAGAAATCTCCCGTGAAACCTTCTGCGCATGTGCAGGCAACCTCATTCACACCATCCTGACACGTGGCGCCATTCTGGCATGGATCACTGACACAGTCATCAATATCTGACAAAATGAAAATAATGATAAGAAAATAATATCGAAGTGATATCAAAATTATATCGTCATGACAATGTGGCATGTTTACAGTGGACTCTGTATTCTCAGAATCTTCTTAGCCCAAACAGGACATTTGCTTAAACATTTCGCTTATCAACGCAAATCTGTAAAAAAAATTTACACGGTTACAAGAACCAAGCAATGAATCCTTGCTTTTTCAAATAACAACGAAAAGGGGAGCGCTGTATTATAAACGGACGTTATTTGATGACAGAGGGTATTCGGTGTCAATAGTGGTGATATATTTAAGGAAGTATTCTCACTAAAATATGTCCATTATTCCCTGCTGTGCCGCCGATACATATATTTACCTTGAATTTATATCATATCCAAGAATGTACTTACTAGTTTCGCAGAGACCTCCGGTAAAGCCTGCTGCGCATGTGCAGGTCACCTGGTTGATACCATCCACGCACGTGGCGCCATTCTGGCATGGATCGCTGCTGCATTCGTGAATATCTATAGTTGGCAATGCATCATTCAACAACAAAAACAGTGAACCAATTTGTAAGCATTGATCCACATAATGTGTCCAATTGAATCAAAGTTGCTGCTTTTTTTTCAATAAATATATCACACTGTGATCAACCATTAAACCTTTTTTAAGGCACCGAACTTCAATTGGAACGAATGGGATAGTTCTCTCTGCTGTAAGCATTGATAATTGTTGAGAAAAATGTCATCTTGTGGTTTTTTTTCTGTTCATTTCTATGATACTCACCAGTTTCACAAAGAGGTCCAGTGAATCCTTCTACGCATGTGCAGGAAACCTCGTTGATACCATCCGCGCAAGTGGCGCCATTGTGGCATGGATCGCTGGCACACTCATCAATGTCTGTATTTATTACAAAAACAATGAAAACCCGCATAAAATCAATTTCATCGTTGATTTGCAAAAAGTCCCTTTCCAAAACAGCTTAAATCTGTCCAATGTATTTACTGGTTTCGCTGAGGGATCAGCTGCAGCACACGTGCATGAAAGTTACTGAATCAGGATACTGAATCAGTTTACTTCGATTTATCTGAATCCTGTTACAAATACCCTGCCGCTTACTTCTTGGGAACCATTAGCTTAAATTTCTATCAAATTTGAGAATGTGCTCACTTGTTTCGCAGAAATCTCCGGTGAAACCTTCTGCGCATGTGCAGGCAACCTCATTCACACCATCCTGACACGTGGCGCCATTCTGGCATGGATCACTGACACAGTCATCAATATCTAACAAAGATGAAAATAATAATAAAATAATATCGAAGTGATATCAAAATTATATCGTCCTGACAATGTGGAATGTTTACAGTGGACTCTGTATTCTCAGAATCTTCCTAGCCCAAACAGGACATTTGCTTACACATTTCGCTTATCAACGCAAATCTGTAATTTTTTTTTTACACGGTAACAAGAACCAAGCAATGAATCCTTGCTTTTGCAAATAACAAGGAAAAGGAGAGCGCTGTATTATAAACGGACGTTATTTGATGACAGAGGGTATTCGGTGTCAATAGTGGTGATATATTTAAGGAAGTATTCTCACTAAAATATGTCCATTATTCCCTGCTGTGCCGCCGATATATATATTTACCTTGAATTTATATCAAATTTAATATTTGCCTTGAATTTATATCAATCCAAGAATGTACTTACTAGTTTCGCAGAGACCTCCGGTAAAGCCTGCTGCGCATGTGCAGGTCACCTCGTTGATACCATCCACGCACGTGGCGCCATTCTGGCATGGATCGCTGCTGCATTCGTGAATATCTATGATTTGGCAATGCGTCATGAAACAAAAACAGTAAACCAATTTGTAAGCATTGATCCAAGTAATGTGTCCAATTGAATCAAAGTTGCTGCTTTTTTCAATAAATATATCACACTGTGATCAACCATTAAAACTTATTTCAAGGCACCTAAACATGAATTGAAAAGAATTGGATAGTTTGTTAGCAGTGATAGTTGTTGAGAAAAATCTAATATTGTTTTGGGTTTTTTTTGTTCGTTTGTATGATACTCACCAGTTTCACAAAGAGGTCCAGTGAATCCTTCAACGCATGTGCAGGAAACCTTGTTGATACCATCCTGGCAAGTGGCGCCATGGCGGCATGGATCGCTGGCACACTCATCAATGTCTGTACAATCAGAAAAGAGGGGGGGAATCGAATGAAACATATTGCAAAGTTTTAAGATTTTGGGGTTTTTTTTTCAAAAATTTAAATAATTTGCTTACTTGTTTCGCAGAGGGCACCGGTGAAGCCTTTCGCGCATGTGCAGGTAACCTCGTTGATACCGTCAGCGCAGGTAGCACCATTCTCGCATGGATCGCTGGCACAGTCATCAATGTCTGTATAAGAGTAATAAAAACCCGACTGAATTTCATTGTTGATTTGCACAAAATGCCCTTCCAAAACAGCTTACATCTGTCCAATATACTTACTGGTTTGGTAGAGGGATCCGCTGCAGCACACGTGTATGTAAAGTATTGCTTCACTATACCAAAATCGTCTTACGAGTTCCCCACCAACCAACTACAACCCTGTAAACCATTAGCTTAAATTTCTGCCAATTTGAAAAAAAAATACTTACTAGTTTCGCAGAGACCTCCAGTGAAACCATCTGCGCATGTGCAGGAAACCTCGTGGATACCATCCTGGCAAGTGGCGCCATTGTGGCATGGATCGCTCGCACAGTCATCAATGTCTGACAAAGATGAAAATAATAATAATAAAATAATCTAAAAAGTGGCATCAAAATTCACTACCTGTCGTAACGTCACGACAACGTGGAACATTGACAGTGGACTGCAAATTCTCAAAACCCTCTCAACTCACACTAAATAGTTGCTCTCACGTTGTACGCAAACCTTTTGTTCTATTGCCTGACACCGATACACCATCCATGCTGTGAAATATTGTTTTATACGATAACAGGGAAAGGGGGAGCGCTACATTATAAACATGCGTTATTTGACGACACAGAATATAAGGTGTCACAAGTGGTGATATTTATTAAAGAAAGAATTCCCAAAGTATGTTTGTTAGGAGAAAAGGTAAATTGCTAATGAATAGCGATTGCAGTAGGCTAATGGTCTGTGTCAAACTGACCTGTTTCGCAGAGAGATCCAGTGAATCCTTCTACGCATGTGCAGGAAACCTCGTTGATACCATCCTGGCAAGTGGCACCATTCTGGCATGGATCGCTGGCACACTCATCAATGTCTACATAAAATGATGAGCCCCCAAAAAACGAATGAAATCAGTTTCATCATGGATTTGCACAAATTAAAAAAAAATTCCACGACAGCTTAAATCTGCGCAATCTGTGCAATTTACTTACTGGTTTTGGAGATGCGGTAAACTCTGCAACACATGTGTATGAAAAGTCAGTACGAGTTTACTTATGATTCGTCGGATTCCTTTCTGTAGCACCTACACCTATAGTGGATTGGCTAGCTTGACTTTCTACCAAACTTAGGATATTTTTACCATATTTTTTAATTGGCTTACTAGTTTCGCAGAGAGCCCCGATGAAACCTTCTACGCATGTGCATGAAACCTCGTTGATACCATCCGCGCAAGTGGCGCCATTGTGGCATGGATCGCTGGCACACTCATCAATGTCTGTACAAACAAAAAAGACGGAAAAATCGAATGAAACATATTGCAAAGTTTTAAGATCTTTGTTATTTTTTCAAAAATCTTAAGAAGTTGCTTACTTGTTTCGCAGAGGGCACCGGTGAAGCCTTTCGCGCATGTGCAGGAAACCTCGTTGATACCGTCAGCGCAGGTAGCACCATTCTCGCATGGATCGCTGGCACAGTCATCAATGTCTGTATAACAGTAATAAAAACCCGAATCGATTTCATTGTTGATTTGCACAAAATCCCCTTCCAAAACAGCTTACATCTGTCCAATATACTTACTGGTTTCGTAGAGGGATCCGCTGCAGCACACGTGTATGTAAAGTATTGCTTCACTTTACCAAAATCGTCTTCAAGTTCTCTACCAACCAACTACAACCTTGTAAATCATTAGCTTAAATTTCTGCCAATTTGAAAAAAAAAGACTTACTAGTTTCGCAGAGACCTCCAGTGAAACCATCTGCGCATGTGCAGGAAACCTCGTTGATACCATCCTGGCAAGTGGCTCCATTGTGGCATGGTTCGCTGGCACACTCGTCAATGTCTGACAAAGATGAAAATAATAATAATAATGGATCTATACACTCTGTGGTGCGATCTGAGGCAATTTTAATCAAATTTGTTTCACCATTTTAAATTCATTGTCGAGTTCGGGGTCAGCTTTTTGGAGCTACGGAATCAAATGTAGGCCATGTTTTTAACTGTTACTAGGGGACGAAAATGGTTGACATGACATGTCCCCCGTCCCCCACCAATCGACGCCCATGGTTGTCACAGTGATTCAAAACGACAGACTTTTACTCGATAATTTTGTCCGGGGGCCTATACGTACGCATGCTGTACAGCGTCATTTGGTGAAATCGAAATTTCTGAGAGAGACCCTAAACCTTTTTAGCGTGTAAATGGGTCATCGTGTTTATGGTGTAAATCGAGGACACACACGTGCAACATCAGCGATGAATTGAGGACAGGAACCAAATCGAGAACGACCTCGATTAGAAAACGTGTACAAAATTAATGAGAGCTGTTGCAAAATAGAGTACATGTATAAAAAAAAAGAGAAAACGGAAGAGGAACAACAGATAATCCTTGAAGTGCACCATAAACAAACCTCTGTGTATGAGTTTGTTTCTGCATTCAGTGTATGAGTTTGTTTCTGCATTCAATAGAGGACGTAGAACAATAGAGGACAATATGGTCCAAGATTCCCGAAAGTCCCCAATTTGGCGATCGTGTACATAACATATGGGAGGAGTGGGTAGAACTATTTATGTATTTTATGGCACGCTGCGGTATTTTCGTAGGCCCCTAAATTTTTCGTAGGCCCCCAATTTTTCGTAGGCCCTTAGGCACAGTGCCTTCGGTGCCTATTGGGTAATCCGGGCCTGATGGCTAATCTAAGTTCACAGGCGCCAAAAAGAGCCCTTATCCCGAAAGGGCCTAGTACCTCATTTTGCGATTTCTAAAAGTAGATTTCAAGCGTTTTCCTCTTGACAAACGTCAGGGAGGATAGAGCCACTAGGAATTTTCCCTTTACTGGCTACTAGCTGGTCCAAATGCATCGCATATTCCAATGTTCGATCACAAATATTCAGTTTCAATTAATCCATCCCTGCCGTAGCCATGCATGCAGTGTCCATAAGGCGCTTTTACCTCAATTACTCCTCTCAACCCATGTGTTAAATAGGTACCGGCATTATGCAATGCTGGGAAGGTAACAGACTCGCTGTGGAGGAGGTTTGGCGATCCCCCCACGGCAGCATTTCATGGAGACGAGTCTGGCCCAATCGCTTCGAAGGAGAGATGGGCACTGAGCTTCTGTGAACACAGGTTCGTCCCCCTTTAACCCCCCCCCCCCCTTGCACATGTTGCAGGTGAATTTGAAAGGACCTTGGAGGAATTGGTGCAGATATGAGGGTCAAATGTTAATGGCTACTCTACTGATGTTTTTTATCAAGTTCACTTCCAGCAACATTATACCTGAATCATCTCTTCAGTCCCTTCTGACAATTATTCAAGGGCCGAGATTTTTTCAACTTACCAGTTTCGCAGAGAGGTCCGGTAAATCCTGCTGCGCATGTGCAGGAAAAGGCATCAGCATCCTTCACGCAAGTGGCGCCATTTTGGCATGGATCGCTGTCGCACGGATCAGTATCTTGAACAGAATCAAACACAAGAACAGCAGGAGTGTGTTGGGGCGTTAAAGAACTCAGCATATTGCCATTTATACGTTAATCACGTGCACACCAATCCTGCCAAACAACAGGATTCCAGAATATACTAATGGAGATTGGAGATCAATGATGTTAACGGTTGCTAATAAATCCAAGCTGATTTTTTTTTACAGCGTGTTCGATTACCTCACCACGCGTAGTCGTACGTAAGCGCGACTGCGTTCGATTTAATTTTCACGTGACTTCTCGCTCTTACTCTAGCCTGGTCCAAGTAACCAACCCGCTGAGCCGCTTACTTGCAGGGTATAAAAAGTATCCCACAATACAAAGCGAACACATGGCGGCTAAGTGTAACGCTGCGGCGAACTGAATCCCAAAGTGACTCAGCTTCACTTCATACTAGTACAGAGGACGGGAGGAACGTTAAGTAAATTTTTAAAATACCCGGATATTCTCGACTCATGGTCAAACTACTTGTAATATTCTTGATTTAAGTATTTTTTTCTTAAAGAGAAAGAGATGTTCACCGAGGGAAAGTTTCCAAATTAAGAAATCAAAGTGTCAGAGTGAACTGGGTTTATACCTCTTATGCACTGGTCCATGGACATTTCCCAAACTCTGACCTCGCAGAGCTGCAATGTAGCTTGCTCGGAGGGGATAGTAACGAACAAAAACATCCCATTTACAGGTGGGTCGCACTCGAAGTAGATCGTGCCTCCGGGCACCGAAGCTTGTTCAGCAGTCACCGGTAAACCGCAGAGGCTGTTGTCACTAATGTCCCCTATTCCTGGATGGAAATGCCCTACTCTGACGACAGCACCCGTCAAAAGCTCACCTACCGACATGGGATAGTACATTAGTGTACCAGTTTTGGTTGGTTATTTTAGCAAAATTGATGTTGCATATTACTATTCTACACTATAGCAATTGACATGTGCAATTGTACGTAAATGCAGACTTACTATCGCCATCGCCACGATTCAGAATACTGACATGGCTGATGCAGTGTTGTTCCTCATCATTCGGGTCGAGCCTAACCCCCCAATAGGGATTCCGTTCAGGTTCTAAAATTAAAGAGAACAAAACAAAAATGTCATGATGAATCCGTCTTTGTTGAACGTGTGATACGAAATTGCAGGGTATAGTGTGAAACAACCAAGTAGAACACGAATTGCTTTACTGGGCTACCGGGAGCAAACAGAAACAAAAATGGACAATGAGACAGCACCAGTCAGTCCTCAGGAGCCTCATCATAGGAGGAGGCCCAACCAACCAAGTACAGCGTCATGCAATATACCAACAAAGCCAAAGAAACAAAGAGAAGGAGAATTAAAGTTGTCCACAGTGGTACCCTATAGCTACCCAGGTGTGTAAAGATGTAAAGATGCCGCAATACCAGTGATTGTGCAGCTCCCACCGCTTTCTCCTTCCATCAGAGATGAGTCCGTGAACTTTCCGTCGTTAGCTTTTCTGAAATCACTGTAGCCATTTGAATCCTTAAGCCTAACATTTGAACTTTGTCCTCCGTTATTGCCAACAATATTCAGCTCTGCCTCTCCTTCAAAGTAAACTGTAAATGGGAACATTAGAAAACATTTTTCTCTCATTAATGACAGGAAACAAAAAACATTTTTCTCTCATTAATGTAGCAATCTTGGTCAACTGTCATGTACTTTTGTAATGTTGTTTATTTTAAATACAACCTCTGACATTTTTTTATGCGTATATAACAAGTTTTCTCAATTCTAATGTGTTACATAAGTTTAAAATATAAATGTTTTTATTGTAAACACCTAGCTGTAATCCAGCTTCACCTTCGAAACGGTGCTAGTAAATTTGAATTAAATTTGAATTGAATTGAAAATGCCTTAACCTTAAAGAAGTAATATCAATTAAGTGTTATTTGAGTGACTTTTGCCATCTCACATTACTTGTTACTCGTAACATCGTTCGTATTTTGTCTGGAAAGGTATATACAAAACAAGTACATTGTACATGTCGTCACTGTTTTCACGAAGGGGTGAATTTCATGAAAATCGTCTCTATTTTCGAAACCTTTTTTTTTTGGTGAAATGAATAAATATATCAATATTTACAACCTGGTGAGGCTATACTTTCAACAAATGTATTAGAATTAACCTAACCTAATTAACCTAATTAACGAATGGGCGAATTTGCCACAAGTGCCCTTTTGCGTTTTCACGAAGGGGCGAATTTCCGCACTCTACCGTATTAATAAACTTTCAGTAAATAAATACATTGTAATACAATGAAGCGTTATTACGAAGGGACGAATTTCAGGCGCGGCATTGGTGCAGATATGAGGGTCAAATGTTAATGGCTACTGATGTTTTTTTTATCAAGTTCACTTCCAGCAACATTATACCTGAATCATCTCTTCAGTCCCTTATTCAAGGGCCGAGATTTTTTTTCAACTTACCAGTTTCGCAGAGAGGTCCGGTAAATCCTGCTGCGCATGTGCAGGAAAAGGCATCAGCATCCTTCACGCAAGTGGCGCCATTTTGGCATGGATCGCTGTCGCACGGATCAGTATCTTGAACAGAATCAAAAACAAGAACAGCTAATCCAGGAGTGTGTTGGGGCGTTAAAGAACTCAGCATATTGCCATTTATACGTTAATCACGTGCACACCAATCCTGCCAAACAACAGGATTCCAGAATATACTAATGGAGATTAGAGATCAATGATGTTAACGGTTGCTAATAAATCCAAGCTGATTTTTTTTACAGCGTGTTCGATTACCTCCCCCACGCGTAGTCGTACGTAAGCGCGACTGCGTTCGATTTAATTTTCACGTGACTTCTCGCTCTTACTCTAGCCTGGTCCAAGTAACCAACCCGCTGAGCCGCTTACTTGGGTATAAAAAGTATCCCACAATACAAAGCGAACACATGGCGGCTAAGTGTAACGCTGCGGCGAACTGAATTCCAAAGTGAGTCAGCTTCACTTCATACTAGTACTAGAGGACGGGAGGAAAGTTAAGTAAATTTTAAAAATACCCGGCAATTCTCGACTCAAGGTCAAACTACTTGTAATATTCTTGATTTAAGTATTTTTTTTTAGAGATGAGATGTTCACCGAGGGAAAGGTTCCAAATTAAGAAATCAAAGTGTCAGAGTGAACTGGGTTTAGGGCCTATACCTCTTATGCACTGGTCCATGGACTTTTCCCAAACTCTGACCTCGCAAAGCTGCAAGGTAGCTTGCTCGGAGGGGATAGTAACGAACAAAAACATCCCATTTACAGGTGGGTCGCACTCGAAGTAGACCGTGCCTCCGGGCACCGAAGCTTGTTCAGCAGTCACCGGTAAACCGCAGAGGCTGTTGTCACTAATGTCCCCTATTCCTGGATGGAAATGCCCTACTCTGACGACAGCACCGGTCAAAAGCTCACCTACGGACATGGGATAATAAATTAGTGTACCAGTTTCGGTTGGTTATTGTAGCAAAATTGATGTTGCATATTACTATTCTACACTAAAGCAATTGACATGTGCAGATGTACGTAAGTGCAGACTTACTATCGCCATCGCCACGATTCAGAATACTGACATGGCTGATGCAGTGTTCCTCTTCATTCGGGTCGAGGGTAACCCCCCAAAAGGGATTCCGTTCAAGTTCTAAAATTAAAGAGAACAAAACAAAAACGTCAAGATGAATCCGTCTTTGTTGAACGTGTGATACGAAATAGCAGGGTATAGTGTGAAACAACCAAGTAGAACACGAATTGCTTTACTGGGCTACCGGGAGCAAACAGAAACAAAAACGGACAATGAGACAGCACCAGTCAGTCCTCAGGAGCCTCATCATAGGAGGAGGCCCAACCAATCAAGTACAGCGTCATGCAATATACCAACAAAGCCAAAGAAACATAGAGAAGGAGAATTAAAGTTGTCAACAGTGGTACCCACTGCGCTTCGAACAATGCGTTTACACAAGACCTTGACGCCCTTGCACACACGCGGCGACCATTTTTAAACTCCCTCAAAAGCCCACAATGCATGGATCCGTATATAAAAACACAGAATGATAATAGTTTAGGAAGCAATTTTGGATCATCGAACAGGTTTTAATTATTCATTTTGCCCACAGTGTTATTTTACTCATTTTAATTTTTGTTCAAATAAATAATTTTATTTCGTGACTTTGATGTTTACGTGGCCAAAAAAGGGGCGTCAAAATGGCGTCCAGCGACTTCACCCCCACGGCCCGAAGCGTTAACCAGTCAGTATAATAGAGATCAGTGGTGGTACCCCATAGCTATCAGGTGTAAATATGTGAAGATGCGGCCATACCAGTGATTGTGCAGCTCCCACTGCTTATTGTCCCGTCTTCACCTATCAGAGATGACTCCGTGAACTTTCCGTCATTAGGTTTTCCGGGCTGACGGACGGTTGAACCCTTAGTAGCTGAACTCTGTCCTGCATCATTGCCAACAATATTCAGCTCTGTCTCTCCTGCAAAAGAAACTGTAGAGGGGAACGTAAGAAAAGACCTGAACATAAAAAATAGTAATATTAATTAAGCGTTACTGGAGTGACTTCAACCATCTCACGCTACTTGTTACACTGTTCGTCTTTTGTCTGGAAAGGTATGCACAACACAAGTACATGTAAATGTAATCAGTCGGTATTACAGCCCTTTTACAGCTCCATGATTTCATTAGGTACACTTTCACGACGTAAGCTCCGGTAGAGACGATTCAGGCATGCTGCAGTGATCACTGTAAACACACGAAGCCCCGTTCAATGAAGAAACCACTGTGCTAGCTGCTGTACATAAGCAAATGCCCCGTGACTGATTCTCTGCTTAAATTTATAGCTTCACGATTTATAGACAAGATTGCATGTGTGGGTAGAACTATTGATGTATTTTATGGCACACTTCGGTATTTTCGTAGGCCCCCCAATTTTTTCGTAGGCCCAAGGCACAGTGCCTTCTGTGCCTATTGGGTAATCCGGGCCTGATGGCTAATTCTAAGTTCACAGGCGCCAAAACGAGCCCTTTATCCCGAAAGGGCCTACCTCATTTTGCGGTTTCTAAAAGTAGATTTCAAGCGTTTTCCTCTTGACAAACTTCAGGGAGAATAGAGCCACTAGGCATTTTCCCTCTACTACACTCTAAAAAAGAAGTGTAAATTTATGTTGTGTAAAACTGTTGGGTAAAAAAATTGTGTCATTTCTACTCAATATTGAGCAAAATGAAAATTTCGCTTGTACCTCCTACTTGTGTCAAAATGTTACACATGAAAAGGGTAAAATAGTACCCAACATTGACTACAAGTCCTAGCAGCACAGGCAAAAAGTTAAAATCATGGTATTATTACCCAAGTGATGGGTAAAAGAAACTGGATTTACCCCATCTCTGTGTAACAATTCTTTCATTGTTCACGTCGAAGAGTAAAATTTACCACGACATTAGTAAAATGTTACCACGGTGCGGGGTAAACTGACGCACGTGACAACGTTTACTCAATATTGTGCACGCGTCATCACTCATGTACAAGATGGCCGCCGCTTGTGAGACCTTCAACAATTTGGGAATTTTGAAGACGTGATTTCTTTGTTCCAGGTAGGTCAGTGAAATGAATTTCAGTGTTGTTTCCTCCAAATGGGATGCTGATGTATGAGGATTAATACCGGAGAGATTGGAGAAGTGACATGCTTATTATTTAGACATTATTTGCAACTTGGACGTCACGGCTCTGCCAACCACGATTCCATGCACATGATGCATGCGTTTCATGTACCGTATAGTGAGTGTTCTCATATCTAGAAACACCGAGTAAAGTGTCCGACATTTGGGGAATTGTTTTTGAATGAGTTGATTGAGGGAAATTCTAACACCCCTGCCCATCACATAGCCCACGTTCCTCGTAATAGTCCTCATGCATCAGCACCATATTTGGGGAAATATCATCTTATTCATTTTACTGACTTTCCAACCCAGGACTCAGTTATTGAAATCCCTCGAGATTGCTGTCTCTAGCATGCCATTCACATTGCAGAGTTCAAAGTTGAATAAAACCGCAAGGGTCAATAACAAAGGTACACAACAACTAATTTAAAAACAACCCAAGTGATGGGTAAATTTAGAACCCAACAATGCAGGGTAAAAATTAGAACCCAATATCTGGGTAAGAAATTGACACAACACTTGGGTAAAAGGAGGGTTGGGTAAAGTTTACCCAATAATTGAGTAAAAAGGGAACATGGTCGTCACATGGGTAAACTTTCTTACCCAACTTTGTTGTGCAAACACGTAACACAATTATGGGTAAAAGTTACACAGAAATGGGTACTTTTCTACACTTTAGCTGTTGTGTAAAAAAAAGTACACAAGTTGACGACCATGTTCCCTTTTTACTCTCGAAAAGGTAGTAATTTTACCCAATATTGAGCAACTATTTTTTAGAGTGTAGCTAGTAGCTGGTCCAAATGCATTGCATAGGCCTATTCCAATGTTCGATCACAAATATTCAGTTTCAACTAATCGATCCCTGCCGTAGCCATGCATGCTGTGCCCATAAGGCACTTTTATCTCAGTTACTCCTCTCAACCCATGTGATAAATAGGTACCGGCATTATGCAATGCTGGGAAGGTATCAGACTCGCTGTGGAGGTTTGGCAATCCCCCAACGGCAGCATTTCATGGAGACGAGTCTGGCCCAATCGCTTCGAAAGAGAGATGGGCACTGAGCTCCTGTGAACACGGGTTCGTCCCCCTTTAACCCCCCCCCCCGGCCCTTGCACATGTTGCAGGTAAATTTGAAAGGACCTTGAAGGCATTGGTGCAGATATGTGGGTCAAATGTTAATGGCTACTGTAGTACTGATGTTTTTTTTTATTCAGTTCACTTCCAGCAACATTATACCTGAATCATCTCTTCAGTCCCTTCTGACAATTATTCAAGGGCCAAATTTTTTTTTTCAACTTACCAGTTTCGCAGAGAGGTCCAGTAAATCCTGCTGCGCATGTGCAGGAAAAGGCATCAGCATCCTTCACGCAAGTGGCGCCATTTTGGCATGGATCGCTGTCGCACGGATCAGTATCTTGAACAGAATCAAAAACAAGAACAGCTAATCCAGGAGTGTGTTTGGGCGTTAAGAACTCATCATATTGCCATTTATACGTTAATCACGTGCACACCAATCCTGCCAAACAACAGCATTCCAGAATGTATTAATGGAGATCAATGATGTTAACGGTTGCTAATAAATCCAAGCTGATTTTTTTACAGCGTGTTCGATTACCTCCCCCACGCGTAGTCGTACGCACTGATCTCTATATAAAGACTGGATAGCGGATATGCATACAACATTCACACAGTAGACTTCGCACATTGACCAATTCGCCCCCGGTCTCACGAAGATGGCCGCGTATAATACGAACGTTCTACGCGTAAATACGCGCGCGTTGTATCAACAGTTGACGCGCATTTTGGTCACGTACACATATTATGATGTTCTAAAAGGGACACATTTCCGTAGTGATTATTATTTCAAAACGCCGAAAAAGTTATATTTGCGGCATTTTAGTAACCACGACGTTAGAAAAATTGTAGTTAACCTTGATCAGTGATGGTGGTCAAAATATAAGTCAAGTGAACCGCGACGTTACAAAAGAAATCATGCTGTCTATAAAAACGGCAACATGTCCTTTGTAGATCACCAGCCGGTCTCACCAATATGGCGTCAAATTCGTACATTGTGCGGCTCTGTATTAGCTATCCAGTCTTTATATAGAGATCAGTGGTCGTACGTAAGCGCGACTGCGTTCGATTTAATTTTCACGTGACTTCTCGCTCTTACTCTAGCCTGGTCCAAGCATGGGTCCAAGTAACCAACCCGCTGAGCCGCTTACTTGGGTATGAAAAGTATCCCACAATACAAAGCGAACACATGGCAGCAAAGTGTAACGCTGCAGCGAACTGAATTCCAAAGTGACTCAGCTTCACTTCATACCAGTACATGTACATGTACTAGAGGACGGGAGGAAAGTTAAGTTAATTTTAAAAATACCCCGCAATTCTCGACTCATGGTCAAACTACTTGTAATATTCTTGATTTAAGTTGTTTTTTTTTAAAGAGATAGAGATGTTCACCGAGGGAAAGGTTCCAAATTAAGAAATCAAAGTGTCAGAGTGAACTGGGTTTATACCTCTTATGCACTGGTCCATGGACATTTCCCAAACTCTGACCTCGCAAAGCTGCAATGTAGCTTGCTCGGAGGGGATAGTAACGAACAAAAACATCCCCTTTACAGGTGGGTCGCACTCGAAGTAGATCGTGCCTCCGGGCACCGAAGCTTGTTCAGCAGTCACCGGTAAACCGCAGAGGCTGTTGTCACTAATGTCCGCATATGGTGGATTGACCAACCCTACTCTGACGACAGCACCCGTCAAAAGCTCACCTATGGACATGAGATAATAAATTAGTGTACCAGTTTTGGTTGGTTATTTTAGCAAAATTGATGTTTCATATTACTATTCTACACTATATATAATTGACATGTGCAGATGTACGTAAATGCAGACTTACTATCGCCATCGCCACGATTCAGAATACTGACATGGCTGATGCAATGTTCTCCATTCGGGTCGAGGAAAACCCCCCAAAAGGGATTCCGTTCAGGTTCTAAAATTAAAGAGAACAAAACAAAAACGTCATGATGAATCCGTCTTTGTTGAACGTGTTATACGAAATTGCGGGGTATAGTGTGAAACAACCAAGTAGAACACGAATTGCTTTACTGGGCTACCGGGAGCAAACAGGAACAAAAATGGACAATGAGACAGCACCAGTCAGTCCTCAGGAGCCTCGATCATAGGAGGAGGCCCAACCAACCAAGTACAGCGCGTCATGCAATATACCAACAAAGCCAAAGAAACATAGAGAAAGAGAAATAAAGTTGTCCACAGTGGTACCCTATAGCTACCCAGGTGTAAAGATGTAAAGATGTGGCAATACCAGTGATTAAGCAGCTCCCACTGCTTATTGTCCCGTCTCCGCCCATCAGAGATGAGTCCGTGTACTTTCCATCGTTAGCTTTTTTGGAATCACGGTAGAAATTTAAATCCTCAGCATATGAACTTGGTCCTGCTTCATTGCCAACAATATTCAGCTCTCTCTCTCCTTCAAAAGAAACTGTAAAGGGGAACGTAAGAAAACATTTTTCTCTAATTTATGACAGAAAAAATTCTTATTAATGTAATAATCTTGGCCAGCTGTCATGTAATTTTGTAATGTTGTTTATTTTAAATACAACCTCTGACATTTTTTTATGCGTATAATAACAAGTTTTCTCAATTCTAATGTGTTACATAAGTTTAAATTATAATGTTTTTATTGTAAACACCTAGCTGTAATCCAGCTTCAGCTTCGAAACGGAGCTAATAAATGTGAATTAAATTTGAATTGAATTGAAAATGCCTTAACCTTAGAAAAGTAATATCAATTAAGTGTTATTTGAGTGACTTTTGCCATCACACATTACTTGTCACTCAATAACATCGTTCGTATTTTGTCTGGAAAGGTATATACAAAACAAGTACATTGTATATGTCGTCACTGTTTTCACGAAGGGATGAATTTCATGAAAATCGTCTGTTTTCGAAATTATTTTTAAAATTTGGTGAAATGAATAAATATATCAATATCTACAACCTGGTGAGGCTTTACTTTCAAAAAATGTATTAGAATCTCAATTAACCTAATTAACGAATGGGCGAAATTGCCACAAGTGCCGTTTTGCGTTTTCACGATGGGGCGAATTTCCGCACTCTATGCAATTAATAAACTTTCAGTAAATAAATACATTGTAACACAATGAAACGTTATTATTTGAGGCGCGTGCAATGAAACGTTTTCACGAAGGGGCAAATTTTAAGGCGCACGCGCAGTGGGGCAAAATCTGCGCGTACTGTACAAAAAAATGCATTGACTCAGACCGCCGAAGGGCGAAACCTCCGCGTACTCACTTTAGCGTTTTCACGAAGGGGTGAATTTGCTTATCGGTCTTTTTTTTTTCGTTTTCACGAACAGCCACTTTTCTTAATTGAATAATTCTGCAAAACCTTTCGCCTATTTTCCTTAAAGTTTTCTACATTTATGAAGATTAGAATCTCTTCTTTCCTCTCATACCTAAATCTTGCGTATGTTATACATCTTTAAGTTTCAACTTGTTAAATTATAAAAGGACCAACTTTAAACGAGTTGATCTCGAATGTTTGTTCAGACAGTGAAATACTAAATTCGCCTCTTCGTGAAAACGGTGACGATGTAATCAGTTTGTATTTCATCACTTTTACAGCTCCATGATTTCATGAGTTAAAGGGGCACTAGGTCCTGAAATCCCCGGAAATTTCATGTTTTGGATTGTTTACTTATCCTATTAGAGTTGTTGGCTATTCTTAACAGTCACCGACTTACAACAGTTGGGTGACACGTTACGTAATCCTCCATTTTATGATGGCATTCTGGCCTACGATTTCTATTATGACATTGAAGTGGCGATCATTACGGGATCAGCCTTCTAAACAGCAACCCCAGCAATCCTGTGGGTCACTGGGCTTGGAAAATCTTTTCAAAAAGAGAGCACATGTATAATGGAAGATAAAGATTCTTTAACCGCTCATCCTTCAGTTTGGTTGATAAGTTGCATGAGGCATTCCGCCTGATATTTTTACCACTAAATTTCATCATGTGGTCTGATAGCAAAACATTGTTCTATTTTCAAAAAAAAAATAGAATTGTGAGTGAAAGATACCTTGTTTTTTGTTTTGAAGTGTGAACACTGATTCATAAATACCTAAGACAGTTTACGCATCCCTTTAGGTCGAGAGCCCATCACGTGGCCGGTCTTAAACGGATGATAAAGACATGTCTAGCTGGTCTTAAACACTTTTCCAGTGTCACATGAAATTTGCACTCCCATGAAATCCGGTTCCTTTTAACGTTTCATTGGTTGAACGTTCACATTCCTCACGTATGCATGCGCAATAGAACCCAGTGAATCAGTATTTCATAGTCCGAAATTCACACTACACCAGCCGAGCAGCGTTTTGCACACCACTCCTGCCAAACAAAGTTCCAGAATGTACTAACGGAGATCAGTGATGTTAACGGTTGCTAATAAATCCAAGCTGATTTTTTACTGCGTGTATTACTTCCCCCGCGCGTACTCGTATATACGTGCAAGCGCGACTGCGTTCGATTGAATTCTCACGTGACTTATCGCTCTTACTCTTGACTGGTCCAAGTAACCGATCCGCGAGCCGCTTACTTGATTAAGTATTCCATAATACAATGCGAAAACATGGGGGCTAAGTCTATCGCAGCGACGGCGGGAGATCAAAAGTGTCTCAGCTTCACTTCATACGAGTACAAGACGTCGGGAGGAAAGTTAATAATTTAATAATACTCGGCAATTCTTGACTCATGGTCAAACTGCGTGTAATATTCTTGATTTAATTTGTTTATCTTAAGAGATAGAGATGTTCACCGAGGGAAAGGTTCCAAATTAAGAAATCAAAGTGTCAGAGTGAACTGGGTTAATACCTATGCACTGGTCCATGGACATTTCCCAAACTCGGACCTCGCAAAGCTGCAAGGTAGCTTGCTCGATGGGGATAGTAACGAACAGAAACATCCCCTTTACAGGTGGGTCGCACTCGAAGTAGATCGTGCCTCCGGGCACCGAAGCTTGTTCAGCAGTCACCGGTAAACCGCAGAGGCTGTTGTAACTAATGTCCCCTATTCCTGGATGAATCGGCCCTACTCTGACGACAGCACCCGTCAAAAGCTCATCTGCGCACATGGGATAATAAATTAGTGTACTAGTTTTGGTTGGTTATTGTGGCAAAAATGATGTGGCACATTACTATTCTACACTATAGCAATTGACATGTGCAGATGTACGTAAATGCAGACTTACTATCGCCATCGCCACGATTCAGAATACTGACATGGCTGATGCAGTGTTCCTCTTCATTCGGGTCGAGCAAAACCCCCCAAAAGGGATCTGGATCAGGATCTAAAATTAAAGAGAACAAAACAAAAACGTCATGATGAATCCGTCTTTGTTAAACGTGTAATACGAATGGCAGGGTATAGTGTGAAACCACCCAAGTAGAACACGAATATAAAATTGCCTTCGTGGGGTACCGGGAGCAAATAGAAACAAAAACGGACAATGAGACAGCACCAGTCAGTCTTAGAAACTTCAGCAGGCCCAACCAACCACGTAGAGCGTCGTGCAATATACAAACAAAGCCAAAGAAACATAGAGAAGGAGAATTAAAGTTGTCCACAGTGGTACCCTATAGCTACCCAGGTGTAAAGATGTAAAGATGCGGCCATACCAGTGACTATGCAGCTCCCACTGCTTATTGTCCCGTCTCCGCCCATTAGAGATGAGTCCGTGAACTTTCCGTCGTTAGCTTTTCCGTTCTCATTGTGGATATTTGAATCATCACCATATGAACTTTGTCCTGCTTCATTGCCAACAATATTCAGCTCTGTCTCTCCTTCAAAAGAAACTGTAAAGGGGAACGTAAGAAAACATTTTTCTCTAATTAATGACAGAAACAATTCTCATTAATGTAATAATCTTGGCCAGCTGTCATGTAATTTTGTAATGTTGTTTATTTTAAATACAACCTCTGACATTTTTTTATGCGTATATAACAAGTTTTCTCAATTCTAATGTGTTACATAAGTTTAAAATATAATGTTTTTATTGTAAACACCTAGCTGTAATCCAGTTTCACCTTCGAAACGGTGCTAATAAATTTGAATTAAATTTGAATTGAATTGAAAATGCCTTAACCTTAAAGAAGTAATATCAATTAAGTGTTATTTGAGTGACTTTTGCCATCTCAAATTACTTGTTACTCGTAACATCGTTCGTATTTTGTCTGGAAAGGTATATACAAAACAAGTACATTGTACATGTCGTCACTGTTTTCACGAAGGGGTGAATTTCATGAAAATCGTCTCTATTTTTGAAAAAAAAAAAAATTGGTGAAATGAATAAATATATCAATATTTACAACCTGGTGAGGCTATACTTTCAAAAAATGTAGTAGAATCCCAATTAACCTAATTAACGAATGGGCGAATTTGCCACAAGTGCCCTTTTGCGTTTTCACAAAGGGGCGAATTTCCGCACTCTATGGTATTAATAAACTTTCAGTAAATAAATACATTGTAATACAATAAAGCGTTATTACGAAGGGACGAATTTCAGGCGCGGAATTGGTGCAGATATGAGGGTCAAATGTTAATGGCTACTGATGTTATTTTTATCAAGTTCACTTCCAGCAACATTACACCTGAATCATCTCTTCAATCCCTTATTCAAGGGCCGAGATTTGTTTTAACTTACCAGTTTCGCAGAGAGGTCCGGTAAATCCTGCTGCGCATGTGCAGGAAAAGGCATCAGCACCCTTCACGCAAGTGGCGCCATTTTGGCATGGATCGCTGTCGCACGGATCAGTATCTTGAACAGAATCAAAAACAAGAACAGCTAATCCAGGAGTGTGTTTGGGCGTTAAGAACTCATCATATTGCCATTTATACGTTAATCACGTGCACACCAATCCTGCCAAACAACAGGATTCCAGAATGTACTAATGGAGATCAATGATGTTAACGGTTGCTAATAAATCCAAGCTGATTTTTTTTACAGCGTGTTCGATTACCTCCCCCACGCGTAGTCGTACGTAAGCGCGACTGCGTTCGATTTAATTTTCACGTGACTTCTCGCTCTTACTCTAGCCTGGTCCAAGCATGGGTCCAAGTAACCAACCCGCTGAGCCGCTTACTTGGGTATAAAAAGTATCCCACAATACAAAGCGAACACATGGCGGCTAAGTGTAACGCTGCGGCGAACTGAATTCCAAAGTGACTCAGCTTCACTTCATACTAGTACTAGAGGACGGGAGGAAAGTTCAGAAAATTTTAAAAATACCCAGCAATTCTCGACTCACGGTCAAACTACTTGTAATATTCTTGATTTAAGTATTTTTTTCTTAAAGAGATAGAGAAAAAAATATATTAGAATCCCAATTAACCTAATTAACGAATGGGCGAATTTGCCACAAGTGCCGTTTTGCGTTACACGAAGGGGCGAATTTCCGCACTCTATGGTATTAATAAACTTTCAGTAAATAAATACATTGTAATACAATGAAGCGTTATTACGAAGGGACGAATTTCAGGCGCGTGCAAAGAAACGTTTCACGAAGGGGCGACTTTTAAGGCGCTTGCGCAGTGGGGCAAAATCTGCGCGTACTGTACACATAATGCATTGACTCAGACCGCCGAAGGGCGAAATCTGCGTGTACTCACTGTTTCACAAAGGGGCTAATTTGCTTATTGGTCGTTATTTTCGTTTTCACGAACAGCCACTTTTCTTAATTGAATAATTCTGCAAATTTTCTCACCTATTTTCCTTAAAGTTTTCTACATGTATGAAGATTAGAATCTCTTCTTTCCTCTCATACCTAAATCTTGCGTATTTTATGCATCTTTAAGTTTCAACTTGTTAAATTAAAAAAGGACCAACTTTAAACGAGTTGATCTCGAATGTTTGTTCAGACAGTGAATGAAATACTCAATTCGCCTCTTCGTGAAAACGGTGACGATGTAATCAGTTTGTATTTCATCACTTTTACAGCTCCATGGGGCACTGGGTCCTGAAATCCCCGGAAATTTCATGTTTTGGATTGTTTACTTATCTTATGGGGGGAAATGCATCTTTAATGTAACGTAACCCAACACCTGATGACGTCACGATCACGATTTGTTTCTAGGAATAACAGTGAAGTTAGTATTTCACTATCTGTACAAACATTCGAGATCACACTGTATGAGAACGACACGAAAACCGTATTCGTACTCCGTCGTGTCCTATGTAAACAACCGGCATTTTTTCGTCTTTTCTCGGGAACGGTAAGACAATAGTTTGGTTTCCTTTCAACCACATGTTTGAAATAGGATAAATAAACAATCCAAAACATGAAATTTGCGGGGATTTCAGGACCTAGTGCCCCTTTAACCGCTGATCCCTCAGTTTGTTTGATAAGTGGTCCTGCCTGCATGAGGCATTCCGCCTGATATTTTTACCACTAAATTTCATCATGTGAGCTGATAGCAATACATTATTGTTCTATTTAAAAAAAAAAATAGAACTATGAGTAAAAGATACCTTGTTTTCTGTTTTGAAGTGTGAACAGTGATTCATAATTACCTAAGACAGTTTACGCATTCCTATTGGACGAGAGCCCGTCACGTGGCCGGTCTTAAACGGATGATAAAGACATGGCTAGCTGGTCTTTAACACTTTTCCAGTGTCACATGAAATTTGGACTCCCATGAAATGCGGTTCCTTTTAACGCTTCATTGGTTGAACGTTCACATTCCTCACGTATGCATGCGCAATAGAACCAAGTGAATCAGTATTTCACAGTTCGAAATTCACACTACACCAGCCCAGCTGCGTTTTGCACACCACTCCTGCCAAACAAAGTTCCAGAATGTACTAATGGAGATCAAAGATGTTAACGGTTGCTAATAAATCCAAGCTGATTTTTTACTGCGTGTATACCGTCATCATTTTCACGAAGAGCCACATAATTATGTGGATTTTAAAGAAAAATCGTTTTCAAGGTAATCGCAAAAGAAGTTTCTCATATTTTAAAACTGCAAAAAATACCACTTTGCAACAACGTTTTGGGGCACGAAAACCATCACACGATTCTACGAGAGCTGAATTTTAACACGAATCCAGTAATCAGACTGAATACAGCAGTTAATTGGTGAAAATTAATTAGTAAAGATATGTGGCTCTTCGTGAAAACGCAAATTCAGGTTTCCGACATATTATTGGCCCTTTCCGTTCAACGTGCATTTCCATAGGCGCGCGTGAGTACGCACGCGCAGCTGAAAATGTAACAAAGATAAATAATTATGTGGCTCTTTTCTTGAAAACGGAAATCTCATTTGACCTACTTTTAATTTATTTCCGTGCAATGGGTTTTGTACGCGTTCAAAGGGCCAAAATGTATGTGGCTCCTCGTGAAAACGCAAAATGCATTTTTCGAGATTTCTGCCCCTTGCAACATTAATGAAACTTGGAAATTAATGATGTTTTGCTTACAAAAACATGTCAAAATGGTTAAGTACATTGTTTTAAAGCAAAATGTTGAAAAAAATTAAAATCGAAAAAATGGTAATTTTTGACATATGTGGCTCTTCGTGAAAACGGTGACGATCTACTTCCCCCGCGCGTACTCGTACGTGCAAGCGCGACTGCGTTCGATTGAATTCTCACGTGACTTATCGCTCTTTCTCTTGGCTGGTCCAAGTAACCGATCCACGAGCCGCTAACTTAATTAAGTATTCCATAATACAATGCGAAAACATGGGGGCTAAGTCTATCGCAGCGACGGCGGGAAATCAAAAGTGTCTCAGCTTCACTTCATACGAGTACTAGACGTCGTGAGGAAAGTTAAGTAAATTTTAATAATACCCGGCAATTCTTGACTCATGGTCAAACTGCGTGTAATATTCTTGATTTAATTTTTTTTTTTCATCTTAAAGAGATAAAGATGTTCACCGAGGGAGAGAAAGGTTTCAAATTAAGAAATCAAAGTGTCAGAGTGAACTGGATTTATACCTCTTATGCACTGGTCCATGGACGTTTCCCAAACTCTGACTTCGCAGAGCTGCAAGGTAGCTTGCTCGGAGGGGATAGTAACGAACAATAACAACCCATTTACAGGTGGGTCGCACTCGAAGTAGATCGTGCCTCCAGGCACCGAAGCTTGTTCAGCAGTCACCGGTAAACCGCAGAGGCTGTTGTCACTAATGTCCGCATATGGTGGATGGACCGACCCTACTCTTACGACAGCACCCGTCAAAAGCTCACCTACGGACATGGGATAATAAATTAGTGTACCAGTTTTGGTTGGTTATTTTAGCAAAATTGATGTTGCATATTACTATTCTACACTATAGCAATTGACATGTGCAGATGTACGTAAATGCAGACTTACTATCGCCATCGCCACGATTCAGAATACTGACATGGCTGATGCAGTGTTCCTCTTCATTCTGGTCGAGCCTAACCCCCCAAAAGGGATTCCGTTCAGGTGCTAAAATTAAAGAGAACAAAACAAAAACGTCATGATGAATCCGTCTTTGTTGAACGTGTTATACGAAATAGCAGGGTATAGTGTGAAACAACCAAGTAGAACACGAATTGCTTTACTGGGCTACCGGAAGCAAACAGAAACAAAAATGGACAATGAGACAGCACCAGTCAGTCCTCAGGAGCCTCGATCATAGGAGGAGGCCCAACCAACCAAGTACAGCGTCATGCAATATACCAACAAAGCCAAAGAAACATAGAGAAGGAGAAATAAAGTTGTCCACAGTGGTACCCTATAGCTACCCAGGTGTAAAGATGTGAAGATGCGGCCATACCAGTGACTATGCAGCTCCCACTGCTTATTGTCCCGTCTCCGCCCATCAGAGATGAGTCCGCGAACTTTCCGTCGTTAGCTTTTTTGTAATCACTGTTGAAATTTGAATCCTCAGCATATGAACTTTGTCCTGCTTCATTGCCAACAATATTCAGCTCTGTCTCTCCTTCAAAATTAACTGTAAAGGTAAGAAAACATTTTTTTCTAATTAATGACAGAACAAATTCTCATTAATGTGTCATACCCCCCAAATTTGCCATTATTTTAATTTGTTGGATGACTAGAACAAGTCTATTGTTTGTAAGGTGGTTATGCTGCCTCATCAAAATTCCTTCTTCTTGTACCCTCTTGTGGTGTTGCCCTGTGTCAGGCATGGTTCACATGTATTATGTAAGACAATGTGGGGGGCAACAGCCTGGCCTGGAGTGATGGGTTGTTGGTGCGCGGGTGCGGCATTCCTTTCCTGGCTCTGGTGTAGAGTACATCACTCTCCTTGCTCTGGACTGGAATCACCGCTGAACACTTTCATTATTTTGTAAACCCATCATTTTCCTGGCACAGGTAAGTTTTCCAAATTTGTCTTCATTTAAGTATATATTTATCACTAGTATTAGTTCATTAGTGAACTATTAATTGTCTTGAGTATTTTCAGAGAATATTTACTTTTTATCTCAACTTCCATGCTTGATGATGAGTCGATAGTTATTTTCTACTATGAAACTTATTTGAATGAGTTCTTTCCTTGTACATATTGATTGCGTCTGATTCCAATTCATGCTGTCGTTACAATATTGTGCTCTATATTTGAATGCATCTTTATGACTTCTGTTATGAAAGTATCTTGAGTGGATCACTTCCAATGGTCCATGGATTCAGTATTTTCCATGAGAGATATTTTATGACCCGATTCATTTATATTTCATTTGGACTGTTTGGAGTTTCTGAATGATAATTAGAAAGAGTGAAGTTGATGTAGATATATGTTCAACCTATGGCTTTTAACTTTTCAAGTTGATGCCGATTTATGATTTCACATCATAGGGTTACTTGAACTTTTCTTGCTTATTGATTGCTGAATAGTTATTTTATTCTTTAGATTAGTAGAGCATTTCCTTTTTATTAGATCAGATATAACTTGAAGTTTTATAGATGTCTGATACTTGTACGAATCGTGCCAATTCTGAATTATGTCTATTCATTCATTGTAGGAATTGGTTTGTTTAATTGCTATAGCTTTGAGTTTTATAGTTTGCTCCTTTAACTGTAAGTGTATTTAGCCTTTGATTTAGCAAACACATTTTTTTGTATTATCACAGTCACTAGTCACAGTCCTGCCACTTTAAGCTAGCCTGACCACGTGTGGGTCCAGCCGCCCTGTTATCTGAGACATTCTAGCACTGATCTTATCTTGTAAATCTTGTGTGCAAGACTCTCTAGTCCATGGTCCAGACCAGGCCAGAGTGTGTGATCAAAGTTTTGGTTGACCTTGGGTACACTGTAGATTGCTCATTTCGTATGCACGAGATTTTACTGTTGTTTTATCATCATCCACCTGTTGTAGGCTAGTCGCACTGTGCTCGTTGTTTATCTTTTCTTTAGAACTGGCCTTAGGCTTGTGTTTTGGTTATCTCAGTGTGAGCCCAGATTAATGTACTGTGGGAATAGTTTCAGTGTTTTGGTTTTTAGAAGGATTTTCTTCTGATGACCTTAGTTATTTTGCAGGTTTAGTTTATAATATATTTTTAGTTGATTTTCTTTTGGTTATTTTTATAGACTTGTTTAAAATAATTTAGTTAATTATGATTCCTTTCCTGGCTCTGGTGTAGAGTACATCACTCTCCTTGCTCTGGACTGGAATCACCGCTGAACACTTTCATTATTTTGTAAACCCATCATTTTCCTGGCACAGGTTCTCCTGCCGTTTGTCATGTTGGACGAGGACGAGACCTAGCTGTGCATTACTACTTCTACCACTTGTGGAGCTGAGTGACGATTTTCTGTTCCGCTTTCCTCCATATCACCTTTTCATCTCATCACACCCCTGACCGTCCTCTGACGAGTTGCGTCCTTCTGGAAGTTGCAGTCGCTAGTTTCCTGCCTGCTGCAGTCATTTGACGTCCCTGGATCTCCTCTTCTTCTCCGATGTTTTAATTCTCGTTCCGTGAACTTTGTTTTTTCGTGAACTTTGTACTCGCGCGTTCGTGGACGTAACTGGATTTGAATCGTTGGTCATCGCTGGATCTGGACAAGACCATGGGAGACGCAACTGCGAACAACTTATCCTTTTCTGGCATTGTATAAATTGTTGTAATCTGTGCATTTTCATTTGTGTTTACATATCCAGCTTTCTTTGTTTTTATTTTGTTTTGACTTCAAGTTGAAGAGTGTTTGAGTGATTTGAATTAAAAGTCATTTTTAATTCGAGCTGTAAATACAATTATTTTTGAACATTTTTATTTCTTTGATTATTTTGTCGACTGAACCGGTTGGATTTATATCATTGGGGTTTTTCCTAACTGGAATAGACCCCGCGACAAATGTAATAATCTTGGCCAGCTGTCATGTAATTTTGTAATGTTGTTTATTTTAAATACAACCTCTGACATTTTTTTTATGCGTATATAATAAGTTTTCTCAATTCTAATGTGTTACATAAGTTTAAAATATAATGCTTTTATTGTAAACACCTATCTGTAATCCAGCTTCACCTTCGAAACGGTGCTAATAAATTTGAATTAAATTTGAATTGAATTGAAAATGCCTTAACCTTAAAGAAGTAATATCAATTAAGTGTTATTTAAGTGACTTTTGCCATCTCACATTACTTGTTACTCGTAACATCGTTCGTATTTTGTCTGGAAAGGTATATACAAAACAAGTACATTGTACATGTTGTCACTGTTTTCACGAAGGGGTGAATTTCATGAAAATCGTCTCTATTTTCGAAAACATTTTTTTTTGTGTGAAATGAGTAAATATATCAATATTTACAACCTGGTGAGGCTATACTTTCAACAAATGTATTAGAATTAACCTAACCTAATTAACCTAATTAACGCATGGGCGAATTTGCCACAAGTGCCCTTTTGCGTTTTCACGAAGGGGCGAATTTCCGCACTCTACCGTATTAATAAACTTTCAGTAAATAAATACATTGTAATACAATGAAGCGTTATTACGAAGGGACGAATTTCAGGCGCGGCATTGGTGCAGATATGAGGGTCAAATGTTAATGGCTACTGATGTTTTTTTTATCAAGTTCACTTCCAGCAACATTATACCTGAATCATCTCTTCAGTCCCTTATTCAAGGGCCGAGATTTTTTTTCAACTTACCAGTTTCGCAGAGAGGTCCGGTAAATCCTGCTGCGCATGTGCAGGAAAAGGCATCAGCATCCTTCACGCAAGCGGCGCCATTTTGGCATGGATCGCTGTCGCACGGATCAGTATCTTGAACAGAATCAAAAACAAGAACAGCAGGAGTGTGTTGGGGCGTTAAGAACTCATCATATTGCCATTTATACGTTAATCACGTGCACACCAATCCTGCCAAACAACAGGATTCCAGAATATACTAATGGAGATTGGAGATCAATGATGTTAACGGTTGCTAATAAATCCAAGCTGATTTTTTTTACAGCGTGTTCGATTACCTCCCCCACGCGTAGTCGTACGTAAGCGCGACTGCGTTCGATTTAATTTTCACGTGACTTCTCGCTCTTACTCTAGCCTGGTCCAAGTAACCAACCCGCTGAGCCGCTTACTTGGGTATAAAAAGTATCCCACAATACAAAGCGAACACATGGCGGCTAAGTGTAACGCTGCGGCGAACTGAATTCCAAAGTGAGTCAGCTTCACTTCATACTAGTACAAGAGGACGGGAGGAAAGTTCAGAAAAAATACCCAGCAATTCTCGACTCACGGTCAAACTACTTGTAATATTCTTGATTTAAGTATTTTTTTCTTAAAGAGATAGAGAAAAAAATATATTAGAATCCCAATTAACCTAATTAACGAAGGGGCGAATTTCCGCACTCTATGGTATTAATAAACTTTCAGTAAATAAATACATTGTAATACAATGAAGCGTTATTACGAAGGGACGAATTTCAGGCACGTGCAATGAAACGTTTCACGAAGGGGCGAATTTTAAGGCGCTTGCGCAGTGGGGCAAAATCTGCGCGTACTGTACACATAATGCATTGACTCAGACCGCCGAAGGGCGAAATCTGCGTGTACTCACTGTTTCACAAAGGGGCTAATTTGCTTATTGGTCGTTATTTTCGTTTTCACGAACAGCCACTTTTCTTAATTGAATAATTCTGCAAATTTTCTCACCTATTTTCCTTAGAGTTTTCTACATGTATGAAGATTAGAATCTCTTCTTTCCTCTCATACCTAAATCTTGCGTATTTTATGCATCTTTAAGTTTCAACTTGTTAAATTAAAAAAGGACCAACTTTAAACGAGTTGATCTCGAATGTTTGTTCAGACAGTGAATGAAATACTCAATTCGCCTCTTCGTGAAAACGGTGACGATGTAATCAGTCTGTATTTCATCACTTTTACAGCTCCGTGATTTCATGAGTTAAGGGGGCACTGGGTCCTGAAATCCCCGGAAATTTCATGTTTTGGATTGTTTACTTATCTTATGGGGGGAAATGCATCTTTAATGTAACGTAACCCAACACCTGATGACGTCACGATCACGATTTGTTTCTAGGAATAAAAGTGAAGTTAGTATTTCACTATCTGTACAAACATTCGAGATCACACTGTATGAGAACGACACGAAAACCGTATTCGTACTCCGTCGTGTCCTATGTAAACAACCGGCATTTTTTCGTCTTTTCTCGGGAACGGTAAGACAATAGTTTGGTTTCCTTTCAACCACATGTTTGAAATAGGATAAATAAACAATCCAAAACATGAAATTTGCGGGGATTTCAGGACCTAGTGCCCCTTTAACCGCTGATCCCTCAGTTTGTTTGATAAGTGGTCCTGCCTGCATGAGGCATTCCGCCTGATATTTTTACCACTAAATTTCATCATGTGAGCTGATAGCAATACATTATTGTTCTATTTAAAAAAAAAAAAATAGAACTATGAGTAAAAGATACCTTGTTTTCTGTTTTGAAGTGTGAACAGTGATTCATAATTACCTAAGACAGTTTACGCATTCCTATTGGACGAGAGCCCGTCACGTGGCCGGTCTTAAACGGATGATAAAGACATGGCTAGCTGGTCTTTAACACTTTTCCAGTGTCACATGAAATTTGGACTCCCATGAAATGCGGTTCCTTTTAACGCTTCATTGGTTGAACGTTCACATTCCTCACGTATGCATGCGCAATAGAACCAAGTGAATCAGTATTTCACAGTTCGAAATTCACACTACACCAGCCCAGCTGCGTTTTGCACACCACTCCTGCCAAACAAAGTTCCAGAATGTACTAATGGAGATCAAAGATGTTAACGGTTGCTAATAAATCCAAGCTGATTTTTTACTGCGTGTATACCGTCATCATTTTCACGAAGAGCCACATAATTATGTGGATTTTAAAGAAAAATCGTTTTCAAGGTAATCGCAAAAGAAGTTTCTCATATTTTAAAACTGCAAAAAATACCACTTTGCAACAACGTTTTGGGGCACGAAAACCATCACACGATTCTACGAGAGCTGAATTTTAACACGAACCCAGTAATCAGACTGAATACAGCAGTTAATTAGTGAAAATTAATTAGTAAAGATATGTGGCTCTTCGTGAAAACGCAAATTCAGGTTTCCGACATATTATTGGCCCTTTCCGTTCAACGTGCATTTCCATAGGCGCGCGTGAGTACGCGCGCGCAGCTAGAAAGGTAACAAAGATAAATAATTATGTGGCTCTTTTCTTGAAAACGGAAATCTCATTTGACCTACTTTTAATTTATTTCCGTGCAATGGGTTTTGTACGCGTTCAAAGGGCCAAAATGTATGTGGCTCCTCGTGAAAACGCAAAATGCATTTTTCGAGATTTCTGCCCCTTGCAACATTAATGAAACTTGGAAATTAATGATGTTTTGCTTACAAAAACATGTCAAAATGGTTAAGTACATTGTTTTAAAGCAAAATGTTGAAAAAAATTAAAATCGAAAAAATGGTAATTTTTGACATATGTGGCTCTTCGTGAAAACGGTGACGATCTACTTCCCCCGCGCGTACTCGTACGTGCAAGCGCGACTGCGTTCGATTGAATTCTCACGTGACTTATCGCTCTTACGTACTCTTGACTGGTCCAATTAACCGATCCACGAGCCGCTTACTTGATTAAGTATTCCATAATACAATGCGAAAACATGGGGGCTAAGTCTATCGCAGCGACGGCGGGAAATCAAAAGTGTCTCAGCTTCACTTCATACGAGTACTAGACGTCGGGAGGAAAGTTAAGTAAATTTTAATAATACCCGGCAATTCTTGACTCATGGTCAAACTGCGTGTAATATTCTTGATTTAATTTTTTTTTTCATCTTAAAGAGATAAAGATGTTCACCGAGGGAGAGAAAGGTTTCAAATTAAGAAATCAAAGTGTCAGAGTGAACTGGATTTATACCTCTTATGCACTGGTCCATGGACATTTCCCAAACTCTGACCTCGCAAAGCTGCAAGGTAGCTTGCTCGGAGGGGATAATAACGAACAGAAACATCCCATTTGCAGGTGGGTCGCACTCGAAGTAGATCGTGCCTCCGGGCACCGAAGCTTGTTCAGCAGTCACCGGTAAACCGCAGAGGCTGTTGTCACTAAAGTCCCCATATGGTGGATGGGCCGACCCTACTCTGACGACAGCACCCGTCAAAAGCTGACCTACGGACATGGGATAATAAATTAGTGTACCAGTTTTGGTTGGTTATTTTAGCAAAATTGATGTTGCATATTTCTATTCTACACTATAGCAATTGACATGTGCAGATGTACGTCAATGCAGACTTACTATCGCCATCGCCACGATTCAGAATACTGACATGGCTGATGCAGTGTTGTTCCTCTCCATTCGGGTCGAGCTTAACCCCCCACATGGGATTCCGTTGAGGTTCTAAAATTAAAGAGAACAAAACAAAAATGTCATGATGAATCCGTCTTTGTTGAACGTGTGATACGAAATTGCAGGGTATAGTGTGAAACAACCAAGTAGAACACGAATTGCTTTACTGGGCTACCGGAAGCAAACAGAAACAAAAATGGACAATGAGACAGCACCAGTCAGTCCTCAGGAGCCCCATCATAGGAGGAGGCCCAACCAACCAAGTACAGCGTCATGCAATATACCAAAAAAAGCCAAAGAAACATAGAAAACGAGAAATAAAGTTGTCCACAGTGGTACCCTATAGCTACCCAGGTGTAAAGATGTAAAGATGTGGCAATACCAGTGATTAAGCAGCTCCCACTGCTTATTGTCCCGTCTCCGCCCATCAGAGATGAGTCCGTGAACTTTCCGTCGTTAGCTTTTTTGGAATCACTGCGGTAATTTAAATCATCACCATATGAACTTGGTCCTGCTTCATTGCCAACAATATTCAGCTCTGTCTCTCCTTCAAAAGAAACTGTAAAGGGGAACGTAAGAAAACATTTTTCTCTAATTAATGACAGAAAAAATTCTCATTAAGGCCAAAAAAAAAAAGTATCCGGTTTCTGGTATGGAGCTTGTCCAAAAAGTGGTGCGGCGACGCGGCTTTTTTTTTTTTTTTTACCTGACTTTTTTGCTTCAAATGTCGGCTGATGACTGCAAATGGTGCCCGACTAAACTAAGGCTTAGACTAGTGCAAATATATGGGAGTCCAGAGAGGCCACATAAAGCTTATTCTCGATCATAACCCAATCTAAAAACACGTTAAAATTGTGCAGCAGCAGGATTCCAGTCAAGCCAGTGAGTTTCGCGGTTTTGAGACATCATCTTTCATTGAAAAAAAAACTTTTTCATTTTGCCGACGCGCATGGCTACGGCGACGCGCGCGCATACCAGAAACCGGAGACTTTTTTTTTGGCCTAATGTAATAATCTTGGCCAGCTGGCATGTAATTTTGTAATGTTGTTTATTTTAACTACAACCTCTGACATTTTTATATGCGTATATAATAAGTTTTCTCAATTCTAATGTGTTACATAAGTTTAAAATATAATGCTTTTATTGTAAACACCTAGCTGTAATCCAGCTTCACCTTCGAAACGGTGCTAATAAATTTGAATTAAATTTGAATTGAATTGAAAATGCCTTAACCTTAAAGAAGTAATATCAATTAAGTGTTATTTAAGTGACTTTTGCCATCTCACATTACTTGTTACTCGTAACATCGTTCGTATTTTGTCTGGAAAGGTATATACAAAACAAGTACATTGTACATGTTGTCACTGTTTTCACGAAGGGGTGAATTTCATGAAAATCGTCTCTATTTTCGAAAACATTTTTTTTTTTGTGAAATGAGTAAATATATCAATATTTACAACCTGGTGAGGCTATACTTTCAACAAATGTATTAGAATCCCAATTAATCTAATTAACGAATGGGCGAATTTGCCACAAGTGCCCTTTTGCGTTTTCACGAAGGGGCGAATTTCCGCACCCTATGGTATTAAAGGGAAAATACAACATTTGCAAACATCAAAAAATAAAACTACCAAATCATTTTGAAATACCTTGCTGGACTGTTAGTGAATGACAGTGTAAAGCATCCTGTAAAATCATGGCACCTGGTATACTGTCATTTTCAAGAAAAGTGGTATTTTTGTATCAATTTCCAACGCTGGTCGGCCGACCAGCCTTGCAAAAAAACTGGCTTTTTTCAAATACTGGCCCCAATTTACCATCGCACTTGTTTGCAATCGATTACACACCTATGAACGGGTACAAGCCAGCTAGACTGGTTCCCTGACCTTACAATTCCCCAATCTATGTAAACTGCTATGTTTCTTCTTATATGGAGTCGGGGAACCAGACTACAGGAAAATGATTGTTTTTCTTGGTTTTTATAGCATTTTTGAACCCAAAACTTAAAAAAAGTCAGTGTAACCATATTTGCTATGTATTTCCAACCCCCCAATTCCATCCATTTCTGAAAATTACAACAAAAGCAAATGATGTATATTCCCTTTAATAAACTTTCAGTAAATAAATACATGTACATTGTAATACAATGAAGCGTTATTACGAAGGGACGAATATCAGGCGTGGAATTGGTGCAGATATGAGGGTCAAATGTTAATGGCTACTGATGTTTTTTTATCAAGTTCACTTCCAGCAACATTATACCTGAATCATCTCTTCAGTCCCTTATTCAAGGGCCGAGATTTTTTTCAACTTACCAGTTTCGCAGAGAGGTCCGGTAAATCCTGCTGCGCACGTGCAGGAAAAGGCATCAGCATCCTTCACGCAAGTGGCGCCATTTTGGCATGGATCGCTGTCGCACGGATCAGTATCTTGAACAGAATCAAAAACAAGAACAGCTAATCCAGGAGTGTGTTGGGGCGTTAAGAACTCATCATATTGCCATGTATACGTTAATCACGTGCACACCAATCCTGCCAAACAACAGGATTCCAGAATGTACTAATGAGGATTGGAGATCAATGATGTTAACGGTTGCTAATGAATCCCAGCTGATTTTTTTTTACAGCGTGTTCGATTACCTCCCCCACGCGTAGTCGTACGTAAGCGCGACTGCGTTCGATTTAATTTTCACGTGACTTCTCGCTCTTACTCTAGCCTGGTCCAAGCATGGGTCCAAGTAACCAACCCGCTGAGCCGCTTACTTGGGTATAAAAAGTATCCCACAATACAAAGCAAACACATGGCGGCTAAGTGTAACGCTGCGGCGAACTGAATTCCAAAGTGACTCAGCTTCACTTCATACTAGTACTAGAGGACGGGAGGAAAGTTAAGTAAATTTTAAAAATACCTGGCAATTCTCGACTCATGGTCAAACTACTTGTAATATTCTTGATTTTTAAGTATTTTTTTTCTTAAAGAGATAGAGATGTTCACCAAGGGAAAGTTTCCAAATTAAGAAATCAAAGTGTCAGAGTGAACTGGGTTTATACCTCTTATGCACTGGTCCATGGACATTTCCCAAACTCGGACCTCGCAGAGCTGCAAGGTAGCTTGCTGGGAGGGGATAGTAACGAACAAAAACATCCCATTTACAGGTGGGTCGCACTCGAAGTAGATCGTGCCTCCGGGCACCGAAGCTTGTTCAGCAGTCACCGGTAAACCGCAGAGGCTGTTGTCACTAATGTCCCCTCTTGGCGAGACTGACCCTACTCTGACGACAGCACCCGTCAAAAGCTGACCTACGGACATGGGATAATAAATTAGTGTACCAGTTTTGGTTGGTTATTTTAGCAAAATTGATGTTGCATATTACTATTCTACAGTATAGCAATTGACATGTGCAGATGTACGTAAATGCAGACTTACTATCGCCATCGCCACGATTCAGAATACTGACATGGCTGATGCAGTGTTCCTCTTCATTCTGGTCGAGCATAACCACCCAATAGGGATTCCGTTCAGGTTCTAAAATTAAAGAGAACAAAACAAAAACGTCATGATGAATCCGTCTTTGTTGAACGTGTGATACGAAATAGCAGGGTATAGTGTGAAACAACCAAGTAGAACACGAATTGCTTTACTGGGCTACCGGGAGCAAACAGAAACAAAAATGGACAATGAGACAGCACCAGTCAGTCCTCAGGAGCCTCATCATAGGAGGAGGCCCAACCAACCAAGTACAGCGTCATGCAATATACCAAAAAAAGCCAAAGAAACATAGAGAAGGAGAATTAAAGTTGTCAACAGTGGTACCCACTGCGCTTCGAACAATGCGTTTACACATTGCACACACGCGGCGACCATTTTTAAACTCCCTCAAAAGCCCACAATGCATGGATCCGTATATAAAAAACACAGAATGATAATAGTTTAGGAAGCAATTTTGGATCATCGAACAGGTTTTAATTATTCATTTTGCCCACAGTGTTATTTTACTCATTTTAATATTTGTTCAAATAAATAATTTTATTTCGTGACTTTGATGTTTACGTGGCCAAAAAGGGAGCGTCAAAATGGCGTCCAGCGACTTCACCCCCACGGCCCGAAGCGTTATCCAGTCAGTATAACAGAGATCAGTGGTGGTACCCCATAGCTATCAGGTGTAAATATGTGAAGATGCGGCCATACCAGTGATTGTGCAGCTCCCACTGCTTATTGTCCCGTCTTCACCTATCAGAGATGACTCCGTGAACTTTCCGTCATTAGGTTTTCCGGGCTGACGGATGTCTGCATCCTTAGTAACTGAACTTTGTCCTGCATCATTGCCAACAATATTCAGCTCTGTCTCTCCTGCAAAAGAAACTGTAGAGGGGAACGTAAGAAAAGGCCTGAACATAAAAAAATAGTAATATTAATTAAGCGTTACTGGAGTGACTTCAACCATCTCACGTTGTCTGTTACTTGTTACACTGTTCGTCTTTTGTCTGGAAAGGTATGCACAACACAAGTACATGTAAATGTAATCAGTCGGTATTACAGCCCTTTTACAGCTCCATGATTTCATTAGGTACACTTTCACGACGTAAGCTCCGGTAGAGACGATTCAGGCATGCTGCAGTGATCACTGTAAACACACGAAGCCCCGTCCAATGAAGAAACCACTGTGCTAGCTGCCGTAAGCAAATGCCCCGTGACTGATTCTCTGCTTAAATTTATAGCTAGCACAATGTTTTTGCCAATGAAAAAGGAAGTGGCGCAGCCGAGGGTGGGGGGGGGAACCGTTGCCCCCCCCCCCACCCTTCACGAAAAATCCGAAATTTGCCGCTTTAAAAATACTTTTGTTTTAGCTGATTAGTTTTGACTTCCCTTGACCATATGCCTTTATGAAATGTGAATGAATTGACAAGCAAAAAGAGCGACCTATAGCTCCAATAGGACCAGCACAATAGGTCCAGCCCCTCCCCCCCCCCCCCCACGTTTTTCAATTTTGAAGCACTTGCGGTGACCGGTCATCTGGAAATTTGGGGGAAATGTTGTTGTTTGGTCCACCCTTGGTGCCCCCTCATAACATACTGGTGCCCCCTCATAACATACTGGTGCCCCCCCCCCAAACTTAAAACATCCTGGCTACGCTACTGAAAGGGGCCTTCGCCGTAGAGTCAGTCGTGCCCAGATTGGTTAAACTGATGTATCGGAACAGAGACCATAGCGAGCAGATGAGCTCAAGCCATAATGACACCGTGGCCACATCAACCTCCGTCGCACCGGTCCACCATGTAGGCGATATCCACGCTGACAATTATGTCGTGTTCACCAAGGGAAAGGCTCCAAATTCAGAAGTCAACATCTAAAATTGAACTTGGCAATACCTCTTTCGCACTATTCCATAGGCATTTTCCAGACTCTGACCTAGAAATTCACTCTAGTGTGCAAAAACCAATGGTAGAATACCACTATTCAGTATTGGTAGGCCTACAAATATACACAACTAGAGGCCATAGACGTGCCACCGCACTCATCCATGGGTAGTTCCCTGAAATATTTCGGCTCAAACTGGTCAATAAGCCGTTTGTAGCAGTTTATTTCCTTTTCATATTTTCTTCAAGAAATAGCAAACTGGTATACTCACTGGTTTCACAGAGGGCTCCCGTAAAACCTGACTCACATATGCAGGAAAACTCGCCCAGGCCATCCTCGCAAGTGGCGCCGTTCTGGCATGGATCGCTTTCGCATTCGTCTGTGTAGATAGTCAAATAAAAGTGTCAGAGAAGTCCATCACAATTCCAGACACAATTCTAGGCGCAAGTATAGAAGTAAATCACACGTTCAGTAGCAAGAAAGAGTGTTTATGTTAAGGAGAATACACGAGAAAGTGTGGATTCGTAATTTAAGAATTCACGAGGCGCGAAGCGCCGAGTGAATTCGTAAATTAAGAATCCACACTTGCGAGTGTAATTATTGGAAAGAATGTTGCAATCTGACGCCACGTTTTTCTTCATATATCATCTCAATGAAGGTCATTCGTTGCATAAAATGATGATAAGTCATGAATCTGGGACTGAGAAATGTTTCCAATTTTGTTCGGATATACTTGAAATGACTCTGCATAGACTTTGTACACAAGCGCGGAAGTGGCGTCAGGTTGCAACATTTTTCGCCACACCCGTACAACCAAGTCATTTTGTGTGTACAGACTCCTTACGTCAAAATGGATAGTTCAGACGACGATTTCTTTCTGACTAAAAGTAGTTTTTGTAGTGACGACGGAGAATCTGACTGTGAAGATGCATTGGTAATATTCGGAAAGCAACTTTTCACGTAGGCGGTCCTATTCATGCTCATTATGGAGACAATAATGTCCGACGTTCAAAGTGTGGATTCGTAATTCCGAATCCACACTTTACTCAAGATTCGTCGTTCCGAATCCACACTTTGTGAAAAGTGTAAGAGATTCGTAGATCTGAATCCACACTTTTAAAGAGGTTGTGGAATGCTCGAAGACATTTTCGTCATTTTGGAGTATATGTAGCCTAAGGTGTGATGAAATAAAAACGACTATTGTTTCTGTCATAAAATGGGTACTAAAGGTACTTTTGAGAGCTGTTTTTCAAGTCCTGTCATGCCTGTTCCGAACCAAACGTGCAAGTTGTGTAAAAGTCGTCGTGGCGGGCAGCAAACAAAACACAGTAAATCGTGACGTAATAAACAGAACTCCCGATGCAGAGTAGCATAAACGAGTCCTGTTTATTACGTCACGATTTACTGTGTTTTGTTTGCTGCCCGCAACGACGACTTTTACACAAATTGCACGTTCGGGTCGAAACAGGACCTGAAAAATAGCTCTCAAAGGTACCCTTTGTACTCATTTCATGACAGAAACAATTAGTAGTCGTTTTTATTTCATCACACCTTAGGCTACATATACCCCAAAAATGACGGAAATGTCTTCGAGCATGCCACAACCTCTTTAACAATAGTGTGACGTCATAGCAATGGTTTAAATATCAGTTATAAGAAGGAACGCCTTTGTCACAGTTCACGTGAATAGCTTGCGTGTGAACTGGGACTTTAGGACTTGTGATGGGCTTTGTAGGACCAGAACTACATGCAGAAGGGACTATAGTGACAATAAGTGATGGATTCAACTTCATCTCTGAAAGGTACCAGGCGATGTAATGCCAGAAACCCTGCTCCAAGGAAGATAGGACTGGTATCAAATACTGTGTGGAATTATACCACCAGTAGTTGTATCGTTTGGAAGAAAACATTGAATAGTTTTTAAAAGGGTGCCGGCAGACGCATGCAGGCACGCAGTATTCGTGCATAAATTAAGGTGTACATCCTGGGGGATAAGAGGAATATATCACAGTGACGCCTTCCCATGTTTGGATGGTGTACAGTAAACAAAACATCGATGCAGCCAATTCAAACATGTCTAGTTAAATAAGGAATAGTGAAGGGGGACAAAGGTACAGCGCTCCATGGGCTTCGCCAGGATTGTTTCCAGGGGGGTGGGGGGCAAAGCAAATTGTTCCCCAATTTTTTCCTCAGATTTCTGTTGACGCGGCTTGGAGCATCATGATGTGTTACATCATGATGTGCAGCCACGGTTCTTCAAAGCTCACCTATGCAGTATAACATCGGCAGTTCATACGCCTCCACCTCGCAGACTGTAATTATGGCCTTTCTGCTTAATATACCAAGGGTGATGTAACGTGCCCGTAGTGGTCGCTCGCACTCCCTGACGATCGTGTCGCCTGCCACGGCGGCTTCTTGCTTAGTCACGCGGATACCGCATGCCGGATTCTTGGAGACTATGCTACTAGGCCCAGCTCTAACGAGAACGCCTTGCAATCTCGACTCTGCAAAGTGAAAAAAGGGGAACTCATAACTGTTACTTGGCTGAGGATTCGTCATCACATCGTGTGGATCGTTTACGCCGTAGTCATCTTCGCCGTGTGCGCTTTTGTTAATTGCTTTTAAAAAATCAGATAACAAAACGCACCTCAAAAGGGGACGAACCTGTGTTCACAGGAACGGAGTGCCCATCTCTCTTTCATTTGCAATTTGGCCAGACTCATATGCTGCTGTGGGGGGATCGCCACACCTCCTCCACAGCGAGTCTGCTACCTTCCCAGCATTGAATAATGCCGGTACCCATTTATCACCAGGTTTGAGAGGAGTGAGGTAAAGCGCCTTACTCGAGGGCACAACAAGCATGGCCACGGCAGGGCTCGAACCCACAACCTCATGATCATGAATTTTGCATGTGCTCTACCGCTTTGGACCACACGTGCCCACAACGCATCTCAAAGATGGCTGCCGAGTGTAATCACTCTATAATACAATATATCAAATATGGTTTTTCCCATTAACCTCGGTTCCAAAGTGTGACCTTTTCACCAGGCCCTGTTATCTTGGTACTATGTAATTTGTCATGCAGTTACCAATGATTTCAAAACTTTTTTTTTTCATTTGTTGGGTAAGTGCCTCTTGGAGGATGACATGCATTAAGGAGTACCTCAGGACAAAGGTGAACCCCTCAATTTATAGAATGACATATTTTGTTTGCATTGCATTCATATGTTTGCAAATTTTCTGGTATGTTCTAGTTCATTACAGGACAAACCCTTGGGCGTCCATATGATTTTTGTTCCAGGTGGGGTGGGCTAAGCAAATTTTCCCCAAAATTCCTTAACTTTTTCATTATATTCTCAATTGATCATTTTTCCAAGCGTGAGCAGGGGAGCATTTGCCCTACCCCCCCCCCCATCAAATAAACAGCAACATGGCTTTCGCACCTCTTTTTCCTTTTTCCCCCCTTTTTTTCCTTGGGGGGGGGGGGGCAAGCGCCCCCTTGCCCCCCTTGGGCCCCCTTGCCCCCCCCCCCCCCCTCGCGACGCCCATCGGGACAAACCTACAACCCCCTGATCGCCTGCACGTCCTCCTGCAAGTCAAGTTAAGGGGGAAACTAAAATGTAAGCTCAGTCAAGGGCAGATCCAGGGGGGGTCCAACGGGGGCCGTGCCCCCCCCCCCTCCCCAAAACGAACCCATTTTTTTGTTGAGTGACATCGCAATAAAGGCAGGCACTGCGTTCATCACCATCTCTTTCTCCCGAACCCCTCGTCGTAATTTTTGGGACCCACTTGGGGGGGCCAAAATTGTTGTGTTCTGGATCCGCCCTTGAACCAGTCTATGTTAACACTGGGTACATCGAGTAGTTGTTCTGTACAGTAACTGGTAAAATTCTCAGGTCGTTACAGGGTGGGGGTATTATTAGACTTGGCCAAGTCTGGGTTGCGCTCGGTCTGTGCCTACATAGTCGTGTTCCCTAACGTGGCGCACTTCGAAGCTTACCCAAATTTTCTCGTGTAGTGTTGCCAAACCTCTTTGTTGACAAACCTCAAATTCATGCAATGAAATACTGGTACTTTTACCTTATTAATGCTTGCTGTTTAACCTCTGTGAACAATTTCGGTTTCATAAAATTTAAGCCGAAATTAAAAAACGGTGGCGTCCGGAAATTGGGCACAATTTGGCGGAGTGTTCCCTAACGTGGCGCACTTAAATAAATCTCGGAAAATTCCAAATTAACATTTAAGAATTTCTGTAAACTTGATAAATTCTGATAAATTATTATTATCTCTACCTACATACCCAGCCAGATGTTTGTCACAAAAATATTTTCTTATTTTTCGGGGCATTTTCAAAGGGTTCACTTTGCACTTGAAAATAAAATCGGAAAATCACGCCAAAATATTTTTTTCTTTTAACTTTGTAGCGGGTAAATAAACTCGCGATTTATGAACGGGAGTGTTTATAACTTGATGAAATTTCACTTTCTGTGAAATTTCAGTTAAAACTTTTGCTCTAGCTAGGCGCTACAAGCGAAAAATCAAAGTGCACCACGTTAGGGGGCGCGCCACGTTAGGGTACATCAACAATATAGTAAATCCACCCACAGCGCATATCGCATACTTACAGTACATAACGCGCGCCCTCATGCGTCGAATCCGGACCATCATGTTAAAAACGTACATGTACATGTTATTTTCAAGGAATTGCTAACTTGTGCACCACATGTATGCACATGCTCTGAAATACATGCACACACATGTACGTATAATACGCGTATTGTACAATGTACATACAGTGTGTGCGCATTGTTTTACGGCACTGAAGTGGAACGCGCGCTGAAGTGTACCTTGTCACTGCTTGACGGGCTTCTGGAAAGACGTAAACTAAATGATTTTTGCTACTTTTAAAAAAAATTAAGATACCGACTTAAAGCAATTCCGACTTGAGTCAAGTCTAGGGTATTATTGGATCCGGGTGGGCATTATGGGAAATGCCCCCATCTCGAAAAAGGGCGAACAACATAATTGAAGACGAAGACCCCACTAATATTGTGCTTCCCCAAAGTACAATTTCGTGGTTTTGGACGTACATGTCCGACACTTTTTTGAGCTTCTGTTGGAAAAGTGAATGCTATACACAACCAGTAATGTGACATCGAATGAACAGAAAACAAGGACCAAAGACCTATAGACCGCTTGCAGATGCGTTCCATAATCGACGCGCGAAGGCGCGCGACGCCATGTTGTGGGGACAAGCGTATATCTATCTATGCACATTTTGTCCCATAACATGGCGTCGCTCACCTTAGCGCGTCAATTATCGAACGCGTCTGCAAGCGGTCTATTATCGATCGCGTCTGCAAGCGGTCTATTTGTTCTGAGAACTCAGCCAAAGCCCCTCCAAGTGTCCAAAGTTAATTACATGAATGTTATACATGTTCCCTGCATGCATCATCAGAAATTCAAATCTGGCTTCATTGCTCTAGGTGTTTTTGATTGTAATGCGTCATCCACCCCCGTGGGAACGGCCCCAATATCCCCTGGTAATACCCCAGCCAACCCATCCCGGATCCGCCACTTAATGTGATGTCAGAGAAGTGTAGTAACGTTTTTGAGAAGATTAAGGATAAACTTACGACAGCAGTCCCCTCTGTTAAGCACGGTGACCTTGCTGATGCAGTGTTCAGTTTGGAGGTCAACTTGCCAAAACGGATTCCTCTGAAACTCTGAACATAAAACAAAGCTAATGAAATACTGCATTCGTACATTCCATACATGTATTCGACACATACACAAAACAATTGAATATGTACGATTAAATGGGTAATATCGAAGGACAGTTTTCTAAATGGAAGTAAACGGCCATTGCCAAATGCACATATACATGTATTTTGTTGGGTGATGTAAGGCACGACCCGATCACCGTTTTAGAATTGATTTAATCTTCTTTGTTGGGTGATGGGGCACATACAGCCGGGTACGACTTGATCACCTTTTTAAATGCAGGGCGAGTCAAAAAAAAAAACGAAACCAAAATGTTGGGACCATTGTTTTATTAAAGTCCTGCATGTATAGCACTTTCAAAATCTAGGATATGAAAGCCCAATTCATAAGCTTCTTTTAGTACAAGAATCACTCAGATTATCAATGTACTTTTCAAGTTACGGAATTGTAAACACAACCACCGTTTTAAGGTTCTGTCCACGGATCACAAAACAGTGTTTTTCAGCAAAACGAAAACAAATCACATAGGGATGTGTGTGAATCGTTTTCGTTTTGCTGAAAGAACCGGCGCACGCTTTTTGGTGATCCGTGGACAGAACTTTAAAACGGTGGGTGTGTTTAAAATTACGTAACTGAAAAAGTACATGAGTGATTTGAATGATTCTTGTACTAAAATAATGCTTATTAATTGGGCCTTCATATCCTAGATTTTGACCGTGCTACATGCAGAACTTTAAAAAAAAACCACAATAGTCCCGACATTTGGGTTTCGGTTTTTTTTACTCACCCTGTAGTACATGTTAATCTTTCTTTATTTGTTTTCTTTATTTCTGGACAATAATTCTTCGTGGTTGAAGTGTTTTTCTTTACTTATTTTATTTTTTTTTATTTAATTATTTATTGATTGATCTATTGATTTATTGATTTATTGATTGATTAATTGATTTTTTTTGGGGGGGGGTTATAGAGAGGGGACAGCGGCTAAAACCTTACACCAACACCAACATCGTTTCTCCTTCAATTGTTTTAACTTACTTGTCGATGAACATGATCTGCCGTTGTAGTTTGAGTTCCGGTTCCCGTCAATTGCCCCTTCAGGTAGGCCGGCAGCATTGTTCGTTGACGATTGCTTCACTGGTGTCCCGACAAGGTCCATCTTACGAGGCTCGTCTGTGTCTTGTGAAAACAAATTAAAACAATTAAGATCAATTTGAACATTAAGTGCCGTGTCCGAATGCTCCGTGCTCAAGTACCCCCTCAACGGTATTACACGGAGAGTTGGGGGAGACCCATAGAGCAAATTTATTTAAATTATCCAAAATGCATTCCGTGTGATTTTATTATGTAAAAATGGCAACGCTCAAAGATTTTGAAAAACGACATGGCACTTCTTAACTAAGAATATCGCAAGTTTTTAATGCCAAATGAAGGTTGGACACTTTATTGCCACGATTTCGGTGGAACCTTAAAGGGACTTTGCAATCGTCTGCTACAAAGCACTCTTTGCGGATTAACGGAAGGGAAGAGGGACAATTCTTGTACCTTGCAATCAAGCAATAGTACGGATGATGGGTTTGTTCATTTGATGAGAACAAAACATGGAATTTCTGGCACCTTTAGTCGGAGCAGGTCATAAGAAAAATATTTGGCTATAGAGCAATGGCAGCTTTGTAGAATATAGGTAGAATAACAAGCAATGGCAGCCATTTAGAAAAGTTTCAAAACTGCTTGTTATTATATAAGTTTTTCAAAGGGCAAATGTGCGATGGCCATACAGCGAAATATCTTTCTTAAGACATACCATGACTGTGAGCCAAATGCCATGATTCTATCATCACAGTGAACAACCCCCAAACATTTCTCCAATCTGCTCTACTAATAGTATCCAGCAGCATTTGTGATAAGGTTTTTGTCCCTTAAGCCGGCGATTACATTCCTTGGGGGGCGATGCATCTCTTGTGGTAGACTTCCATTCCAACGACCCTAATTATCTCTTCTTTTCTTCCCTAGCCAGCCAAATGGCGTGGATCGATAGACCAACTATTCAATCATGCCTACGCGCAAGACACTCTAGCTAACGCCTCATTGAGGCTAAACAGATTCAAGGAGAACCTGCCGAAAGCCTTTATACATGTATATGAAACCCACTGAGTCGATTGTCGGTTGGGACACTACTATCCTCGCACCGCCGACATCGCTAGATCGTAATCAAAGATCTTATAGCGCCGAAGGCGCAAGATGGGGAACTCCATAGAAATTGCGAAATCGCCATGGACGCCATCCAGCAAACCATTGTGAAAGCCATTGTTTCACAATGGTTTGCTTCGAGTAAGCATACCATTGTGCAAATAATGGTTTGCACAATGGTTTGCTTGCTCGAATGGCGTCCATGGCGATTTCGCAATTTCTATGCAGGTCTTTACAATGTTCTTCTTTGTTATTGGATGAAACACGCTTCGTTTATGAAACAAATTCCATTGAAATAGGCTCCGACTATCATTGATGAGGGACTCTTGACTACGCGCTAACTGTACAGCTGTGTGGTTTCAAAGGCGGTTTCTAAAGGTTACGTAATACTTCCTTTTGAATGAAACAACATAAATGTTGACGTTTGCGGGTGAAATCTTTGAAATCAATTGCTCCCGTTTGGAGGAACGTATCTTCATGCATCTTTCAGTGTTTGTTTCCCTTATAATGATCCAACTTTAATTATCTGCTACAAATCGTTTGATAATGTTCAGTATTTTTCGTTGTAATTAAAACAATAGGCTGGGGTACGTCCATTTTTTAAAGCTGTAACACTGGTGTGTGCAACATCTGGCAATCTTTGCAAGCCTCATGAATATTAATAAGGTTTCTATACATTATGGTGTGCAGTAACAAATTGCACTATCGCCTACTTCACGACTTATTTATTTATAAATATATCACCCTTTTCCCCCAGCTTCCATTGGTCGATGCCGAGATTCCGAGACACGCCGGTCAAGTAATAAATATGTTAACAATGCGCCTCGTCATTGTTGTGGACAAATCGGACAACCTGAAAACAACATGTTTGTTTGGTGGGCAAAAATCCTAGTCCAGAGAAATTTGCCTTGGATATAGTTCAAATTGTAACTCTAGCGTTTGCAACAACAGATTGAGCCGAAATTCGGGCTATACTAAGATGATATTAGTGTTCAACTACTCGTCAAATAATAATTTGTGAGGATTCCTAGAAATAAGTAATTAAGAAGATCATTGGGGTCCTTTTAGAACTATGTATGATTTTAGGCTTTGCATGATGGAGTATCGGTATCGTTTCGGTTTGCGGTAACACCATGTGGTAATAACTACTGCTAAGAACATATTTAGTTCTGAAAAGAACTTGTCCTGATTATTATCAACCTTCGCTATGTAGTTTTTTGTTCTGATAAGAACAGTCCTGCTTTAAGTTCTAAAAGAACTTGTCCTTTGGTCTCAACGTTTCGACTAGCCTGCTCTAGTCATCGTCAGGAGACCGCAGTCATCGTCAGGTGATTTTTTGAACTATTTTCCCACAATTTCAAGGTCAGCTTTACCAGTGACCAGTATTAACGTTTTGACATCAATAGGCCTAACGGCGTTTTTTTTTTCACTGACATAAAGCCTACAATTTCTTCTTCTGTTATAATATAACATTTCAATCATACTGAGCATTATTTTGTGAACAAGGGAGCGTTAAAAAGCTATGTGCCTTGACTTCACTGCTCTCTTTTAGCAGAACTGTACATAATCGGATTAAATTTGCTTAACAACACAAGTCGCAAAACCAGAAGGCTGTAGACAAGTACAAAACAATAAACCAGGTTCTCGTCCCAACTCCTTACCATTCCAGCCGGTCCGCCACCTTTGTCGTGTTTAAATTCATACATTTGCACTATATTTTGTAAATATATTGTTTATAGATTGTCTTTCAATGTGTTTTCAACAGAATTGTATGGTTATGTAGAAAGGGTTGCGGCGCATTTGGACACAGTTGTGTATCAGCAAAAGAGTCAAGAAAATGGATGAATCCATCTGCCATCATATCCCGGCAAACCGGCATTCTGGGAAAGAAAAGAAAACGAAGCGCCAGCCTCCTTCATTAAAAAAAAAAAGCTCTGGCGAGAAACTATTGGGTTTTTTTTTCTTTACACTCGGTCCAAAAATCAGACTTTTTTAGACGGTTCATGCAGACTACAGACCCGTTTTCCTTATTGAGACTCACCATCTATGTTCACCTTCTTTAATATCTGATCCAGGAGTTCCAAGTCGCGATATAATAGTTCATCATGCTGAAACGAAGTTTAAGGAAAACCAAACATGAAATGCACGTCTTAAAATCAGTGTTGTGTGTCAGTAGTCGAATCCATTCACAAGTAAAGCCCAGTCACACATTCACGGTTTGGAGCTACGGATATCCACAGTTTAAAATTCGTGATAAACCGCGGGAGTACCGGTGTAGCGTGAATATCCGACTCCATGAAATGTGGACTCATTGGTAGTACTGCGCACGCGTGAGTACGATACTATGCTATTTTTAGGCTCGTTTCTGGAGAGTGACCTGTCACGTGCGAGGGATCAACCAATAATAGGGAAATAGGGGTCCGATTTTCATAGGAGTCGGATTTTCATGTGACACCGGACTCATCCTTAGTACATCCGTGGTTATCGTCATCTTCCTTGGATATTCGTGGAGGGGCCGCGAAAATTTGAAACTGTTCCAAACTTCCGCGGTGAATCGTCATGAAAATCAATGTGTGCAACCGTGGGACATCCTCAGGACAACCGCACTAATTCGTATATTATTCGTGGCTATTCGTAAATATTCTTGGAGATGATTAGTAGCTCATTCGTTGTCGAAATCTCTACGAATTCGCTTCAAATGTCCTACGGATATGCCCGGATATGCTAGGATTCCGCTAAGGTTGCACTACGAATATGTATGCTTTAAGTTCGTAGGAGAACCTTGGTCATCCGTGGCCCAATCGCCCAAACGTCATTATTCTTAGTAATAACGTCGATATTCTTCACCAATCCGTCCATATTCGTGACAAACCGTGGTGTATTCGTAGAGAAACCTTAGGACAGTCGTGGCTATCCGTCCTGAAACCGTAGTACATTCTTAGAAAATCGATTTCTCCACGAATCTCGACGGTTCATGTGATGCTCGATTGATTCTTGGTAAACCGTAAATATTAGTAGCTCCAACCGTGAATGTGCGACTGGGGTTAAGCGGATGAACAATAACAAAAGAATGCTTTTGTAACAGTTCACTAAGTAAGATTTGAGGCTTTGCATGGTGGAGATACTAAATAATGAAAGGTTTGCGGAAACACCATGTGCGAATAATTTCTCAACTAAGAGAATGGTTCTGAAAAGAACCAGAGGTATAAACAAGTTCACTACTTGAGTAGTGACATGACTTGAAACTTCGGGACTTTTGATGGACTTGAATGGTGTTACAACTGATAATGTAGTAACCAACGGATAATGTATCACCAACGGATAATGTCACATAAATTAACCGATACTGTATCACAAACTGATAATGTAACACAAAATTGACCGATAGTGTAGTAAAATGTACTACACTGTCAGTCAATCGTTGTTACATTATCAGTCCTAGCCGATAACGTAGCAAAAATTGACTAATAGTGTAGCAACATTTACTACAGTATCCGTCATATTTTGCTACATTATCGGTTAGTGATACAATATCGGTCAATTTGTGAGACATTATCGGTTAGTGACACGTTATCAGTTAGTTACTACATTATCAGTTGTAACAAATGGTCAGCGTCTCTCTAGCATAATGTTCCATTTTTCGTAAATTCCGTAGCGTCTGGATCTCCCTAAAACATAAGAACTTAGGTAAGGAAAATGTTTTAAGTATTTGAAGCGACGGTCTTACTGTCACAATTTTAAGACTTGTCTGGTGCATTTTTTAATTCAACTCCTTTTGAAAAGATGGCCCACAAGCTGTTTCATCAACTGAGGTATTACGATTCTTTAACGAAAAGAAAAAAGCTAATCAGAGACTTGCTCACTATTTAACTCCTTGTCACTGAAGGGCGCATATGTAAAGGATTTTTCCTACATGCAATCCTTGAAATGTACCTCGGTGCTTCATTTAACTTTATGTTTAAAGGGAATGTACATTATTGGCTTTCGCTGTAATTTTCAGAAATGAACTATCTGGGGGGTTAGTATAATAGATCAAATATTGTTACACTGACATGTTTGAAGTTTTGTGTTCGAAAATGCTGGAAAACTAAGAAAAACAAAAATGTTCAAGTGGTCTGGTTCCCCGACTCCACTAAAGATGAAATGGATCAAAAATGCCTGAAAATTGTAAGGTAAGGGAACCAGTCTAGCTGGCCTGCACCCGTTCATGAACATGCAACCAATAGCAAACAAAATTTGGACTGAAAAAAAACCCGGTAATTTTGGATCAGTAGTTGAAAAACAGTTAGGTTTTTCCAACGGTGGTCAGCCGACCACTGTTGAAAATGTACACAAAAGTACAATTTTTCTTGAAAATTACTTCACACCAGGTGCCCTAATTTTACAGGATGCTTTAGACTGTCATTTACCAACATCCTAGTAAGGTATTTCGTAACAACTTGGTAGTTTTATTTTTCGATGTTTGAAAATGTTGTATTTTCCCTTTAATCATCGTATTGCCATTTTAAGAATGCAATGGTGCCTTTTTTGGTTTCTGTGCCAATGCATATTTGCATAATCATGAGTAAAACTGTGATGTCATTCCTGGCAGAAACGTCAGTGTCACATTAACTTTAACAAAAAAGTCGCGAAAATTTGAGGGGTTTTCTGTGGTCATTTAGGCCTACTTTTTTTGCTTTCAGTGGTTCGTTGTTGTTTCAGTATATGACATAAGACAATGATAAAACTTCATGCACAAATGTTTTAAATAATTATTTGGGGTTTAAAAATGTGGAGAGAAAAATCCTAATGCGAAGAACGTGTTTCTTAAGTCACATCACAGCAACAGCGCCTCCAGTTGTCAGGAAAAGCATAAAACATTTAAATGTAAAAACAAAACAAAAAACAGCAATGGACTGGTTTATTTATAAAACGTCGGACGTTTGCATGCCTGGTCTTATACTCATGTAGTTGCCAAAGACGAAGGCAGTCTCATTTCAAGTTTGCTTTGCTAAGTTCCACAATTTACTTACACATGTACTTCAGATCTCATTTGTGCAATGATTAAAACAATCCAATGAAGTAAGTTTTGCCAAAACGTATCTTCTGGATGTATTCTTTTCCCTAAAAAAAAGTTGTATTACTTCTTCCGTTTTTCGATGACAATTTTAAATTTTAAAATGGGATTGGAGTTTCGATGAAATACAAATGGGGGAGGCTGGGGGCACTCCCCCCCCCCCCCCAGATTTACCCAAGTGCCCCTTTGCGGACATAAATGTGCCCCCTCGAGCATAGATGTGCCCCCTCGAGATGAAAACAAAACTAGCCCTAAAATGTCTGATAATTTTTTTAGCAGTAACCACTTCTCAAAATAGTATAGAGAGTGATATGAAAGACGAATATGAAAACCAAGCCCCAAACCCTCTCAATGCGCCCTGAAAATAGGCACATAATGCGTAGTTTGCATAATGGTCGACTTTGAAGCGCACCCCCTACTTTTGAAAATGGAAGAAGTTTTAGAGAGATGTGATGCCGAACCGATGAAACAAAAGCAACATTTCATTGTTCATCTTAAAGCTTAAGATATTGTGCTCGGCATTACCATGGTTATGTAGTTATCACTTATCAGAATTCAATAATAAAGACCAAAAACGTAGACTCATGAATATTCAAAAATGTAATTCGCTGGCTTGACAAACTTCGACGCCAGATCGGGAGCAGAGCCTTGCAAATCTGAAAGCCACCGCGCACAGTGGTCTTTGTTGAAAAGTACTCATGGTATTTGCCACCATTGAGTACGTGCCGTTATCACGCTTCTAACCAGGAGTTATAGCAAGTCGTTAATCCTTGTGTGTAGGATCCGTGCTTTCACTGATATAACAAACGATCGGTCGCACACAATCATGAGTGGGCCAATCATCCAAGATCACCCTTTTCAGGCCAAAGTCTGGTCAAAAAACTTATAATAGTTTATGCGGTACCCGCTGCTATGTACATCAGATTCTATTTTGCAATGGAATAGTAGACATAAAATGGCAATGGGCTTCAGGACTGTTTCTAGGTATCATTCGTTAACACCCTCGCCCCTTAAAAAATAATAGAAAGTGAAAAGATCAATGTGGCTTATATAATTTGATGTATATCTCGGTCACATGCGAGAGGTTGAATAATCTCAGAAAGGTTATACCTGACATCGCCGCCACTCATCATTGTCTAGTTTACATTTTATGCCAGTGTCGTGCAGGCGTGAAGTAAACGAAACCTAACGTTGCGGAAAGATTTCACTTTTTGTCATCATATTTTTATCTAAATGAAGGTCAGTCGTTGCAAAAATGTTGAAAAGACATGAGACATATTTCCAATTTTGTTGAGGCCCTGTCATTTTGTTCGCATAGTCTGAGTATCATCCGCTATCCACGGAGCCAAGTCTCCTGTATTATATAACGTCTGATATGTCAAAGCATGCAGATTAATGCGAGCTCGCGCTTCAGCCAATCGGAGTTGACTTTACTAAACCGTGAGGTCATTTCATTCCCAAATCAGGACTAATGGTTTGATTGGTCAATTCGAATGCAGTGTTTTTAATACAACAGCCGGACGCATATCGCGTAGCATAATACAGAGCGGGCGACACAGGTTTTTTTTTAATACATGTACATTTTTATGACCGAGGACCCGATATAAAAAGAGCTCGCTGATTGGTCAAAATCTAGAGGTCAAGATGCGGTTTTCCTGCATACTTAATCAGCGAATCTTAGACCGTTGCTTTCGCGATGGTCTATTACATAGACTACAGTGCGTGCCGCGAGCATGAAATGTGTAAATAAGCGGGCTGACGTCATCCGATGAAAATTATTCATGTTCACATCAGTTTCATCAGTTGCTATGCGTTATTACCATTTAGACTCAAGAAAGAAACATTGAATTCCAAAAACAAAGGTCTGTGGGCTGGATAAATCTTATTTTAAAAACTCCCAGATGTCCGCGCCCACCTATAGGAATTTATTTACTAGCCTGAACTTCGCTTTGCCACCTCATGATCGAGTCATAAAAAAAGTCCGTCAAGCCAAATCCTACCTTCGTATCGGGTTCCTGTATAGTGTACGCAGACACGCCGTGGCACACAGCCAGCGTCAGCAGGAATAGACCCACCATGATTCTCGACCGACGGAGGGAAATCTCAGACAGCAATGCCGCACCCGCCGCCACAAGCTTTGGTGAAGAAATCTCGGCACCACTCTAATCACAGTGCACTGTATCAATTTGATGCCCACGCACCAACGGAGGCGTTGTTCAACAAGCCTCAATAGCAGTTAGGACAATATACCTTCCTGATAAGCCTACCAAAAAAATGCGTATCCTTGCATTGGTCTGGGGCGATGTCCTTAAAGTCAGTGAATCACAAAGTTTTGAAGAACAACCCTGGATGGCTTTCCGGCTGATGAGTTCTGAATACTGCTTAGAGCTACTTTATATTACCATATAAATTACGCCTGCGCCCTCTCCACACGTTTACACTTACTTCGGGGTTCTTGAATGCTCAATTGTTACCATTATGTGAAGTCTTGTATTCAAGCTGAATAGGCGCTTGGTGTTACTTCATCGGTACGTAAGGATAAGCGGGCTGGTGAATCAAAGAAAAAAACCTTTGAAAGTCTTCCTTAACGACAACCACCATTTATTGTGGCCAAATTGCAACCCACTCAACTTAATAAGAGCACGGAAAATTGCACGCGAAGGAAACAGGATTTGTTCACCCGAGATCCTGCCAACTTAAACAAAATCTGGGCAAAGCGTGAAAACTTTTTGTAGGCCTATATACATGTACATGTAAATCTGAATCTGACACTGATAAACATTTCCAATTTTGTTAGAAAATACTTTGAAATTCTTCTTGACTATCCAAAGACTGCTAACACAAACAACGACGTGGCGTCTGGATACCACGTTCTTGTTATATACGGTGTGTGAAGAATAATATCAAAATTGGAGGACTTTTAGGGTTAAGAGGCCTGTTGTTACTCAACAACAATTTTGGCAATTTTGTTGGGTTTGGTCACATTTTTAGTCCGAACATTTGTAACTCTCACTCTATCCGGTGTATGAGAGTCCAAAAGATAATGAAAACATGCCACGCAAGAAAATAGACTGGCACATGAAACAATTAGTCCACCATCCCTTTACAGCCATGTGACCACAAATTCGTATCCTTGTGGAGACACACACACAATAGGGAACAAAACATTGTAAAGGTGTACATAGGGCAATTTTCATAGATGAATAGGTCTCCACAAGGTTTTCACGAAATAGATATATGGGTTTTACTCAAAAACTAGGGATTTCCAAGGTGGGTTAATTGGTCGCAAATGGAAGAGTTTTAGAAAAGGGATATTAAGTCCGAATTTCAGCCAAGGAAATTAATTCTTGTTAAAATAAGAGCATTTTGAAATTTCACTTTTAAAATTGAAGCCTTTACTACACGAGAACAAAGAAATGTCTCAACAAGGATACAAATTTGAGAATGTGTGGTTGCGAACAGTGGCATAGCAACGGGGGGGGGGCGACATGAAACCTTGTCACCCCCCCCCCAGTCGCCCCCCACTGAGATTTTGAGTTTCTAAAAAAAAAAATCATTGATCTACATGACGTCCCCCATGAAATGTTCCAGCGCCCCCCCCCCCCCGCGCATCCCCCCCCCCCCCCCCAACTGAAACATTCCTGGCTACACCACTGGTTGCGAAGGCCGATTTCTAAAGGATAGGTGTAATACTTTATTTCGAATGAAACAACATGCATACAGACATGTTGCTGTTCGCGGACGAAATCTTTGAAAATCAATTTCTCCCGTTTGGGAGACCGTATCTTCATGCAACGTTCAGGGTTTGTTTCCCATATAATGATCCAACTTTGTGCTAAACATCGTTTTGAAATTATCAGAATTTTTTGTTGAAATTGGACAAATAGGCTTAGGTACGTCCATTTACCAAACTTTAACACTGGTGTTTGCAATTATGTCAATCTTTTCGAGCCTAGAGCCCGGTTAATACTCGGTGCGAAAGCGAAAGCGAATGTTTCATGACGGCAAATTCGCTTCGCATTCGCTTTCGCATGAAGTATAAACCGGGCTTTACGAAAATTGAATAATAAGGTTCCTATCCATGATGGTGTGTAGTAAAAATCTGTACTTTCGCCTCCTTCACGAGTTGTTAATTAATAGATATCCCCTGCAGCTTCCAGTGTCGATACCGAGACCCACGCGAAGTCACGCTGAGTCACGCTAATGAATATTGCTAATAATGCACCTCGTCATTGTTGCGGCAAAATCGGCCAACCTGAAAACCACGTGTTGTTAAATTTGGTCAGCAAAAAAAATCGTAGTCCAGCTAAATTTGCCCTGCAGACAGTTCAAGGTGTAACACTAGCGTTTGCCAAAAAAAAATGAGCTGAAATTCGGAACGTACTAAGATGTTAAGTGTTCAACTACTCGCCACGAAATAACAACCTGTGGAGAATTCCTAGAGATAAGTTAAAAGATTTGGGGAGCTTTTCGAACTATTTTCCACGAATTTTAGGTCAGCTTTACCAGTGACCATGCAGTATTGACGTTTCGCTAACAATAACGGCGATTTTTATTTCACCTTTATTAATCCTCCTGAGACAGACCCTTTTGCATTATGAATAACAATCATGTGTGGTATGTCAGTGGTGTAGCAAGGCCATTTTGATGGGGGGGGGGGGGGGGTAGACGCGTAAAGGGCACTCGCCTCATCCGTGCTGAAAGGTAGACGGGTTTTTTTTCCCACCGGTCAAGCGGTCTCCGTAAAATAAAAGATTGTCAATGGATCATGATTATTCAGCTAGTTCGATGTTTATTCGTAAATAAATAACAATGACATCATAAGAAATTAACAGTGACGTCACACCATTGTTATCAGTCAGTCATGCATGTACATTCAGGCATCATTCGTTGAGCTGCCGCAGTGGACAGTGGATCGCAAGATCTGTGGTTCGAACCCGGGTCCATTTTCATCAAGCGCCCTCAATAGACCAATATAAAACTAATTTTTCAGCCACATGCGGCATTTCTGCATCATCGCCATCTTTTTCTCATGCCCTGCAATCCAGGATGCGTGGAACACGACAGCATCGCTCATGTCGAAGCAGGTATTGTTGCCCTTGACGTACAGTCTGCCGCTTGGAAAGTTCCTTTCGAACAACTGTTTTATCCTCAGTTTGCTGGACACGTTCCTTTGTCTGACGATTTCGTTCAAGACGGCCTGGTCCTGCTTGTGTACTTTCTGCGTTTCCATGGCCTCTATCCAACGTTTGAGTAACTGTACCGTTCGTTCTGTTGGCCTATAGTATATGCAACCACCATTGAAATTGCCCCATTTGGGTTCATCACGAATAAAGGCGACATCAAAGTTGCCCTGAAAATAAGGGAAAGGGTTTCTGACCCAGAACGTGTCGACGTCGATGAAAAATACGTCAAACCCTTGTTGTATGAAACTAAGCACATACTTAGGTCTGCGATTGATGAAGTTGACGTATTCCTCGGTCCCAAAGTCGATGGCCTCACCCTTGGAAGGTAACCTGCCATCCGGTTTGATGAGTTGCAGCCCTGGGTACCTTTTGTCCCCCGTTTCAGAAAGCACCCGATAGGTTTCCTCGTCCTCAGTGATAATGGTCACGTTGGGGTGCACACCCGTTTGGACAATGCTCAGGAGGAAATTTTCGGTGAAGTCCAGGAATCCCGAATTAGTTGTTGTCAGGACGATTCTTCTCTGGGATGTATTGGTCTTCCCCGCCGAACTTGGAGCAGGCAGTTCATTGGCAGATGAATTTACAGTCGGGCTCTCGCTGTCCAGTAGCTGCGCAGATGAGTTAGCTGGCGAGCTACCATTGGTCAATTGTTGAGGGGGTGTCTCGTTACGCAAGCTGTCATTGGGTGATGACACATCACGTGGTCTGCTGTTTTCCACTGATTGGCTGTCAAGTAGTGGGACACTCGTTCGCACTATCGGTGAGAATTCGGGCTGGGAAAGTGTGACGGGACGCGTCCTGAAATGCTGTTGTGCATACTTTGCTGCAAAAAAAAGAAATAAATGCACCATTTAATTTTAACTTACAATTACCTCCATTTCCTTACTTGGGTAAAGATCAACCTTACAAATTAAACGTTTCGGTATGTTTTACTCGTCCTCTTCTAAGTTTTACTATAAGCATGTCCTCGTCCTGGGTTTCAGGCCAGTAAATAGGCCCAAATTGCCCACGATGGCCAAATCACAATTTTCATGCCTTCAAATTCGCCAGTGTTAGAGCATTATGTGAGCCATGACCTTGAGGGTTTGTTAAAAAAAGACTATAAGCCGTGAACAGGACTGCGAGCTTGCATTTCTGTGAAATCTGGATGAAATGGGGCCCTAAAATTGATCTATTTTGCAATGGTGTAGTGTAGGCCCAGGCTTCATATTTCAAAATGGCAATGGGCATCAGGACTGCTTTTAGAGGGAATCGTCTTTGGATAGAAATATCTCCCATGCATGTGAACAAGTCATCGGATAACCCCCCAAAACATATTGACAGAACCTTATGAAAGATGATGAAATAAGCTTTAATTCAGTGTCTCCGTATTTTTTCCTGGTTTTTGGAAGTGGGTACTTATGACTGCGGAGTATACGGCAGTGTACTTGCTGGTCTGCAATCCTGAGACTCGACAATGCCCATGGCTACTTAACAAACACAGTCACTAATTTAAAAGCGCCCTCTTTTGAGATTTCGTCGATAACCAACCCAAGGCCAAAAAAATGTCTCGGTTTCTGGTCTGCGCGCGCATCGCCGTAGCTATGCGCGTCGGCAAAATTAAAAAGTTTTTTTGTTTCAATGTAAGATGAGGTATCAAAACTGCCAATGCACGATGTCGATGTATAATTTCGTCACCGTTTTCACGAAGAGCCACATATGTCAAAAATTACAATTTTTTCGATATTGATTTTTTTCATTATTTCGCATTGAAACAATGTACTTAACCATTTTGACGTGTTTCTGAAAGCAAAACATCATTAATTTCTAAGTTACATTAATGTTGCAAGGGACAAAAATCTCGATAAATGCATTTTGCGTTTTCACGAAGAGCCACATACATTTTGGCCCTTTGAACGCGTACAAAACCCATTGCACGGAAATACGTAAAAGTAGAGAAAATGAGATTTGCGTTTTCACGAAGAGCCACATATCTTTGTTACATTTCAGCTGCGCGCGCGCTCACGCGCGCCTATGGAAATACACGTTGAACAGAAAGGGCCAATATCTCGGAAACCTGAATTTGCGTTTTCACGAAGAGCCACATATCTTTATTAATTAATTTTCACTAATTAACTGCTGTATTAAGTCTTATTACCGGGTTCATGTAAAACTTCAGCTCTCGTAGAATCGTGTGATGGTTTTCTTGCTGCACAAAGTTGTTGCAAAGTGGTATTTTTTGCAGTTTAAATATATGAGAAACTTCTTTTGCGATTATCTCGAAAACGTTTCTTCAAAATCCACATATGTGGCTCTTCGTGAAAACGGTGACGATTTGACGTTACCGACTTCTCTGTTTTTTCTCTTGACTATCCAAATTTCCCGAAGAATATTCGTGTCGGTCGAGATCGCAAATGGGTGCTGAATTCTCAAGCCTTGCGGCCGTACTGAGGTCGACCTCAAGCTCCACCCTGAAGGATATTTTTTTTTTAGAGTTTGAAGGGGAACGAAGCGTCATCTGCAACATCAGCCGACATTTTGAAGAAAAAAAGTAGGGGAAATAAACCCCGTTTCGCCGCACCACTTTTGGGGCAAGTCCATACCAGAAACTGTTTTGTTGGCCTGAGCCAAAAGCATTATATTCCAACCTGGAATTCTTTAAAATGATAAAGATGTTTTCCCCTGCACGGCCCTTGTATAGATTGTTCCTGCCTTTGTCTGTTGTGCAGCGTAAAGGAGTACTTGGGGGGGGGGGGTTCTTCATTACTTACGACCGAAAATGATGAGCACAATAACAGCACATACAGCGAAGCTGCGACCTGTCTTCGAAGCCAAGATTCTCTTCATCTGGACAATGATTACGACCTCAACTGTCAAAGGAATACCATGTATACAAAATAATCACAATTTACACATGTCAGTATCAAGAATGGATAAGTTGGTTCAGCGTGTTACAACTGATAATGTAGTAACCAACTAATAACGTATCACCAACCGATAATGCCACACAAATTGACCGATACTGTATCATTAACCGATAATGTAACAAAAAATGACGGATAATGTAGTAAATGTTACTACACTATCAGTCAATTTTTGTTGCATTATCGGTTAGGACCGATACTGTAACAGCAATGTACTGATAGTGTAGTACATTTTACTACGCCATCGGTCAATTTTGTGAGTACATTATCAGTTAGTGTTACAGTTTCGGTCAATTTGTGTGACATTATCGGTTGGTGATACATTATCCGTTGGTTACTACATTATCAGTTGTAACACAGCGTCCTCAAGTTGAATGAGCGACCTTAACTGTGGTATAACCTATTGCGAGTATTTGAGAAAACACTGTGCCGAAATTGGAACTTTGAGGAATCTTGCTGGAAGTTATACGCTGAACTAGTCCACGAGTGTCCACATTCAACACGTATCATATTGACGTGGCGTGTGAACTAAATAGACATACATGTACATATTCCTTTGTCCTAGATCATTGACACCTCCCCCCCCCCCTTCCACAACAGTGTGTGGCTTATAGGTCGCTCATTTAGGATTTAGAATTACGAGGAAAAAATAGGGTACCAGAGCCTAGTAATGGTGAAATCTATTCAAAATATATGGTTCAATATATGCGTTTCCGTCCAGATCTGTAAGCTCAAGTTGTTTATTAGAACGCCTACTCGTGTTGATTGATATGCCTACATGTTCTAATTAAAGTTAAAGTTAAATTAAGTTTTTATTGTAGAGCAAAAAAGGAAGTCTACCTGATGGTTGACTGCATACGTACCACACTGAAAGCTGTGTATTGGTTATGTGCAGACAACCAGAAACTTCTGAAAACTCCTGATCTCGTCTGAAATCTCCTGATTTCATAAAACTGAAGTGCTGAAAGGTAACACGTAGGCCCTACTCCCGTAAAAACGCAAGTGCTACTGAAAATATGTTTTCACCGACTGATGACGTAATCCCACATTGCTATAGTGATCAGTATTTCAGTCCAATTGAACCCAATGTAGGCCTCGGTGAGTTGGCTATCGCTACCCTGTCAGACAAAACATGCTCCTTGTACTTGTAGGTTTTCATGTATGCAGGCCTAAACGTACGACTGCATGTACACTCCACAAAGTGCCAATCGATAATTCTCTCAAAAGCCACAGACAACCATTGTTATGCTGTATCTGCAACTGACTACTGAAGATTGTTTGGTTCGTCCCCTGCGTTTCCTCCGGGTATTTTCGATCTTGTGAAGCGGACTAGCTAGGCAGAAGCTTGGCCGGAAGAATGACAATTATGTGATCCTTACTGTTGTAGAGAAAACCAAGCAAGTGTGGGGGTTTTATTACTCCGTGAATGCGTAGGGTCTTATTACCTCCGCCAAGGAGGTTATGTTTTCATCGGATTTGTCTGTTAACAAGATAACTCAAAAAGTCATGGACGGATTTGCATGAAATGTTTTCTTAGGGTGGTCCTTGGTACAAGTACAATTCGATTAGAGTTTGGAAGTGATCCGGATCCGGGTCTGCATCCAGGACCTTATCGAAGGATTCTTCACCATTTATGCGAGTATTTCTGTTGGGTGTACTGACAATATGGCGGGGAATTGTTTAGCCTTGTCGGAGGTTTGCGCTCTCTGAGTGCCTTCTAGTTCATTATATCATTTCTGACCTAAAAGTCTTAATAAAATGTCTTCGTCTTTGTTCTACATAACCTGTGTTATCTTCGTATTACCTTTGCGGTGTTGCTTCACATCTGGTGAAATATTTTTAGACGGAAAAAATCACCTTTTACCAACCAAAAAAGAAAATCAAGGACGACTCTCTACATAGGCACAAACCACAATTATATATTTTTTTTACATTGTATTATATTCATTGTAAATATAAATTGATATCTCATTTTGATCATTATATGCAGTATGTTCACAAATTCGTTGTACATTAAAAGCGTAAAAAAAAAATCAATATCTAAATGAATGGTGGCGCTTTCCTATAAAGTTGCGGCGCTATCTGTCTTTGTGACGATACAGCGTCTTTAAGCATTTTGCTAGTCGGCCGGTAGAACCGCAAACGTAATGTTTGATCGATTACAAAGAAAATTACTGTTTATCCACGCCAGCTAAAATCACGTGAAACTGAAAGTAAAATTAAATTGCACAAAGGGTCGCAAATGAATACTGCAACACGCACTTTAACTGAATGAATTATGCCCCACAACTCTGTACATACCGGTGTAGCGTGAATATCCGACTCCATGAAATGTGGACTCATTGGTAGTACTGCGCACGCGTAAGTACGATACTATGCTCGTTTCGGGAGAGTGACCTGTCACGTGCGAGGGATCAACCAATGAAAGGGGTCCGATTTTCATAGGAGTCGGATTTTTATGTGACACCGGTACAAGAAGTCTGCAATAATTTATTACAGCATCACTAGTCATGTCATGTATACAACTTAAATTTCTGGAACGATGGCTATATAAAACATATTGGCACCAATTTCACAATTATGAAGTTGTCTTTTTTTAATTTTACACTTTTTTTCAAATTTATTTTGTAAAAAATCTTACCAAGCCTCCTGATGACGAACAGAGCACACTGTTCGAAATGTCGAGTTGAAACAACTGATTCTTTACAGAACCACACAACTCAAAAGAGATATCATTCACATGGTGTTATACTGCAAACCTATACATTGATCATGTCCGCCATGCAAACATACAAGTCTCATTAAAGTCTTACCCCAAATAGCTGTGACTGGTTGCTAGGTTGAATAACTGATCTCCGGCCTTCGTTTTAATGAAGAAATAGCACTGTATATATGGAAAACAATTATGATACGCCGTTTCTTCTAATTAAGTTGACGGTTTAACGGGGTGCCAAAACTACCACACAAAAAAAGGAAACAGAATTGTTTTGCCAAGTTATGACACGTCATGGGGAAGTATCAACAACGGCACATTTGCATAATTAAAACATAATAACAATAATAATGGAGATTTTTACGATTTAAAAGAACACAAATGCAAAATAATTGTTTCTGATGTTTTCCTTTTTGCTTAAAATGGTGGCTCTTTTGCCCGGGCTTCAGGGTTCAGAGGTATTTTTTTTCTCCAATTTGCATAAATACTATTTTCCTGTTGAATATAATTATAGTTTTATTAATTTCCATAAAGTAACAAAAACATGTATAAAGCACTAATACATCTGTGGGATAATATTAACAAAACTTTAAATACAAACCTCATTTGCATGTAACATATACATATATTCACCGTTATTCTCATATCATTATTGTTTGTATATATACATATATATATGCTCTGGTAAATAAAATATTTATTTGCATAAAAGAAAGGACTTTGGGAAGATTCCATTTGATTGGGAAGATTCCATCTAAACAGCCAGTTTAAGCTGTTCAACTTAATCAGCGCATATATTCAAATATTCCATCAAAAGGTCCAAAAGAGCTTGTGGCGGTATGTTGCTACACCGTCTCGGTCATGGGCGTCATGAGGGGCCTTAATAGCAAAAAAAAAAAAAAACGAGAACCAAAGGGGGAAAAACGAAAAAAAACCGCGTGAAGTAATTTACAATGTAATATTGCCGTTGATTTAATGAGTGGGGGGGGGGGGGCAAAATGTCCCTGCCTACCCTCAAAAATGATAAATTGAGAATATACTGGAAAAGTACAGTGATTTAAGGGGGGGGGGGGGGGTATGCTTTGCCGCCCTCTAGAAAAATCCTGGTGACGCCCATGGTCTCGGTGTCAATATCAGCCAAGTCCCAAACAGGTACCTTTCATTTTGAAGAATAACTGAACACTCAATTATACGTCAATGCACAACCCTAGCCACTTTTTCATTTTTTGGGCACTCATTTTTTTTGACAGAGTTATGGGATGCACAACTTTCCAAAAAGAAGATAGATTAGATACACGTATTAGAATCAAGCATATGGTGAATTCAATACCTTAAGATCAAGCAAGTAAGAAAGGATTTCCGATCCATAAATTTTATTTGGCTCACAAATGAACATACATGTATGCCTTCCTGAACATGAATCACAAGTAGTAATAAATGCTGCATATTGTACATGATGTAATGCCAGCTATATATAACTTGCATTGGTAAAAAAGGGAATGTCTGTAGTAACTTTTAAGTATGTGAGGTCTCGATATTTTTTTGCTTTTTGGTCAGATTTTTACTATTATCATAGTTTGTTCACTTTCTAAAAATGATTTTGATTTTTTTACATTGTGAATGTCATCCAAGGGTGGCAATAAACCGAGGATTGTATGTTCACACAAGTTCACCAGTTTGTGCCGGATTATTTTGACAAGAACAGAACGAAGTGCGGGATAACTTTTCACTCAAGCTCAAGCCAGAAGGGTTGAAGCCGTAGTTGCGAGCAGGTAGCTGACAGATATTTCCGGCCTCGCTCCCAGCGTGTTTATCCGTCATCTGTTCCAAATACCGCAAAACCTTTGGGGGTACACACTTCATCCGGCGCAAACTGGTTAAGAGCCACACCAGGTCTAGAATTGAATATCTGGCCACAAATCTGTGATGTGGCCACATATTCAATTCTTTTACTACGGACCAACAGCTGTGATGGTCAAAGACAAATGCCCAATTCTTCAAGTGTGAAGCCCCCAATAACTTTGGATCATTTGAAATATGCAGTGGATGGATCGAGAACCAGTCTAGCTCTCCCCCAACTCTCCTTTTCTGGCTGTTGAAGGGGTACTTGTGCACTTAAACCATTGCTACATGTATGACGTCACACTATTGTTAAAAGTGTGGATTCGGAACTACGAATCTGTTACAATGGTCACAAAGTGTGGATTCGGAACGAAGAATCTTTAGTAAAGTGTGGATTCGGAATTACGAATCCACACTTTGAACACGTCAGACAATTGTTCTCTGTAATGAGCATTAATAGGACTGTCTGCGTGAAAATTCCCTTCCGCAATTACCAATGCATCTTCCCTTTTAGATTCTCAGCCGTCACTGCAAAACCTACTTCGAGTAAGAAAGAAATCATCGTCTGAACTATAAATTTGTCGACGGAAGGAGCCGGGACAAATGTTGCAACCTGACGCCACTTTTTTTTCTCCATATATCATCTCAATGAAGGGCATTCATTGCAAAAATGATGATAGACATGAATCTGGGACTGAGAAATATTTCCAATTTTGTTAGGAAATACTTTAAACAAATTCTTGTACACAATCGCGGAAGTGGCGTCAGGTTGCAACATTTATCCCAAGTCTTTTCATTTCCACTCACTGTTAATGCCAATACTTCTTTTGACGCAATGGTTTAAGTCGAAGAATACACTCGCAAGTGTGGATTCTTAATTTACGAATTCACTCGGCGCTTCGCGCCTCGTGAATTCTTAAATTACGAATCCACACTTTCTCGTGTATTCTCCTTAACATAGCCCATAATCGACCAGCGTGGATTCCAGCAAAGATTGTCAACAGTGTGGTGAGCTACAGTTCCCACTTACATTTGCTCGTGTACATGTCCGGAAGGTTAATCACCTTCGCTGCTGAAAACATCTGCCAAACGGTGGTAATACACAGGCTGTTTCACACACGGGTACATGTAAGTAGTAAATAACGGGAAATGTGGAACATAACCACGAATCTCTCATCAGTGAAGGCGGTTTTGACTGCTTCCTTTCCGAAGCGTTGATTTGTCATCCCTGGCCCACTTTTTTGCTGTGCACCGTTGTTTCAACCAGTTCACGTCAGTGGTGTGAATCCCTTGCATCACTACGCCCACTGAAAAGAAGGATGTGCCCTTTCACTTGAAGACTCCACTGGTTTTTGCACGGTTCACTTGCAAATTGTTTATATGCACATAGTACACCTGGGCCCAATTTCACGGCGCTGCTAAGCACACGATTTTCTGCTAACAGAGCCTCCATCTATTTCATTGAGACCGTTAGCATAAGCACAGCAAAAGACACGCTAACTTCAGGGGAAAAATGTGCTTAACTCAGTGACGTAACAATAGAAATCTCTATGCACGCGCGACCGTTAGCACGTCCACGCCGTGAAATTGTGCTTAAGGTTAGCAAATTTTTCTGCTATGCTAAACACAACTTTTCTGCTAACTGTTAAGCAGCGCCGTGAAATCGGGCCCTGGTGCTATTCACAGGTGTGAACAAGTAAGACACACAATGCGTCCTTCCTTGGTTCTTCCTTGGTTCTTTATCAGTAGGCCAAGCAGCCACATCTACATTCCCAGCATGGAGTCCACACAGTACAGTCTATCGATTCGATGGCACGATTACGACACTCCATAAAACTCTCCCCCTAAACCCTGTAGTAAAGAATTGGCCGGGATATACTTGTTCCTTCCCTGGCTTATGTACTTCATTCCTCGTTCTGCTGTGTGTTCTCTTTGAGGTTTTGGAGGACTGTGTCCAAGTCCGGTATCCTGGTGGGTTTGATGCCTGTGTGGAGCTCTTGTAACGTTACTTCCATCTGCGAAGTGAAAGAATGGCAGTCAGATGTCAAAGCTTGCAGTTACGGAATTTTGAACACAAAAATTAGTATATTACACAGCCTTGTATTCAAGGCTGAAGTCATAGCCTCTTTTTAGAATTTAGCTCCTGGTATAACTCAGCAATCTCAAAAGCTCTTCAACTTAAAAAACCCACTTATTTACATTTGTTTTGTTTTTATGAGATGTATATTTACAGGGCGAGTCAAAAAAAGAGGAACCCAAACCCCCCCCCAAAAAAAATATATATATTCCATATTAAAAAAAAAAAATGTAACCACAAAAAATAATAACTGGAAAGCCAATTTCATAAGCTACTTTTAGATGAAGAAATAATGAAATTGCTCAATTCGTTCAAAGAATATCACCATTTTTAACGCAATAACCCGAAAACCTGTTTTGTCAAAAAAACTCCACAATTTATTGTGTTTTCTCACTGTTTGGAACAGCAAAGAAAATGACAAAGAATACTGCCAACAACTGTAGTACACAATATCTTTATTAACAACCCTGGTTAGGTAAACAATGTGATTAATAAAATCCCCTTTTTTTTAAAGATGGGTCTTCAAAAGGATTTTATTGATATTTTAACTTCTTAACTGAGGTTGTATCGCCGGTGAGGTCTGAAGACAATTGTGACGACGATTTTTTAACTCGCATTTTTGAACAAAAGAGGTTTTAGGGTCATTGTGTTTAAAATGGTGATATTCTTTGAGCGGATTGAGCAATTTCAGTATTTTTTTCATCTAAACGTGGCTTATGAAATTGGCTTTCCAGCCATTAATTTTTTTTTTTGGGCTACATATTTTTTAAAAATAAAAATAAAACTTTTTGGGTTGGACTTCCGCTTTTTTTATTCACCCTTATGTTACAGTTTTTCTTGAGGTGTGGCTAGTTTTGGATGAGTTTTACATGTACCGGTACCACACGTTTTTCACAAGGTTCAACTATAGTTATTTGGTGAGGTTTACCGTACCTTTTTATGAGGTACCGTTACAGCTAGTTCTGGGTGAGGTTTAACACACATTTTCATGAGGCACAGCTAGTTTTGGTGAAGTTAACCACAAATTTTTCTTGATATATGGCTAGTTTTTGGGTGAGGTTTACACGTACCACATGTTTTTCACAAGGTTCAACTATTGCTTTTGGTGAGGTTTACCGTACCTTTTTCATGAGGCACAGTTAGTTTTGGTAAGGTTTGCCACACATTTCTTCTTGAGGTATGGCTAGTTTATGGGTGAGGTTTACATGTACCAAAAGTATTTCACAAGGTTCAACTATAGTTTTTTGGTGAGGTTAACTGTACCTTTTTCATGAGGCACAGCTTGTTCTGGGTGAGGTTTAGCACACATATTTCTTGAGGTATTGCTAGTTTCTGGGTGAGGTTTACACGTACCACATGTTTTTCACAAGGTTCAACTATTGCTTTTGGTAAGGTTAACCGTACCTTTTTCATGAGGCACAGCTTGTTCTGGTTGAGGTTTAGCACACATTTTTCTTGAGGTATTGCTAGTTTCTGGGTGAGGTTTACACGTACCAAAAGTATTTCACAATAGTTTTGTGAGGTTTACCGTACCTTTTTCATGAGGTCAATGCAGAGTCCTAGCACCTCCCGCCACCGATCCATCTCCAGCTCATGGTAGTATAACTGCTTCTGTAGTAACGCTGACCACTCGTCTTTGGTTTGGGGAATGTCTCTGCCACAACAGACAAAATCGAAAACACGCAAAACATAACATTTCACATCAAATGTATGAAAGTCAACTTTGCAACCAGGAGAAAATACTTTGTACAAAATTTGACAGCCACCGAAACAGATGTCCTGTTCCAGCACAGTGCTGTGGACATCCCTTTCTTGACCAATTAATTCATGCTGATAAACATCACAGGGTGGTTAACGACATGGAAATCATACCTAAAGTGAACAAGAAATACATTTCCCAAGATTTATCATTTAAAAAAAAAAAAAAAAAAAACACGGATTCAGTTTTCTCACAATGTACATGTACATTGTGTACACATTAATAACTTTGTGGGAATTCTTTGTAGGCATGTTAACCTGGAATTTTGCGAGTTCCCAACATCGAGTGGCAAGCAAGGTAAATACCTACAGGTAATATGTACATGTGTACAACATTTGCTTTTGCTGTAATTTTCAAAAATTGATGGATTTGGGGTTAGTATTTTATAGCAATATTGCTACCCTGACCAGTTTAAAGTTTTGTGTTCAAAGATGCTGGAAAAACCAAGAAAGAAATGCTGTTCTTATAGTCTGGTTCCCTGACCCTACTTCATACGAAACACAGTAATTTATAGATGTCAGGGAATAGTCAGGTCAGGGAAACAGAGTAGCTGGCTTGCACCCATTTCACGGATGTGAAACGATTGCAAACAAAATGTGGGCTAACTACATTTTGTAAACTGGGGGCAGTATTTGAAAAAAAGTTACTTTTGCCCAATGATGGTCGGCCTACCATGGTCGGAAATTGATACAAAAAATTCCACTTTTCTTGAAAATGACAGCACACCAGGGGCCATGATTTCACAGGATGCTTAAGACTATTATTCGCTTATAGTAAAGAAGGGTATTTCAAAATAATTTTGTACTTTTGTTATTTGATGTTTGCAAATGTTGTATATTGCCTTGAAGTTACCACAGTGCAACTATTTTAGTGCAGTTGCCAGTTCTTAACTTCGACATCCTGCTTTCGGAAATCGGGGAAGTTCGGAATGTCGTGCAAACTTAGGCGAAAAAATACCAACTGAAAATTACACGATGCATCAACTGTAGTTTCTACTAAAGACTTTTCAAAATTCTACTTTTAAAATTTCACAAAATAACATTTGTTATGTCAATAAGTGAATTGGGCTTTGGACACTCACTTGAGCAAACTTAGGCGAAAAAATACCCATTGAAAATTACATGATGCCTCAACTGTACTTTCTACTAAAGACTTTCCAAAATTCTACTTTTTGAGTTGCACAAAATAAACATTTGTTACGTCAATAAGTGGATTGGGCTTTCGAAACTCACTCGTGCAAACTTAGGCGAAAAAAATACCCATTGAAAATTACATGATACATCAACTGTAGTTTCTACTAAAGACTTTCCAAATTTCCCCTTTTGAGTTTCACAAAATAAACATTTGTTACGTTAATAAGTGAATTGGGCTTTGGACACTCACTTGAGCAAACGTAGGTGAAAAAATACCCATTGAAAATTACATGATGCATCAACTGTAGTTTCTACTAAAGACTTTCCAAAAGTTCTACTTTTTGAGTTTCACAAAATAAACATTTGTTACGTTTATCATGTTTATAAGTGAATTGGGCTTTGGACACTCACTTGAGCAAACTTAGGCGAAAAAAATACCCATTGAAAATTACATGATGCCTCAACTGTAGTTTCTACTAAAGACTTTCCAAAATTCTACTTTTTGAATTTCACGAAATAAACATTTGTTACGTTAATACCGGTAAGTGAATTGGGTTTTGGACACTCACTTGAGCAAACTTACCGGTCGGCGAAAAAATACCCATTGAAAATTACAGGATGCATCAACTGTAGTTTCTACTAAAGACTTTCCAAAATTTTACATTTTGAGTTTCACAAAATAAACATTTGTTAGGCCAAAAAAAAAAAATTCGGTCTCTGGTCAGACCAAAGTTCCGCAGCAATGCAGCGATGCGGCTTTTTTTTTGTTCCCAAGCTTGGATTGTACAGACAAGGTGGGGTACTATTTTGCTTTTTTTGGTGTCCTCATGTACACTGGTGTCCTCCATAATTTGCCTCGGTGCCCTCGATCATTTGTCTTGGTGCAATTTCCCATTCCTTGTAAAAAAATTGAGGAGGTGCGGCAATAGAGGGCGCTGTTGGAGCTACCGCGGAACATTTTGGAAAAAAAAGGTTGACGCGCATGATTAAAATCGACGCGCGCGCTGACCAGAGACCAAATTTTTTTTTTAGGCCTTATGACAATAAGTGAATTGGGCTTTGACACTCACTTGAGTTTGTCGGGAAAGCCTCCCGTCTTCCAGTCACCTTCCGTCCTGACTGCAAGCTGCTCGAGTGTTTGAAGTTGTAGGAATAACGACACATTGACTATTGACAAGAGAGTTAAGCTGCAGATGAAACAAAGCAGACGGATCGTCAGTTTGGCCTAGAAAATGGCAAATGTAGCCGACATGTGTTGTAAAATTCAGTTTCTTAACCACTTCGCGCCGGGAAATATCTGTCAGCGACCCGCTCACAGCAAGTGAGGCCTGAAATACACTCAACCAAAAAGAAAGTCCCCCCCCCCTTCCAATACTTTTTAGTCTAACTCAACACTACTGAGTCAGTAATAATAAAATAACAACTAATCTGTACAGAAATTCCTCAGCAATCCGGCCGTACTCTTTGTTTGGCCCAAAACAGTGATAAAGTGTACAAATTTATGTAATTTATGACAACTTATACCGAAAACAGTTGCAATTTTGTATACGTGCAAGTTGTGGTTCACACTGAACTTTTATTTTGTCATAAATTGCATAATTTTGTACACATTTTCACTGTTTTGGGCCAAACAAAGAGTAGGGCTGGATCGCTACGGAATTTCTGTACTGATCAGTCGCAATTTAAGCATGTGCCCATAGTAGTTTTTGAGTCAGACAAAAAAGAATTAAGGGGGACTTTCTTTACTGATTCAGTGTATAACTTAAATGTGCTGCCCGAGGGTGATGGCTTCAACCCGCCTGGCTTGAGGTCGAGTGAAAAATAATCTCACGCCTCATTCCGTTTATTAGTCAAAATTGGTTAACATCTTGATTTCGTGTATTGGTACTTACAATATACAAATTAGCAGCATGATGTTTCTGGAATCGGTCCTGAGCCATGGAGGTAGATATCTTGCTATTGACGCTAAGAGACACAAAGGGGATACCAGATTTTAAATTGGAGGAATGGAAATGTACATTGCTTGCATGAAAAAAAAGGCCTCTGATGACTAGAGAGCTGTACATGTAATTACCGGTAAGTCAATTTCATGTCAAAGCACAAGCCATTCACAAGGCAATCACAAGTCAAATCACCAGTTAGTCACAAGCCAATGACAAGTCAATTTACAAGTCGATCAAAATCCAATCACAAGCCAATCTCGTGTCAGTTCGCAACTCAATAACAAGCAAATCACAAGTCAATCACGAGTCAATCAAAAGCCAATCACAAGCCAATCTCATGTCCATTCGTAACTCAATCACAAGCCAATCACAAGTCAATCAAAAGCCAATAACAAGTAAAGTACCAAGCCAATCACAAGTCAATTGCCAGTCAAATCACTAGTCATTCACAAGCCAATCATGTTAACTGATGCACATGTGTAAACATGTGTGTGACTGGTGCTCAGCGGTTTGTGATGTATTAGTGACGACTTGATTACAAGTTCAAGTGTGGAAATACGTACCTACAGGGCGAGTCAAAAAGAGCAGAATCCAAACCCCAAAAAATGTATTTCATATTTTAAAAAAATATGTAGCACCAAAAATAATAATGACTGGAAAGCCAACTTCAAAAGCTACTTTTAGATGAAAAAAATTACTGAAATTGCTCAATCAGTTCAAAGAATATCACCATTTAAAAGCTATGACCCTAAAACCTGTCTCGTCCAAAAAATCAATTTATTGTGTGTTTTGACTGTTTGGAACAACAAAGAAAATGACACAGAATACTTGTTTCAACAACTGTCACCAACTGAAGCACACAATATTTTGATTAAAAACCCTGGTTAGGCAAACAATATGATTTATAAAATCTACTACTTTAAAGACGGGCCTTCAAAAGGACTTTGTTGCATATTGTTAACGTTTACACTAAGATTTCATCGCTGGCAATGTTTGAAGAGAATTGTGACGACGATTGTTGAAATCGCATTTTTTGGACGAGACGGATTTAGGGTCATTGTGTTTAAATGGTGATATTTTTTGAACAGATTGACCAATTTCAGTAATTTTTTCAATCAAAAGAAGCTTATGAAATTGGCTTTCCAGTCATTATTATTTTTGGTGCTACATATTTTTTTAAATATGAAACATAATTTTGGGGGTTTGGGTTCCGCTTTTTTTGACTCACCCTGTAGTACTGTGGACTAACCAATACATTTATTTTGACTTTAGCCAGCTATTTTAAAGCGGGTAACAAATAGGCAAATTTTCAGAATTTGTATACAATGACGCAGGCCCGTCACCAGCCCTTTCGAATCAGAGGGGGCCATAGTATACAAATTTTGAATGCTTCGAGTGGTGTAGTAAAACTAGCCTCCCGAGGTGATCCATGGACATTCTATTTTCCTGAGGCGAAGCCGAGGGAAAATAGAATGGTCCATGGATCACCGAGGGAGGCTAGTTTTACTTCACCAAGAGATAAAGCATTCAATATTTGTTTTATAACACTTTACCCACAGATTCTGCTTGATTTTAATATTTTAAATTATCTAAATCTAAACACAGTTGAAATAAACTTCAATTTCAATACAAAATTCGTGGAAAATGTATTTCTCTCTTCCAAACTACCCCTTCACGAAATGTTTGAACCCATGTCTGCGGCGCGCTCTCTTTGGAACAATACGCGCTACGCGCATCACGCAACACGCACACCAGCATCCATTTGCACACAAATACCGCGCCGTGGAAATAGTACTTTGGTTGCTAATGGTATAGTACTTTGGTTGCTACGGGTATAGTACTTTTGGCCGTGCACAGAAAGATAGCAAAATTAGAAAGTAACATGTGACTCGCTCTCGGCCAATCAAGACACAGAATCTGTGGGTGAGGTGTTATAATATCAACAATACAATATATGGGTTTTGCTGGGTGGACAAAGGGCTCGCCAAAGGGGCCCATCCCTACCCCCCCCCCCCCCCCCCCCCCCCCCTTGGCAACGGGCCTACAATGACGTCTCGTCAATGACATTTCTCTACGGACCAAAACATAAAATGAAGAACTTACATGGTTTGGCGGCGACTGCTGGCACTGATTCCATCCTTCTGAGTGGTCGCGACTCCTCCTTCTCTTCCTTGCTGACCCCGCCCACAAGTTTCCTCTTCCGTGTCTTCTTGGTGACCTGTTTAACTGGTGCCCGGCTTTCCAAATGCTGTCTGACGTATGTATCTGAAAGACAAGGCAGTTGAACGTTTTGGGAAGGAGCTTTCTTGACGGAAGGTAGCAGTGCCAGGAAAGTGTGACATTGGGAGTTGTTGGAAAATGTGGTTTGCGATAATTCCCGATTGCCATTTTCTAGATTTGCAAGATTGCTGCACTAAAATGTGAGCATTGTAGCATGGAGTGCGATTCCTTTAAACATGGCACATACAAGGTTTTAACTTCTGACTAGCCCTCAAGCATGTCAAGGAAATCAACAAACTGGGAGACTGCCAACATAGAACTGAAGTGCTGTGGCCTCATGGTTAACAGCATCAGATTTGTGGTCTGCGGGTATTTCTGCAGGTTGTGGGTTGGAGTCCTGCCTGGGGTCATGGTGCATGTGCCCTTGAGCAAGGCTTTTTGTCACTCATTGCTTCTCTACACCCAGGAGTAAATGGGCACATGTGAGGGCAAAGATGGTTATTGTGATTGAATTAGCTTCCTTGCGCCTAACAGGCTGCATCGAGCTGTATACTCCCCAGGGAGCCGAGATGGTATTTGGAATGTTTCACGGGCCCAATGAGCAGGGGTAATAACGATATAGCGCCTTGAGCACCAGTCCTGGTGGATATGAGCGCTTTATAAATACCCACTATTATTATTATCATTAACTCAGCTGCTGGAGTGCAACTTCAGTCAGTGGGGAATGTGGCCAAGTGGTGAGGATTCGTGACTCATGATCAGAGGGTCAGGGGTTCAAATCCAGGTGCTGGCCATCTGAGACATGGTTTGTCAAAATCAGGCACATTTGGCAAGAAAGTCAATTTTCAGTTATTGCAATTTTTAGTTAAATATAGACCATGCTCTTTCAAATGCCACTTTGTTTTTTTGAAATTGGATATTCCAAAACAAAGTTATTAAATTTTGAAATCGGACTGTCTGAATTGTCAAAAATGAGAAATAGACCTTGAAATTTCAAGTTTAATAGTGAAAAAAAATAATTTTAAAATCTAAACTTTTACAGAACATTTCAAACATTAGTAGCATCACAAATTTCAAAAAAAAAATCTCTAAATCACTCAAAATCACACCCATGTCATTTTGCAGCTGTTTCTCTGTTCGTAGTTCTGCCCAATTCCGCCTTGTTTTTCACATTATGTTGTGTCCATGGGCAAGCCACTTCAGCCCCACTTGCCTCTCTCCACCCAGAAGTATTAATGGGTACGGGTATTAGGTAACCGGGAACCAACATTAGGTAAAATGGGTAACCTGCAATGGACTGGCATCCCATCAGGGGCAATCAAAATATCATCAAACCGTTTCATGTGACTGAGGATGATGGGGCGATATTGACTCATGACCGACTTTACCGATTCCGCCTTCAGTCAAAATATACAATATTCAAGCTAATACTGAATTCTTACCGAGTTCGACGTGCTTCACTTTGATGCCGCTGAATGAATTCTTTTCGATGAAGCTTTTGATGGGTCCCCAGGGCGACTTCTTGTAGACGAGATGAGCAGTGACCCTGATGTGATAAATATAATAATAATGAATACTAATACTGGAGGCTTATATAGCGCACGTATCTACCAACAATTGGGTACTCAAGGCGCTGGTAATTATGTCTATCTTTAAAGACAGGTAGATGAAGTTTATGAGAAATGTGAGACCCTTTATGTAGCACCTTTTTAAAGGTGCTGCTGGGCAATTTTTAGCCACTGCCAGAAACACCAGGGCAAACTTCTTCTCCTCTGCGAAAAGTGTTACTGGGTTCTTTAACGTGCATTACACAACACATGGGATCTACGACTTTACGTCCCATCCGAAGGACGAAGCAATAATGGTAAAGTGCCTTGCTCAAGAGCACAAGCACCATGTTCCCACGGTCAGGATTCAAACCCATGCACCACGGCACACGAGTCGAACACCGTAACCATTGGACCACAACACCCCATATAGAGATTCAGGTTGTTAAAAATATGGCTCTTGAATCCACAGAAGTTGTGTTTTTGGTTGGATGTCCAGCAAAATTATTTCACATTTTTAAAATGTTCATGTAGCTGTAAACTGAATACTGATAGTTTAGAGCTAAACTGCATTATATTTGAATCTCCTGTTCAAGTCCATTATTTTTCATGGGGATTCCGGGTCACTTATATGAGGTTTTATCACCATTATCACAACCAACACTACCCCCAAAGTCACCATCCTCCTCCTCAATTATCCTCCTCATCTACACAGTCTTCCACCCCCACTGTCCCCCCCCCCCCCTGTCTCCACTGCCATTTCTTACCTCACGTGACAACTGGTACTCGACACTCTGGTAATCACCATTCTCGCCTCCGTGTAAAAATAATCGGCATACGGAACCCCAGTCTGACAGACCTCAATGTTGACGACATAGCTGTGGCCGGGCCGACTCCAATTCTTAAAGAATATCTGCAGATAAAAAGAGACAAAAAGTTCCAGTCTCATTTAAAGGGGCCATGCAATGTAATTTTGTTAATACGATCCCATTTAATCTTATTTTCAATTTTCATTGTGCCATTTTGAAGGTTTCATGTCTTCATGAAAATGCAAATTCCATATTCACGAGCAAAGTGTGATGTCATTTCGGGCAGAAACCTCAATGTTACAGCTATTTCAGCACTAAAGGTTGCAAGAATTTTGGACATATTGCTGTTGTATATTTTCTTTTCTTTGGTGATTCGTTGTTGTGTCAGTACATGTACATGTATATATGGCAGTTTTAAAGCCAGTGACCAAATTTTGCTCGCAAATGTTTTCAGTGAACAAATGTTTGGGTTCACCATTTGAACAGAAAAAAACCCTGAACTGAACATCGCTTCCTGAAATGACTTGTGATGGACTTGTGATGGACTTGTGATGGACTTGTGATGGACTTGTGATGGACTTGCAGGGACTTGTGATGGACATGTGATGGACTTGTGATGGACTTGTGATTGACTTGTGATGGACTTGTGATAGACTTGTGATGGACTTGCAGGGACTTGTGATGGACTTGTGATGGACTTGTGATGGACTTGTGATGGACTTGTGATGGACTTGTGATGGACTTGTGATGGACTTGTGATGTACTTGTGATGTACTTGTGATGTACTTGTGATGGACTTGTGATGGACTTGTGATGGACCTGTGATGGACCTGTGATGTACTTGTGATGGACTTGTGATGGACTTGTGATGGACTTGTGATGGACTTGTGATGGACTTGTGATGTACTTGTGATGTAATTGTGATGGACTTGTGATGGACTTGTGATGGACCTGTGATGGACTTGTGGACTTGAGATGGACATGTGATGAACTTGTGATGGACTTGTGATTGACTTGTGATAGACTTGTGATGGACTTGTGATGGACTTGTGACGGACTTGTGATGGACTTGTGATGGACTTGTGATGGACATGCGATGGACTGTGATGTACTTGTGATGTACTTGTGATGTACTTGTGATGTACTTGTGATGGACTTGTGATGTACTTGTGATGGGCTTGTGATTGACTCAACTGCATCCCCATCACCATCATGTACACTTACCTGACGCTCTTCCACTCCACAAGATTTCGGTCCCACAGGGTTGTTCAGGTGAAATGTGTAGGAGACATGCCTTATATCCTGCTCCTCATTCTGTTCCCATTCGCCAATGTTGAGATCTGTTGTCATGATGTCAAAAGAAAACTGGGTCAATACATGTAAATGGGAAAATGTGTACTGCACACAGTTACAGACGCTGTGTGTGAACAATAGATGATGCTTTGTCATCACTTGCGCGGGCTCCAGAGTACATGTACAGGGTTCCTTATGGGGCAGATAACACAACAGAGCAAAAGACCCCGCAAGGAAGTCTTGGGAAATCAATCTACCCCATAAGGGAAACTCTACCCCATAAGGGAAAAAGAAGTCTTAAGGGTTCCTTATGGGGTAGATTTACTTGAACTATTATTAACTATAGCTCGCGCCCACACTTGCTCATGTAGCAGCCACAGAATTATGGCTATGCAAAGATAGAACCCATCACTTTAAAACAAAAAATGAAACATAAATGGGTTCACCTGTGTGTTTTCTATGGAGAAGGAAGTTTCTGTAGAGCGGATGCTCCTTGTTGTACATCGCCGCAAAGAATGTGTCCACCGTCACGTTGAAGTAAGAGTTCATGTATTCCTTGGCGTTAGCGTGTAAGGGCTTTGGATCCAGGGATTCCACTTCACCTGTATGGAAGGCAAATGGAGAAAAAATCTTTAAAAATCATTTTAAGACAAAAGTTTGCATGATTGCATTGCCTGTCGAAACTGTTCCATTCCCAATCAACACCTGCATGTTTGTGGCACCTGACTTTCAGTGCATGAAAATAAAACGAACACATTGACAGAGTCGGATTGCTCAGTTGGTAGAGCACCGGTCTTGTGTTCTGGAGGTCGAGGGTTCAAATCTATTTAACTCAACGGAATTTTGTTCAAAAAAATTCTTAAAGGGAGTGTACAACATTTGCTTTTGGCAGCAATTTTCAGAAATAAATGGATTTGGATGATAAGTGTGTTATAAAATAGCAAATATTGTTTAAATGACTTGTTTCACGATTTGGGCTTGTAGACGCTGGAAAAACCAAGAAAACCAATCATTTTCTTGTAGTCTGGTTCCCTGACCCCACTTAAGATGAAACGGAGCAATTTATAGACTTTGGGGAATTGTAAGGTCAGAGAATCAGTCTAGCAGGCTTGTACCCTTTCACAGGTGTGTAATCAATTTGCAAAGAAAGTGTGCAATAACTATTTATGAAAAATTAGGAGCAGTTTTGAAAAAAAAACAGAGTGTGCAGCACTGTGGTCCAGTGGTTACAGTGTTTGACCCACGTGCCATGGTACACGGGCTCGAAACCTGCCAGGAACATGGTGCTTGTGTCCTTGGGCAAGACACTGAACTACAATAGCCTCTCTCCACCCAGGAGAATAAACAGGTAATTGTGAGGGTAGAGACCGATTGCACTGATCTCGGCTGCAGAAAAGTGGTCTCAAGGACTGATGAACAGGGGTAATAACTGTGAAGCGCTTTGACACCTACCTTTGGTACCTACCTAGAACAAGCGCTATATAAGCACCACACACTATTATTATTATTATTATACAGGGACCTTTGGCCTTCTGGTTGGTGACGCTTATTTGTGACCAGCTCTGCAAAAATGAGTCTGATGTCGCATAATTTGAATTCAAGCTATTGCCATTTTGAATGGAAACAGTGAAAATTTGTAAAAATTTCAGATTTTTTGTTTTTGTTTTATTTTTGTTGTTTGATATTTTTAGTTCAAATGTCTTACAAAGAAATACTGTACGAAAAAGACTAACAAAATTAGGATTTGGGTAACTTTTTTGGCTAGGTTCAGTATATTTGTCATTGTTCACACCCTTTTTCTCCACAGAATGAAACAAGCACAACAATGCAACCAAATTTCATTCCCATTTCATTAATGTAGTTAACTCCAAATGTGAGTTTTTCCACACAACAGACTCATTTCTACAGAGCGGGGTACATTTGAAAAAAAAAAGCCTTTGATTTCCCTCTCACCTTCTTCGTCCAAAGCTTTGGAAGCCAGGGCGTCTGACCCGCTCGCCGTGGCCTCTTGACCCATGGCATCTTGACTCCCCACTTCTGACCTGGTAAGTCCTTCTTGCACTGAAAGCTCTTCTTCGCTGTCATCCTGTGGCGGTAAAAAAAACATGGGAAAACTCTTCTTTTTTTTTCAGAAAACTGTGTCTGTTATAGTACCAGCAAGATACTTTTAACCCTAACCTCTAGACAATTTGTGTGGGTGAAGTACACAGTGATACAAGGGGGTTACTCAAAATCAGTTGCACCTCAATGCTAAGATTGCATGGAACTAAACGGCAAGTAGGGTTCCACCTTGAAGATGTAAACCAGTGCTTTTCAGGAAAACATATTTTGCTTCTCTTTAATATTTTCAAGAAGTAGGATTTGATTTTGGGCATCTGCAACCATTAAAACGTATTTTGTTTTGTGCACAAATAAACTACCCTGCAAGAGGCAAATAATTGTCGGGCGCCAATAACTATTTTTTTGGTTTTTTTTAATATTATTCACACATCTGCAACCCTCTGAATAAAAGGTTTTTGTTTTGGACCCGAACAGACCCATTTAGCAAGCAGACTGGCTCTGTGTCCATACATTAACAATACTGATTGTGGGGCGGGAACTAGCCCACCCCTTGTTAAGTAAAACTTCAATATTAAACATGATCTGATTTTTTTTCGTTCGATGTCTCGTTCGAAAGTTAATTATGTTTTATATTGCTAGGAAAATAATAACTGAAATATCAAATCTATTTTTGTGAACGAAACTCGAAATAGCTCGGGGAATTATCTTTAAATAATGCTTTCTATTTCTTGTTTGCTACGTTAGTCAAATGTTTCCATAGCCCGGGTCGTGATGGGTCTGAACAAAGTCAGAGTCATGCCAGGATTTGGATAATGGCCCATACCTCCTCAACTACGTCATCATCATCTTCATCATCATCTTCTTCTTCCATCCCTTCCGTGCCTTGGCTCTTGGACTCGTCATCTCCGTTCTCCGTTTCGTCCGGAGAAAGGTATGGAAGGACGTAGTCCTCGGGAAGCTCGTCGGGGCTCAGCCCCAGATTGGTGCCGTAGTTGCTGTGGACACGGGTCCAGTATTCCGCGGCCGGCATTTTCTGGAGTTTGGGAATGGAATATTGGACTGCATATTAATGAGGGCCACGGGAATGATACACGAGGCAATTTGCGGGCGACTTGTTTTGGGAAATCTTCAAGAAGAAAAACGATAAGTACATTTAAATTCTGTTTAATGTTCAAAGGAAATTCCATAACCTGTTAGAAAGAAAATGTACTCTGTTGTCCAGAATAGTTTTCTTTTTAAAGATAGAGTATATCATTTGCAGCTAGCCAAAGTGTAACTATCAAAATTATTGTTGTAAAGCATACTTCGTTTAAAGATAGTAATGGCACTAAACGCCCTGTGAAAATATTATTTCTGTTATACTGTAATTTTGAAGAAAACAATAAAGGAAGGTCATTTCCAAAGATGCATCTAAAGACGCATTTTTGGAAATTTCTGTAAGTATGGGTGCACGCAAGCATTGACACGACGCACACGCCCGCGGTTGCTATAATTCGTCAGTTCAGTGCGTGGCATCGCGTAGCTGCAATCGGTTGAACGAGAACGTGTCCTGGACGTTGATTGTGTGCGCAATTCAAAACATGACTCGGCAACTTTTGAATTGAAATCGAGATTCTAGAATATTGTTTTCTCAGAATGTATAGCATTCACTGAGCTAAAACTTCATCAGGTTAGATGTTAAGCAACCGTCTTTAGATTGAGTTCTTTTGTTGCTTCACACGAAAACAATGCACAAATGACAAATGATATACTCTACCTTTAAAGGGAAAATACAACATTTGCAAACATCGAAAAATAAAACGAAATTCCTTACTAGGATGTTGGTAAATGACAGTCTAAAGCATCCTGTAAAATTATGGCACCAGGTGTGAAGTCATTTTCAAGAAAATTGTATTTTTGTATACATTTCCAACGGTGGTCGGCCGACCACCGTTAGAAAACCTATTTTTCAACTATTTTTTTTTCAACTATTTATTTTTAAAACTATTTTTCAACTACTGCTCCAAATTTACCTTTTATCTTCAGTCCAAATTTTGTTTGCTATTTGTTACATGTTCATTAACGGGTGCAGAGCAGCTAGACTGGTTCCCTTACCTTACAATATTCTGGCATCTATAAATTGATCCATTTTATCTTTAGTGGAGTCAGGGAACCAGACTATTTGAACATTTTTGTTTTTCTTGGTTTTTCCATCATTTTCGAACACAAAACTTCAAACATGTCAGTGTAACAATATTTGATCTATCATACTTACCCCTCAAATAGTTCATTTCTGAAAATTCCAGCAAAAGCCAATGATGTACATTCCCTTTAATGCTAGCCATACCAGTGCACAATTTTTACACTAAAATTATCAAGGGAGCTACATACCTGATCCAGTAACGCATTCTGCCAGACCTTGAAAAGCAGCAGGAAGGTTCGGTCCCTGGACATGAAGGAGGTGAGGAAATACTGTGGGAAAAGAAACACAAAGCATGTGATAATTTTGGTATTTCCCTTGTATGCATACCCTGATACATGTTCACAGCACACCTAGGCACGTGAGGTCTATCGGTGTAGGTTGTGGGTTTCGAGCCCCGCCGTGGCCATGTATGTGCCCTTGAGTAAGGCGCTTTACCTCAATTACTCCTCTCAACCCAGGTGTTAATGGGTACCGGCATTATTCAATGCTGGGAAGGTAACAGACTCGCTGTGGAGGAGGTGTGGCGATCCCCCCACAGCTGCATGGATCTGGCCAATCGCTAATGAAAAAGACATGGGCACTCAGTTCCTGTTAACACAGGTTCGTCCCCTTTACTTACCTTTACTTTAGGTACCCGGTGTTTACAGGATTTTGTTACCGTTAGAAAGAATCCTGGTATCATCTCAGGTCAGGGAACAACATACCATTTTGGATTACACTAGCGGTAAAATGTTGCCTACAACTGGTGATGGGGCCGCTTCAATGGCAGCCCATAAGCAACGGAACGCTCTGCCATTTCACATACGCAGTGAACACAGACTTGCCGCTTTTAATTGTACTAGTAAGATCAAACATTTCTTTTTAGTGTAGTATTTGTAAATTAATGTGTGATTATATTTTTGTCTGATTTTTATTGTTTTCTCTCAGATAGGCATGAGTACACTCTTTGCGGATTCATTGTTATGTGATGAAAATATACACCTGCATTGCATAAGGTCTATTCAATATTATCATTATCAATGTACAGTGTGATTAAAAAAAAGCGAAACCCAAATGTCGGGACTATTGTTTTACTGAAGTTCTGCGTGTAGCACTTTTAATATCTAGGATATAAAAGCCCAATTCATAAGCTTTAGTTTAGTACAAGAATCATTCAAATCACTCATGTACTTTTCAAGGGACTGAATTTTAAACACAACAACCGTTTAAAAGTTCTGTCCATGGATCACAAAAAGTTAAGTGTTCTTTTAGCAAAACGAATAACAATTCACATGCGGATGTGTGTGAATTGTTTTTCGTTTTGCTGAAAGAACGCACACCGTTTTTGTGATCCGTGAACAGAACTTTGAAATGGTGGTTGTGTTTAAAATTCAGTAACTTGAAAAGCACATGAGTGATTTGAATGATTCTTGTACTAAAAGAAAGATTATGATTTGGGTTTTCATATCCTAGGTTTTGAATGTGCTTCATGCAGAACTTCACTAAAACAATAGTCCTGACATTTGGGTTTCGCTTTTTTTGACTCACCCTGTATTGCACTGCAGTATAGTTAGATATTACCCTGAAGTACATACATGTAAGTGCACTGTACCTTTTCACTTTCTGTAGCTATCTGTACTGCATTAGGTATCAGTCGTATCGTTCTCTCTTTGGTAATGGCCGTAATGTCCTTCAGTCTGATGGTGAGCTGTAAAACAATCAAAACAATGATGTCCTTTACTGATTACAGAATATCAGACGGTTTTGATGTCCTTGCTTCACTACACCCCCGGCAGGAAAAATATCACCCAGGAATATTTATGTTATACAGACTAAACAGGTTTCAAGGTTTGTTACAAGAACTTGCTTAAACAATACAATAGGGAACCTGGTAACAATGAGGTTTTTACCTATTATAAACAAACAATGCACAGTCAAAAGGAAGTTAAAGGGCACTTACATGTAGGAACACCCACTAAGGCCAAAAAAAAAAATAATAATCGGTCTCTGGTCAGACCGAAGTTCCGGAATTGATGCGGCGACGCGTTTTTTTTTTTTTGGTGGCTTATTTTTTTTTTCAAGCTTCAATTGTACCTGTAGACAAGGTGGGTACTATTTTGCTTTTTTGTGTCCTCATTATACATCGGTGTCCTCCATCATTTGCCTTGGTTCCCTTTATCATTTGCCTTGGTGCAATTTCCCCATTCCTTGGTGCTCCTTGGTACAAAGATTTGAGGAGGTGCGGCAACAGAAGGGCGCTGTTGTAGCTTCCGTGTTAATTTGAAGGGGAAAAAAAGGTTGACGCGCATGATTAAAATCGACGCGCGCGCTGATCAGAGACCGAGTATTATTTTTTGGCCTAATATAATGAGAAAAACCTTGCTCAAAGTGAGGATATGGTTGGTACAAAATACCCTGTGAAATTATTCTGCCAGAAATGGTTTCGACTGAAAGAAAACCGTCACCATTTTCTCGAGCTGATGCACACGCCGCTATGTGCACGCCTACCGTTCGTGAAAAACCGCGTCATCAATAACTTGTGTTTCACGAACTGACACGCGGGTGTGGGCGTGAATTACATGTACATACACCCCGAGGACAGACAGACAAAGGGAGAACAAAAGATTCTTTGTTGTCCTCGAGAGTTCATCTTTTGTTGAAATCTGTCCTCGGTCGTGCGTTTGTGTGCTTAGTCTATTGGAGAGTGTTATATTACAGGGACGAAGAAAAAGACAAAGCATTGTCCTTGAGAGTATAGTAAAACATGACTGTGTGCGCATGCACTTCATTCACTGACACGTAATAGAATAATTTTGGTTTTCATGATCTGAAACGCAAGCATTTGGCAGAAATACATTCAGGGAAAAATTAAGAGACTAACCAGGGTTTCCCACTTGAAGATGTTGGCGTAGAAGCAGAGCCAGTTTTCCGTCACGTACATCCTGCCCTGCACAAGGATGTCCTTCTGAAGAGCGCAGGAGTAGTCTGTTGACAAAATCAAAACACACCATCACAAAGTGAGTTCTCAGATATCACAAAAGTAATTTTGAAATTCGAACTAGGAAAGATTTCCATATACGAAGTTCACTAATTTTCCTCTGTATTGACTAACAAGCCCCAAGATAGCAATTTCATGTCATCAATGTCAATTTGAGCAGTGAGAAAATACAAGCATTTTCTTAGAAAACACTTAGAATTGTTCGGTCCAATCTCATAGGGTTTGTACACAGGGTGTTGAGTGAACTTCGTATATGGTAATCTTTCCTCGAACTATTCAAGTGCACATCAAGGAACAAGTTTAGGCCAAAAACAAAATCTGCCCCCGAATAAATGGCATCCAAAATAAGATAGGTAGCATTGAAATTTCTTTCTTGGGGGCCATTTTTTTGTGTGTACGATCATACGGAGGTGTCTACATGCAGTCAGGGGTTAAATGTAGAAATTGATGGTTTTGGGGTGTTTTTTTCCCTTCAGGTTTTCCATAAAAAATAATTAGGTTAGGGGTTGTCAAAATAGGGTAGATACGGTAGGGAAACCAGAAGCAGAACTATTTTTCTTTTTTGGACTTCAGCGAGACGCGAAGATAACGGTATTAAAACCGCCGTTTAACTTTCTCTTCTCGAATCCATGTTACTAGTTGGCCATAGATTAACAAGACTAGTCAATCGTTTAGGACTATCCTACAAAAAACATGGTGGCACCCTGGTTCCTAATAGCTACGCACTTCACGATGCAAAGCAGGCGATCCTAGTACCGGTAGTTTTCAACCTCGTTCCCCATGGGGACCATCTTGGTGCGCCATGTTGGTTCCCATCATGCCTTGCGCAAACTTCACCCCTGGAATTGTGTAATTTAAATGTCCCACTATTTTGGACATTTTACAGCAAGGATTTACGTACCTCTGTCGTCCCTTTTACAACGCAAGATACAGGTTTTTTGTGGTGAAAAATGAGGCTTCCAGAATCCAAATCGTACAGGCGCTCGCGCAGTCTTGAAAAAAAATGTTCGCATGTGATGTGACGTGCAGGAGATTTATAGGTCGTGCAGCCTTCGTAATATGCACGCAGTACGCTCTGAATGGTCAATCAGCATCGTTTACGTATTCTACACTGCTCGCGGAGTCGAGGCTGAGTAGATTTGTGAACAATTTGTGATCAGCATTGGACTAGAGACTTTGCGTGTTATCTGATTGCGCAGGCGTAAGTTGCATCATGAATCTATTGTTCTTGATCGAATTTTCTCAAGATTTGATGAATTGCACTGAGGAATAAAAAAACAGCAGATAAATGCACACCTATCTATGAGGGCTTTGCTTACCAAATCTGCAGTATTTGCTATTTTCTATGTGATAAATGAAAAACGGAGACACAAGATGTGAGTACCAACCTGCAATGAGCTTTTCGCTGTTGTGGATGTTCTTGAAGTACTTTCGGAATTCCTCCGATTTAGATTTGTAGGAAGCTGACAGAACCTGGAAAAATAGATTGTTAAAATAATTTATGAAGTTTTGCAAAATAATTTACTAGAATTACCTCTCATCCCCTCTAAACATGCTAAACAAGTACCAAGTGGTACAACCCAACAGTCTCATGGTCTAATAGTATCGGTGTCATGTGACACACCACCTGACCACACTGGTGTGTCATACTGAATCCTCCTACAGTTCCACAAACCGTACAACTGCGAATATTGCGATGCGATGGGGCGTGATCTAATATACAAATTAGACGCATGCGCATCAGTGTCACAAAACTGCGGGTATTCAATAGAAACTCACTGGCAAAGCTGTGATACACGCGTGGCATGGAAACTGTAGAACGGGTCAAGTAAAGTGTCCACCAACCAACCCACGAACCGACCCACTTACCAACTTACCAACCAACCAACATAAAGAGCTCAAGCCCACGGCATGTTTTACACCGCCGTGGGAAGAACTAATTATCAAAACGAAAACTGATTTCCTAAATGAATCAGTTGCCTAAGACCTCCTTAGCAAAACACAAACAAACACAAAAAAAAACATTTCAACTCACCGTGTACCACGGAGTCTTTTTACTGCTGTTTCTCTTGACGGACTTGGGCGATTTGTCCTCCTTGTCACTTCGGCCGGCGGGGGACAACTTCTCTGAGGGCGAGCCCAGGGAGGAACCTGATGTCTCAAAGCCAAGATTCTGCTGTTGTTGCCGCTGCTGTTCTTCTAGGAGTGGAAGCTCAGAGGGACAGGATCGAGAGACATGGACGGGGGAAGGTTGACTAGCTGATGGTGGGCCACTGGAAGAGGTGAGGGAGACGTTTCGGAGAGGAAATAAATGGGTAGAGATAAGAGTCGTTCTGACTCAAGTGTATTGGAATTAACCCATGGGAGTTGGGCCAGGTCAGAACAATAGAGGACAATAGAGGACAATAGAGTCCCCAATTCCCGAAGGTCCCCAATTTGGATTCGTGTACAAAACATATGGGATGTCTTCCTGAAAGTTAGTGTACAAACAAAAGAGGGACAATGGGGGTACATGTACATGTACCTGATTGCAGGCAAATACACACTTGAGCGGGGTTGGGTTGGGTTGGGTTGGGTTGCCTGCGTTGGGTCCTGTTGGGGTGGGGTGGGTTTGGGTTTGGTTGAATTAAGTTGGGTTAAGTTGGATTGGGTAGGGTTGCGTTGGGTTGGGTTTGAGTTGAGTTGAGTTGGGTTGGGTTGGGTTGGGTTGAGTTACATGTACCGGTACATGTACGCTGAATTTATTTCTGCATTCAAATGGGGGACGTTTAACAACAGAGTCAATAGGGTCCCCAGTTTCTCGAAGGTCCCCAAGTGACGATCATGTGCAAAACATACATGTATGGGAGGTCTTCCTAAAAAGTGAAAACAAAAAGAGGGACAAAAGGGAATCCCTGACTGCAGGCAAATACACACGGAGGTATGGTAAGTTGAGTTCGGTTGGGTCGGGTCGGGTCGGGGTTCAGGCAATTTGGGTTAATAAAGTTGGGTGAAGTTGGACTGCATGGGTTTGGATATGTTGGGTTGGGGGGGTTGAGTTGGATTGAGATGGTTGGGTTGGGTTGCGTTTGTATTTGCCTGCAATCGGGGATATTCGCGTGGGTTGGGTTGGGTTGGGTTGCATTTGTACCTGTATTTGCCTGCAATCGGGGACATTCGCGTGGGTTGGGTTGGGTTGCGTTTGTACCTGTATTTGCCTGCAATCGGGGACATTCGCATGGGTTGGGTTGGGTTGCGTTTGTACCTGTATTTGCCTGCAATCGGGGACATTCGCGTGGGTTGGGTTGGGTTGGGTTGGGTTGGGTTGGGTTGGGTTGGGTTGGGTTGGGTTCGGTTGGGTTGAGCTAGGTTTGTTGGGTTGGGTTGGATTGGCTGAGTTTGTTTCTGCATGCATTAGGGGACGTTGAACAATAGAGGACAATAGGGTCCCCAATTCCAGAGAGGTCCCCAATTTGGATTTGTGTATTCATGTATGGGAGGTCTTCCTAAAAAGTTATAGTACAAAAAAAAGAGGGACAACAGGGGGTCCCCGATCGCAGGCCAATACACACTTGTCTGGAACACGCACTTGTCTGGAATGGGTTACACATGGTACTGGTATGGTTGGATGGTTGGGTTGAGTTTGGTCGGATTGGGTTGGGATTGGAAGGGTTCGACTGGTTTGGTTTGGGTTGGGTCTGGTTAAATTCGGTTTTGGCCGGGGAAGGGTTGTCATTTCGGCAACACTAGAGAAATTGCATGAGTCCATATGTACGCCTACTGATACATGTTGAGTACTCACTTATTACCAGAGTCGACTTCACTCTCGCTAGAGAGGGGTTCCCTGGAGGCTGAATCGCTGCTCTGACGATCTCCTTTGGCCTGTCTACTGCCCCTGAGGAACCACACCCGGTAACACACGTAAAACACACCAGTGAAGAAAACACCCAGTTGCGAACAAAAAAAAGGAAGAATTTGTGAGGTTGGCATGACCTCAGGTGTTCACAAAAAAGGGGGAATTTTAGGGAACACAATACCCAGTTGAACAATCAGCTTTGAAATGTAATACAATAGGGAACATATTTGCAACATTCTCATGCATGTACTGTGTTAATTTCTCTTGGTAAAAAAGGGGAACATGCAAACTGCAAAAAGAAGTTTCAAACCAACAAGAAACTTTGCATACATTTACAAGCCATTCACAGTCTCATGGTCTCATATAGTATCGGTGTCATGTGACACACCACCTGACCACACTGGTGTGTCATACTGAATCCTCCTACATTTGTAAATCACCTTTTAGTGCATGTATTCTCAAAAAAGGATGATGTATTGGTTACACATTTTGAAGGGATTTTCCCTCAGAGTCAAGTACATGTTACAACTGAGTACTTCCCCTTCCCAGTGCACATCTGGGGCCAACTTCATAGAGCTGCTTAAGCACAAAATTTGCACAAGCACAAAAAAGTCTTGCTTAATAAAATCAGGTTACCCGCCAAAACTCCATGCAATTGTTATGCTAAGTAAACAACAGCTAAATACCAGTCACTAACAATGTACATCACTTGGAGTTTTGGCCGGTAACCTGATTTTACTAAGCAATATTTTTTCGTGCTCAGCAAATTTTGTGCTTAAGCAGCTCTATGAAATTGGGCCCTGGCATGGCGTGGACTCCTTGTACACAAAACCCAAGTGGCACTTCAGAGAGACTTATGGGCAGGCATGGATTCTTGAATAATTACACTGTACACTGCTACTGTTCACATTGCACTTGTACAAAGACAATGTGTGCTTGTGCACATTCAGACATGTCAGAATAAAAACACTGTGTGTACTCACACCCCATACATGTTCTCAAATAACGTCTCAAAAAAATGTGAAAAATGAGCTTGGGGTCACCTTTTTTTTTCAGAATTGAGATTTGTATTTTTGGATTCTACAGAACAAGACCTTTCCAATGGCATCCAACATTAAGGGGTACTGAGTTCAGTAACGCAAATATATAGACCACCAACTTACTTGAAGTTGTAAAGCTGATTTCTTTTGAAAAAAAAGGGCATTTAAAAATTCCTGCAGTTGTGTTATCAGTGAATGAACAGTCAACTTATAAGGTGTTTGAGGGAACCCAACAAATTGGAGAAAGGTGCAACAGGACCTACTGATTAAGGTTCAACTGAAAAAAAGACCACCACTTCAAATTTTGGCTTAAATTTGCCCCACTGTACTGCAATATGACAATTGTGAGCTCTTTCGTAGTGACAGGTCACAAACGATCTCAAAAAGTGGTCACAAAGTGCAACTTCTGTATAATGCACACAGTCCTGTGCGAAATCTTGTGCAGAAAAAAAACTACAACAAGCTTGCTAGCTTCATGTACGGAGGAACAAAAAGCCAAAACCCGTACGTCAGCTTTGAACGAAAAATTCAAACTGGTTAGCCGACTCCAAGGGCGGATCCAGAACACCATTTTTTTTTGGGGGGGGGCCAAAAAAAATTTTGGACCCCCAAAAAGTGGATCAAAAAAATTACGGCGTGGGGTTCGGTGCCCGCTTAAGGGCCCCAAATTTTTTTTGGATTCTAGATGCTCTGTGGTGCGATCTGAGGCAATTTCTGACCACTTTAACCAATATTTTTTTGAGGAAAAGATGGTGGTGTACTCATTGCCTGCCTTTATTGCGATGTCACATAAAAAAATATAAAAATTGGTTTCGTTTGGGGGGGGGGGCATGGCCCCCTTTGCCCCCCCCCCCCCACCCCCCTGGATCCGCCCTTGGCCGACCCTGGCAAGCTTGGTGGTAAAGTAGTTTCAATGTATGTGTAATTAGACGTCTTGGACTATACAGTGTGTATCAAAAATAATGCAAACAAAATACAACGGAATGTCAGATGTAGAATGTGTAACCAACATACCGTAGGTACCGTACATTGTATGGTTTAATAGGTACGTCTTTCCACTTCAAAATGAGACATCAAACGGCCAAATCTGACAATTTTTGACAGAGTTACATGTATAATTTTCCAAGAGAGGTCAAATTGACCATGGGACCAAGTTTTTCAATTTTAGGCATAGGGACAAAGGTAGACTAATAGCGTCTGTGTGGATAATTGCCTGGCCTACACAAATGTGTTTAGCCAATTAACACAATTCTAAACACTTTCTTGCTATCAGTTTGTAAACATGTTTACATGCTAAACATGTTTAGCATGAGGTGATAGCAAGAAAGTGTTTAGAATTGTGTTTACTCGCAAAGCACATTAATGTAGGCAAGGCAAATATCCACACAGAGGTAATTAGGCTACTTTTGTCCCTATGCCTGAAATTGAAAACTTGGTCCCATGGTCAATTTGACCTCTCTTGGAAAATTACTCATAACTCTGTCAAACATTATCAGATTTGGACGTTTGATGTCTCATTTTAAAGTGGAAAGGCGTATCTTTCAAACCATACCTGTATATTATCTATATTGGTTACTCATTCTATGTCTGGCATTCCACTGTATTTTGCTTGCATTTTTTTTATACAAACTGTTGTATGCTGGGCAACATGGGTTCGAGTCCCTCCAAAAGCTAGCTTGTTGAGTTTTCTCATTTTCACAATGTAACCTCTCTGACAGCAATGAGTGCACAGTGATTACAAAAAGTAGGATTTTTGGAGGATTCAGTAGGTTACATAGAATGGCAAAATGAAGTTAGGGTTTAAAAAATAAGGGGGGGGGACGGGGGAAAAAGAAAATTAATTCAATTACTGTTAATGAACAACACACCTTCGGAAAATCGAATGTTTCAAACTGGTACTTCGCTTTCTGAAGAAAAAAAAAAGAAACAAAACTCGTAACAGCGTAAAAAACTTAAATACAAGAACCACATGCAAAACTCAATTAAACAATGTTAAAGAAAAACAAGCATTTTCAGAACAAGGGTTGGTATACATACACTTCACATAAACACAATACTTTTGGGAAAGAATGTAGTATCCAGACGCCGTTTCTTTGTTTGTGAACAAATCAAGTCTATGGAGAGTTGAGTGCATTTATTCTAACTTAATTAGAAATGTTTCTAAGTCCCAGATTCGTGTCTTTTCTAAAACAAATTGGCAATGACTGACCTTCAATGAGATTATGAAAAAAAGTGGCGTCAGGATGCAACGTTCTTTCTGAATTTTTTGTTTTGGTCGAAATCACACATTTTATGTATCAAGGCTTTTCAGGCTGGTACCGTAGCTGGTCATGCAATTGCAGTGAACTACACACATTCAATTCAAACCCTTTCTGAGTTTCCACTCATGTTTTAGTTTGTTCAACATTACATATTACTGGTCATAAATAGTGAACTGGTGCAACTGGAGGAAGAAACTTGTTAAATCACAAACTGTATGCAAAAAAACATCATTCAAAATATGTGAGGAGAGAATACCGGTACATGTGGAGTGCTGAGGTTTAAAAAAGGCTTATTATTCAAATGAATGTGATCCCACATACGTGTACCGCTGAACATGTACATCCCTTCTTGTTCGGTAACTATGGGGACTACCGGTACATACATGTATGTACACACGTGTTGTCCCATGGTCAATGGGCAGATGGGGACCGAAGACGCTATGGGGACAGCAGAACGTCCCCATAACCTGGTCCTAATTTCCCATACAATGTGTATACATGTACATGTACATGTACCGTACATGTAGACCTACATTGTACCCTTTTAATTTTATACCGGTACATGTGCCAACGATAGCACATTTCCATTAACCCCCCATGGATGCTCAAGTGTAGCCTACATCACATACATTTTAAAACAGAGAGTCTGCATTTGTGCATAACATGTACTGGTAGTGCTAGTACATGTATTTTGCCAATTTGTTATAGATTGCATGGAAAATTAATGCGATACAATGTAATGAATGTATGAATACGCATGCATGCATGGAAAGTGTACATGACGTTGATAACATACACTTGTAGCATTGACATGTTATACATGTGTTCGGGTGGGCAACGATGGCGTTAAAACTGGATTAGCCGAGTACAATTTGTTGTTCCAATTTGATGAAGCTGCAAGGCAAATTTTTGCAAAATACTGGTATACGGAGTGTAAGTATCATCCGTGGTTAACGGAGCCCGCAAGCTCAGCAACAACATCTGATACACACGGATACATATATGTGTGAATACAAATTTTATGTTGACTTTAGAAATTTCAAGCAAAACTTCAGCCTAAGCTATCGATTAGTCAACTGCCTGCCATGGTTTTGTAATACAACAGCGGGTTACCAAGACCCGATAGAAGGTGCCTTCTGAATGGACAGAATCTGGAGGTCACAACACGCAGTCTTGTTTTGAATAATGAATCTGCACAAATCTGCTCGCACAGCAATCACGTACCAATAGAAGCGTGCTTTGCAATTAGCGACTGCATGTATTCCAAACACTATTAAGCAAAACACTGTATTAAATGCAAAAACAAAAACATCTCAGAACAAACCACAAACCTGCATGCACCAGTACTGGTATTAAAAAAAAATTGGCTGACAACCTGTTTTGACTTAGAAGCCTTTCACCGCTGTGACCCGGGTTCGAATCCCGCCTGGGCAAATATGTGGATTGGGTTTTCAGTCCCTACTTGATTCTGTGGGTTTTCCCCAGAATATTCTTCTGGGCTTTTCTTCCCACCTCTAAAACTGTAACTTCTTCTCATTGTCTTCTCTCCACAGATTTCTTCAGGCTTGCGAGCTACAGTGCCTGCAGGCACTTTTGAGGAATCCTTGGTTTCATTACCAGAAATGATTAATAATAATACTAAAATGTTCCGTCCTTACATTGTATTAAATTCAAAAATTGCATTGTATTCATACAAAAATTACATTGTATACACATACGTGTACTTATACCAAAATACACATGTATACATATGTACATTGTAAATCTACACTATGTACATGTACACGTAGATGAAGTACAACTGTACGTACACAGCTCAGTGAAACTGACCCCCCTGTATGTACATGTACTTACCTTCGCATCTTGCGCACATGTTGCTTACATTTTGTAAAGCTAGGCATGCTTACAAAACCACTTGGCATCCCCACCGACCCAAGCTTCAAACTGACGCGACCGCACAACTCCTTCCCAATCAACATTACACCAAAGCGTTTGAAAAACTCTGCCTGCTCTCATCAAAGACACACGCTTATATACGACGGAGACTGCTCATAGCAACACTAAATCCAACGTCCACACCCACTACTTAGACCGAGAGTCACGTGCGCATGCAACCCAGGACAGACTTTGCAATGGAAAACAAATGATGAGTCATGATGTTCAGAGCGCTCGGCGTGAGATGCATTGTTGACCCTAGCGATACCATAGAAACCGGGTGAATGGGCCAACATTGGGAGGAGCGTTGACCCAGCTTCTCCGCAGGTCATCTTCTTTTGTAAATTGATACCGGAAGGTACAATGTATAAAGCAAAAAAAATTAATAAATAAATAAATAAATAGGCCTAAACCTTCCAAAAAAGATGCGTCTATGGGGATTACTGAGATAAAAAAGGAAGAAGAACCTCATACCAAAATACACGGTAAAGAAAACAAGGGGTTTTTTAAACTTTTTTTAACAGAAATTATGGGAAATCTGGGAAAAAACTTGGAGTACATTTGTGTGACTGTGAGACCATTATTTTCTATTGCCCTATTTACAACTGATGAAGATTTAAAAAAAAAAAAAAAGGAGTTTGATGCAAAATGTGAGAGGAGTGTTTTTGTTGATATATTGCACAGGGCTGAGTGGGGTTGGTTTTTGGGGGGGGGGGGGCCACAGGGTTTAATTGGCACAGGGGTGGATTTTTATGTTAAGATTGTGCGTGTGTGTGCTTTCATTAGTTGATACAGATCTGAATGCAAATCAGGCTGCTACCGGTGCATACACGTACATTTGTATGTATACAGGCATACATACTACAAAGCAGCTCTTTTCTGTGGGTGTGTGTATACATGTACAAGCAGGGGCGTGAATTGCTTCTCAAAAGTGGGGGGACATACCTTGATCAGCAGAACTGATGCGAGCGCGAAGCCCTCCCGAAAAAAATTTGGATTCTAGATGTTCTGTGGTCATGGTGGTGTGATCTGAGGCAATTTCTTACCACTTTCCTCTATGCTTTAACTAATATTTTCTTAGCAAAATATAATTATTTGCTAAACATCGTTTTCGAGGTTGGAGTCATTGAATCAGCAACCGGTATTCCGAGCTATAGGCGTGTGGTTCGGAGCCCGCTTAAGGGCCTCGACAAAATATTGATTCTACCGGTAGATGCTCCGTGGTGTGATCTGAGGCAATTTCTGACAACTTTAAATAGCAAAAGATACTAATTTAAACATAATTTTTGAAGTTTTTTCAGCTAAAGGCATAGGGTTCAGGGCCTGCTTAAGGGCCCCGAAAAGTTTTGGATTCTAAATGCTCTATGGAGCAAATTCTGACCACTTTAGGCCTAACCAATATTTTCTAAGCAAAAGATACATTGTAGTACATAATAAGGCCCTGTCAATGAGACACAAGTTCAAAAATCTGTGGGGACATTAATATTGTGTTCCCCACTCTTCAAAAAGTGAAGGGGGACATGCCCCCCTGTCCCCCCCCCCCCCCCCCCCCCCAGGATTGACGCCCATGGTTTGTATCCATGATCACTTGCACTATAATTAGAGTCTACTGCTTTTTATGTGCGTACGCTCCGTATGCGTGTGCATTCATCCCTGTACCTGCATGCATGTGATCTGTTGATCATTTTTTCCATTACAGATTGGATGTGGTACACTACACTACAGGGTATCGTTCATCAACCGAAATATCCCATTAGATGGCTGCATCATCCCCCATCAAAACTGCAGTCACGCCTTGACTATAAATGAGTCACAGGTACCATGGCAAAGACGTCACATGTAAAATTGTTGAGTTCTTTGTGTTTGTTGATCCAATTCTGTGATCTTTGGACCCATTCGGTACTTGCGATGGAGTTAAAAATTTACCCAAACTGACCCAGAAAAGGGAGTATGGGTTACCGTCTGGGGCGGCGGAACGGTCTGAACATATTCATGACCGATCATTTGAGCACTTATGTACAATAGGCCTACCGGTAAGTAGAATGCATCCCGGAACTATGATGCATCATACCGGTAGCTGTAATGTCCTGCAAACATTTCTCAACTATTTATCACAAGTGCATTCGGTAACTGTTTCTTGTATTTTTCATAAACTATAATCTTCTGTTACCTGAATTAAATAGGGCCTACATACCAGTCAAATCACGAAATGTCATCCACATTTATGAAAGTCGTAAAGCTCAAGTCTCTTGTCATGTCAATTTCGGTATAAGAGACACTTACTCCTTGGTCACGGCACACCCCCTCTTAGAACTTGTGATTGACTTGTGACTTTGGTTGCAGATCTATGTGGACGAAGTGGGGTTATGGGGGAGGAGTGGGGTTATGGGGATGGGGCGGGGTTAGGGGTGGGGTTATGGGGGTGGGGCAGGGTTAGGGGTGGGGTTATGGGGGTGGGGCAGGGTTATGGGGATGGGGCGGGGTTATGGAGGCGGGGCGGGATTATGTGGTCTACCCCTATTGCGCGGGGGGGGGGGGGGGGGGGGGGGGGGGGGTTATTGCACAGGTACATTGTACAGTAAAGGTACTGGCAGTACATACCATACCGGTACATGTGTGCACAATGTACTAACTACATGTACCCGGTACCCGTAGTATAGGCCCGAATGTTTGGAGGCCTCATGCAGGCCCAGTGCTGGTACCGGTAACTGCGTAACCTTCAAGTAAATTTGTCTTCCCTTATAGGCATAGGGAACTGGGCCCTACCGGTACAATGCAAAATTGCCAATTTTTCTTATTAAAACCTTTAAAATTTTAACCTTTTTTCAATTGTAACTTTGTTCAGCATGTTCAGCAGGCACTTTTATCTATTTAAACAAACAAATGACACTGGAGCATGTGACTGTGAGTCTTCTTCTATACACATTGTGACCAGTGCACTGCAGTGCACACTGGTGTTTGTATAGTGATAGACCTACATACAAAGGTATTTTTAGCTCACTTTACACGCTTTAAATAGCAAACAGTTATGGAGTTATTGGAGACCTGAATCAATAAAAAGCGTAGATCTATAAGATGGAGGCCCATTATTAAATAATTGAGTCAACAGCAACTACATGTACATGGATCATCACACTTGTTGAACCCACGAAACCAGCTATCACTGCAGATGGTATTGAATTGTTATCTCCCAAGCGATTATTCGCTATTATAATCCTACAGAAATGCCCTCAAAAACTGGTAAAGAACATCATAATTTTTCAGTCCTTTTGATTTGAGGCGTGTGATCGCACTCCCACACCATCACACGCCTAAAAGCTTCCCGAGAAGTGTGAATTATTGCACGCCTGAATTTCCCTGGACCACAGAATCACACACCTAGAAAATCACAAACCCAGAAAAACCACACGCCTAGAAAAATCCAAGTGTGCCTTTTTCCACACGCCTGTGATTTTCAAATCAGAAGGATTGATTTTTATGTGTACATGTACGTGGTACATGTATATCAAAAAGTACAATATCGTACTGGTAAGTTGGCATTGTCTTTGTTGAATAAATTAATTGTTGGACTGTTGACAAGTTGTCCTTGCAGTCAAAATCAATCAAGAGACTGTTTTCATCCCATAACAATTCCAAGCCCACATAAAACAGGAATGACTGCCTTGGCTTGATTAAGTTAAGTACTTGATTTACAGCTACGCTTTGATTCCTGGTGAGTGATAAAACAGCTGCATGTCCACAAGTTGCCTGCACCCGATTTCATCAAACTCTTCGTACATGTAACTTACAATGCATCGCAGCGATGCGACGCGTCGTACCGGTATCTCAACAATGGGTCGCAGCTGCGACGCGTCCAGCGATCCATTTCACAAACCACGTCATAAGTGCGACGTGTTGCAGGTGTATTTATAGCATAACTCGTTGACTGTTTTTGTATATTTAGTCAGCGTGCAGTAAATAGTCGTCTGATATTCAACAAAGAGTCGTCCGATCTCAGCTCAAAATTTGTTAAAACGTAAAATAAAATGGCGGTCGTATGATGCAAAATTTTTTGAAGGAAAACAAGCTCTCGTTGGACTGTATAGCTACTTTGAAATTTCAACTCTAATATTCCAGTCTAATTCATAATTATTCAATGAATTTTCAATTTACAACTTTACACACATTGCCTCGGTATTATAATCTCATTTATGTAATGTTTATGGCATAAAACTGGCTTAGAAAATTACTCTTCTTATTTGGCGATGACCACAAGACACGTCGTAACTTGCGACGTGTTTTAAGCCGTTGTCAAGCAGGTCAAGGAACTTATGACGCGTTCACATTGCAACTTTTGTGAAATGGATGATACGACGCGTCGCGAGTTGCAACGTGTTACACGTCGTAACTCGAGTTGCGACGCTTCGCAGTGCCTCGTGAAATTGGGTGCTGCTTTGTCTGTTGACTGGACACAGTATGATCTGACTGCTGGTGATGAATAACCCTTGTGAAAAGTACATGTTTAGTGCTCAGTGGAAGTGGTTTTTAATTTTGATGTCTGTGACTGCTTAAATAGTAGGAGGGTTGATCTGTAATGCCAATGAATGGTCTCATACCGGTGTACATGTAGACCAGATGCGTGCAAAGTACTAGTCATTTTTAACCAATAATTTCAAAATTATCGATTTTGTGCACTCTGGGACCAGCTTTACAAGGCTTACCCTGCCTTGTGTTACTGCTCCACCCCCGAACTGACATGAATGTTTTGCAAGGTCTTTAGGCCAAAAAAAAAAGTCTCCGGTTTCTGGTATGCGCGCGCGTCGCCATAGCCATGCGCGTCGGCAAAATGAAAAAAAAAAATTTTCAATACAAGATGATGTCTCAAAACCGCCAAACTCATTGGTTTGACTGGTATCCTGCTGCTGCACAATTTTAACGTGTTTTTAGATGGGGTTATGATCGAGAATAAGCTTTATGTGGCCTCTCTGGACTCCCATATATTTGCACTAAGTTTAGTCGGGCACCATTTGCAGTCATCAGCCGACATTTGAAGCCAAAAAAAAAAAAAAACAGGTAAAAAAAAAAAAAAAGCCGCGTCGCCGCACCACTTTTGGGGCAAGCTCCATACCAGAAACGGGAGACTTTTTTTTTGGCCTTAGTTGTTCCTTTTTCCAGGGTAACAGTCCAACACTATGTCAGCAGTGAACGCTCGATGCCACTCATTATCAGTAACAAACTTCTTTCTTTGTTAAACCTGCTTTTTTTTTTTCGAGTTCAAGTGTTGGCCGACTAGCTAAGTTCAAATGGCAGATTATGAGCTAAATTTGGCAGATGAGCTTAATTTGGCAGATATGAGCTAAATTTGGCAGATTAATACATGTATATGTACATGTGTGTATTTTGTGTTAACTGGACAAATTTTATGCTATTGATCAGAACGCTGCAATTTTTCAACATCTAAGATTTTACAAATGTTTAAAGAATGCAGTACATTTCATAAACCAAAATCAGGTATTGGACCATACAACGCACTACTTGTACTGAGGTACCGGTATGTACTTCAAATCCACTATCGGCATACATGTGTGTACGGTATGTCTCAAACTGGGGTGAAAGTTATGCCCATAGACCATAGACGTACATGCATAGAAGTACATGTACATGTTATACAACATACATGTACATGTACATGGACCGGTATGTTTGTTTATGGTGTATTAAAATCGAGGATTTTCTATTGTTCCTCTTCCCTTTCCCTTTGTTAAAACTTAAAATACTCTACTTTCTTCAACAGCTCTCATTGGTTTTGTGCACGCTTTCTAATCGAAGAGTCCTCCATTTGGTTCCTGTCCTCAATTTATCGATGACATTGCACACATGTGTGTCCTTGATTTACACCATAAACAAACGTATTGTACATGTAGCTGAATCATATAATTCACAAGAGTTGAAATGTATTCAACTTCTGCACTTTCAGAGAGTTAAAACTTGATGCGGTACCTGTACGTACAAATAACAAATTCATTTTTGCCTAAAAAGTATGTTTTTTCATCAAGTACATGTACACTGTACAAGTACAAAATTGCTTTACAATGTACCATACTTCCTATAAGGATATGTACAGTGTATAGATCTGCACGTTTGTTAAAAACTTTTTATCTTTTTTTTTTTTTTTTTTTTTTTTTTTACATGTCATGAAAGTGTACAACACATGTATCCATTATGTGTTACAACTATTCCACAGGAAAATACAATGTATGTATGTGCTTTCCATGGTAACCACAGGTTTTAATTTTAAAACAACAACAGTGGTGCACTCACGCATCTTTGTCCCGGACCGCCCCATCATTGGTTTGTTTAACGGGCGGCATGGCAACGGTTGTCACTGTTCCCCTCTCCTTCTCGCCTTCCGCCTCCCCTGCTTCCGGGTAATTCTCGTGTCTGAAAAAGAAATTGAACGGCAATTCCAACATGATTATTCCCGGGTTTGGTTGCGCCGTCCAAAAGTGCTTGATCCGAATACTTTACTAAACAAAACTTTTTGAAAGTCCTCAACAATGCAAATGTACATGTGCAAAGTACAATGTTCAAAGTACAGGTACTGGTACCATGGTCATACAGATTAAATTAGCAATTCGGTAATCAGGGGCTCGTGAGACTGGACAAAAATGAAAAATCCACAAACTTCGGTTGACATATGTACATGTACATGTATGTATGTATGTGTAGGCCTACCGTGTATACATAAATACATGTACCGGTACCAGTATCATGTGTACCGGTACATTACGTGTGTGGGATACATTTTTACATACCTACATGTATACAATGTACCATACTACAATGCAAATGTCAATGAGTACCAGTACCACGTTTAAAATAAACAATATTAAAATTATTATAGGGCCTACAAATTTTGTTTGCAAAGAGAAATGAATCACAAAACATGTTAACCCAATAACAGTGACTTACAGTACTTAGTAGCCTACTTGTTAAAATATCTTACTCAATAAACTCCCAGGCGTCCCACATTCTCTTTGTGGTGGTCACTGGCTAATGGCTATTATTTTCAAAGTACTATTGCAGCTCAAACTGATGTCCATCCACGTGACAGTGAAACTTTATCCCAACCAGTTCTACATCACAGTGAAACTTTATCCCAACCACTTCTTCAAACCAAATTCCTGGATCAAATTCTTGCACTGATGGGTAATAACCGTAATGCAACCTGACTGATCCTCAATACAGAGCGTCACCAAGGGGGAAGTGCTTTAAAAAAAAAATGTATTGGCTTTTCTCCATCAGCGGAAAAGGCATTGGTTTTTGTTCTGATTATTATTTTATTTGTTTTACTTCTTCTTCTTCTTTCCACCTCAAATCCCACAAACTTTATGTTTCATTCTCGGTGTCACTTCACTTTTGACCTTCAACACACTTCAATCTTGATGAAACTTAAAGGGAATGTACATCATTGGCTTTTGCTCTAATTTTCAGAAATGGAGTATTTGGGGGGTTAGTATAATATATCATATATTGTTACACTGACATGTTTAAAGTTTTATGTTCGAAAATGCTGGAAAAACCAAGAAAAACAAAATTGTTCAAGTAGTCTGGTTCCCTGACTCCACTATAGATGAAATGGATCAATTTATCGTTGCCAGAAAATTGAAAGGTAAGGGAACCAGTCTATAGCTGGCCTGCAACCGTTCATGAACATGTAACCATGTACCAAACAAAATTTGGACTGAAAAAGGTAAATTTGGAGCAGAAGTTGAAATATAGTTAGGTTTTTCCAAAGGTGATCAGCCAATCACCGTTGGAAATACTTTGTATACAATTTACAATTTTCTTGAAAATGACTTCACACCAGGTGCCATAATTTTACAGGATGCTTTAGACTCTCATTTACCAACATCCTAGTAAGGTATTTCTTAAAAACTTGGTAGTTTTATTTTTCGATGTTTGCAAATGTTGTTTATTCCCTTTAACATGATCCAATGACTTTACCAATAAAACTGTTCTGAAAGTCCTCAATGATGTACGTGTACAAAATGTAGTACCATGGTCAAACAAACTACGGTAGTTTAGCAACGGAAGTACATGTACAACCTGAGTGATCCTTAATACTTTTCAACTTGAAAATAAATAGAACTGCAAACAGCTCACTGACTGGGTTGACCTGAACAATACCGGTATATACAAATCCAAAAAAAAATTAAAGTGGCCTAATATTTTATCCTTAGGCCAAAAAAAAAAGTCTCCGGTTTCTGGTATGGAGCTTGCCCAAAAATTGGTGCGGCGACGCGGCTTTTTTTTTTTTAACCTGTTTCTTTTGCTTCAAATGTCGGCTGATGACTGCAAATGGTGCCCGACTAAACTTAGTGCAAATATTATGGGAGACCAGAGAGGCCACATAAAGCTTATTCTCGACCATAACCCAATCTAAAAACACGTTAAAATTGTGCAGCAGCAGGATTCCAGTAAATCCAGTGAGTTTGGCGGTTTTGAGACATCATCTTTCATTGAAATTTTTTTTTTTTCATTTTGCCGACGCGCATGGCTACGGCGACGCGCGTGCATACCAGAAACCAGAGACTTTTTTTTGGGCCTTAGCAAGGACTTCTTCAGAGGCAAATCAAAGAAGTCCTTGCTGAGGATGAAAATTATTGAAATATCACTCAATTATTGAAATATCTACTCAGTAACACACTGAGTACACAGTGTTTAAACATCGGTGAAGGGCAAAACCTAACTAGATTTACATTAAGTGTACTAGACATGCTAGAGATGGAAGTACTGAAGTACAGTAAATTAGGCACAAAATGCCTTGACAAAATCAACTAAGTACATTTATTAGGCCAAAAAAAAAAAATACTCGGTCTGGTCAGCGCGTGCGTCGATTTTAATCGTGCGCATAAACCTTTTATTTTTTCTTCAAATTAACACGGAAGCTCCAACAGCGCCCTCTATTGCCGCACCTCCTCAAATTTTTGTACCGAGGAGCACCAAGGAATGGGGAAATTGCACCAAGGCAAATGATAAGGCAAATTATGGAGGACACCAATGTTTAATGAGGACTCAAAAAAACAAAATAGTACCCACCTTGTCTGTAGCCTACAATTCAAGCTTGAAAAAAAAAAAAGCAACCAAAAAAAAAAAAAAAACGCGTTGCCGCATCAATTCCGGAACTTCGGTCTGACCAGAGACCGATTATTATGTTTTTTTTGGCCTTAGCATCAACAAACATTTTCACCAACTACATGTACAATGTACATGTACATGCAAGGGTATGATGATGACTGAGCACATTCGTTTTGAGACCACTTGGTAAATCGTTAAAAAATGCCGACTGGCCAACTGAAATTTCACTTACTACAAATTTTAAAGTGCTACTACTTTGTGTTCTCCAGTTAACTGTCTGAAATTGTTTGGAGAACAACCGATAAAAAGCAAAGTTTGCTCAATAGCAATACAGACAGGTGTCTGACAGAATATTGTATGCTGGACAACTGGACCATAAATTTACAACTGGTGACTATGAGTCACGGTATTATGTGTTTGTGCAATCATTGGCTTTTGTAAACCATTTCTCACTAGTGATGGAAACTTACAGGGGAGGTTGGGGGATGGTACATGACAATCAAAAGTCATTAATAAGAAAGTTGATCAAATCACAAGTCAATCACAAGGCAATCACAAGGTAGTCACAAGTCAATCATAAGGAAGTCACAAGTCAATCACAAGTTACATTGTGTACACGTATGTATGCTGCAAGTGACATCATTCTATATATGCACCAAGCACAGTAATTTTACTGTAGACATGTATACGTGCAACTCGAAACCTCAAATTGGGATTTGACTCTATAAATCATGTTGTTTGACTTGTGCTCCACAATTTTGTCGTAGTGTCGACAACTTTGAAAGTACTGGTACCAAAAAAAAAAAATTAATTACAAAAAAGTACTAATCAATTGTTTAATGTGAGAGCTTTTCCATGAAACTGTTAAGTGTATCACCTGCTTGTTATGTAATCAGATTAATCCTTCCCTGGGACCGTATTGATTGACAGCTGGAGAATTAAATGCCGGAATCTACTCACTCACGTCATTGCCTGGTTCGGGCATCAAAAAAAAGTTCCACAGAATGGTTACAATATTAAACCTTATCTGCTTGGGCCGTTCTGTTGAATGGTATGAATCCTCAACCATTTGAAACCCTGCAAAACCCTTTTTGAAAAGATTAACACTCGCTGGCTGGCAAATTCATCTACGCCGCCACAGGAGTCAAAATCAATCTACTGACTGATTTTAAGAATTCCCTTGTTAGTTTCAGACCTGTGGTTTTTTTGGGTTTTTTTTCAAATACATTTTACCTCATTCCACCTTTCTGGTACACTGCTGGTAAAAACAAAAGACATGTTTTATTGTCCCCATTTATTTCAATACCACAGTAAAAGGTTGTGATTTAAAAACGTATGGTACAAGATTTCATACCGGTCGGTACAATATGTTCCCCTTTCCAGTCATGTCCACTTACTCATGGAATTGCCGTACGCAAAAGGTATACAGACCTGTTCATGTTATGGGCAATTCCACGGTTACTCACGTTACATTTCTGATGTACTTTTGAGTTTCCTTGGGCTGTAATTACCTTACTGAAAAGGTTTAATAACTGTTATCCCCATGGTAGATAGAGTAGACCTAGACCTACATGTATAAGCACCAAAGGACATCCAGAAAAGTGTGTTGTGTATGATAAACAAGACGCACAAAATCGGTTACTCACGTTACATTTTCGTAACGTGAGTAATCAATTTTGTGCGTCTTGTTTATACATAAAAAAAAAATAACACATTTTTCTGGATGTCATCTTTGGTGCTTAGGTCTAGGTCTACTCTATCTACATGTACCATGGAGATAACAGTTTTCAAACCTTTTCAGTAAGGTAATTACAGCCCAAGGAAACTCAAAAGTACATCAAAAATGTAACATGAGTAACCATGGAATTGCCCTTAATCATGTTAATATGGAAAGATTTCCGTATAAGAAGTTCACTCAACACCCTGTGTACAAACCCTATGAGATTGGACTGAAAAATTCTAAGTGTTTTCTAAGAAAATGCTTGTATTTTCTCACTGCTCAAATTGACTTTGATGACATGAAAATGCTATCTGGGGGCTTGTTAGTCAATACAGAGGAAAATTAGTGAACTTCGTATACATTATATATGGAAATCTTTCCGCCCTTATAAAACATGTACACATGTATGTGTGAAGGTTAACTCGTGAAAGCCAGCAAATGTAAACTACAATACCTTATGTATACTGTACCTTGTGGCTGCGTTAGACTTCTTCCATGCCATAATCCTCGAAACCATCTGTCTGTTGTCCATTATTTTATTCTCTTAATTAAATCAGCTATGTACAAGTACATATGTGCA